CCCCCCCCGGACCCCCCCCCGGACCCCCCCCCTCGAGCTAGCGCGTGGTCTGCTAAGTCATTATATATGTACTTAATTTTTAACATGACAGTTTGGTAGCCGTCTTGTGTGTCTCATATATGTTATGTTGGGAAGGTGCAGATGACATGTGTTAGGTACTGGTCGGGCGTTTTGTGTGTGGCATCCTTTTAGTCGTAGTGCATGCAATCTCCCTCAGTAATCTCCCTCAGTTTTCTATCTGTGTTTGTATTTTATGTGATCACCAGAGGTTGAACCGGTGTGTATCCACACCACACATCCCAACGGGAACTTGCTCACACGCGAACCTGGAGACAACAGTCTCATATAAGGAATAATAAAAACACACATACCCCGAAATGTACCCACACATATTGTATACATACCCAAATACCCGGTACATACGCGTACCACATTGAACATACGTTTGAAAACCGAGGAAGATTGCATTCCATATGACTAAAAGGGTGCCACACACAAAAACGCCCGACCAGTACCTAACACATATCATCTGCACCTTCCCAACATAACATATATGAGACACACAAGACAACCACCAAACTGTCTTGTTGAGCCTGTTACCCGCAGGGGAGATGTCCCTATATGCTGTCTGGGAAATCGTAGACATACAGGTACTTTTCTGATGCTATGAATCCATTGCTAATCTGTCTCAGACTCTTTTCTATGATGGAGATGGCTTCGTGGTGTCATATTAAGAAAAATAAAAAAAAAAACACACAGAAAGACTACCCATTCGAGAAATGACGTCAAAACCTGTCATCTGACGGAAACGACTCGGATGCTCCTCACTCCCCCCTACCGCGAGAAAACGAAAAAACGCGGGTAAAGCATAGAGGACCAACGACACGGACCTGTACACAGATACAGAGAAAGAAGGCGAGTATCACCTACCATGCCTTGCGTCAGGTAGCCCGCTGGCAGCAAATAGCTTAGAAAGACATCATGTTGATTGGCGCAAATGTTCCTGAGAGAAGCGCGGAAAATTTCTCTGACATGTCCCACGTATGTACACCCCATCACACCGACCGCAGAATATCCTTCCACCTTGCGTACATATGCGTACGTACGAGTACGTGTTGGATCAGACTGCTGCCGGATGTTCGATACTCCTCTCTTCGCACGTCTGCTGACTCAGCGCATCGATGTGCGATGGTGCGGATATCGTGAGCCAACTGCAACAACAACGTCATCACATCAAACGAGCGTACGATCTGCTCTCCTAAAACTGGCCCCTTCCCCTTCCTCCCTCCCACCGAACAATGTTTTTGGCTTGCATTATAGATGCACAGAGAGCCTCACAGACAATTCAGCAATCGAAGAACCACAACAGCAGATGCCCACAGGAAGACAATTTCTTCTTCTAGATTCGTGCCAAATTTATGCTTGATGCTGCAGCAGCAGTCCATACTTGTTCGGTAAACGAGAACACATTGCTGTTTCCTCGAAGGGAAATCGTTGGATCTCGACGGGTTCGTCCCGCCGGCAAAAGAGGTCATCTAGTCGGAGATATTACGCGACGCTCACCTTCAAGTGAAGACCAACGTGGAGGCAGGGGAATACCCCGAAGGAGAAGTGGAGACAGCAGTTAGCAGATGCTGGTCGCGCAAACCTGTTGCAGGGCAGTTGGGGCGTGAACCGCGGGCGCTTGCGGGCGCAGAGGGGGGGCACCACAAAAAGGATACTGTCTAAAATGCGAGAGGGGGGGGGGGGAGGGATTAAAAAAAAAAACATCGGCAGTCGCGTCGTCGGTTCCGGGTTCGGGGTGTTGTTGACGAACAAACAATCGAAAGTTGTCGAAAGGAAAACGCACAACTGCTGGTACGCGCGTGCGCCCTGGCCAACAAGCGGGCAAACCTCTCGCCCACAAGGATTCAGTGAAGCTAGCTTCAACGGTATTCACTGCTCCTCAGCTTCACACCAGGCAAGTTCTGACAACGCGATGCGGCGAAATTCAAATTAGTACGAATATTTTCCGTCTGAACCGGATATGGATCCCAGATCTCCCCTTCGGTGCTTTTCGGCATCTCCTTCACTCTCCAGCCTCGATGCCCCCCCCTCGCTCATCGAAAAGGTCTCGATAGAGTCCGGGGGGGGGGGCAGGCCTTGCGTGTGAAAAGGCGCAGCTCGAATTGTATTTTTTGCACTCTACTATATTGTATTATGGTCACACAGGCTCCCCGCTGAGAGTTCAAATTCAAGTTATAAAAAAAAAAAAACACCGTGCGCACTATGCTGCTATAACACCCTCTGGTTGTTCTCGTTCAAACCGCCGCCCTGTGTGCTTTTGGCGTTGGGATGCCGCCTCAATGCAGCTTTCGTGACGTTGCAGAAAGATGCGTCATCCTGAACCTAGAAGGGCCGTCGTGCTCCTTATCGGTGCGATCAGCCTAGCGGAGGGATTCAGTCTCGTCCGCCTGCCACCGACGGCCTGCAGCAGCAGCAGCAGCACCAGCAGCGCCAGCAGCACGTCGAACCTGTCCACCATCAAGACATTTTCGGAGACAGCTCACGCAGTGTCATCTCAGGAGTCCAAAGCTAACGAGGAGAGCTTTAACTGGCACAAGCAGGTGTTGTGTGTGGAGTTTGTACATAGCACAAGCACCGACTTCTTAGATCCAAGATCCGTTGACGACATTTATTTGTTTCTGTGGACAATCGATGTGTATTCGGTATGCGTGACGTTTACCTGTCCCCCCGTGATCGTCGTGGGGGGGGGAGGCGGTATGTGTGGAGTCAGGACCCATCATCTATCTTTCTCTCTCTCTTTTCATAACATGCATCAGTCTATTCAACAAATGAGAGACAAAAAAAGTGTCATACGAGCGCTTCTGTGTGATGTTGTTCGGTTGTCTACAAGTGGTCGAGTTGAAGCTGGGTTTCTCAAGTTCCAAGGGGAGGGTAAGGAGCGCAAACCCTCACGTCGAGAAGTGTACTGCTGTGTATGTTGCTGGTGTCGGCTCCCTTGCCCTGGATTTTCTTGTAGAGCTCCAACTCTTCGTTCGGTTTTTCAGCTCTACTGCTGTAGTTTGCCGTGGCCTGGCGAAACAAGTCCATTATCTGTGCACAATTTCGTAGATGCCGGCATGCCGGTACTACGTTACCCTTCGGCAGCCCCCGGGACCCAAGTGTTCTTGCTGACAGAGGGTTGAGATTTGGTTGTCGAGGTACTGAAGGTACTGCTGTACTCGGGTCAGCACGATACGGAGAATACGCTTTTTTTGTAGCCCGGTTTGAGTGTGTTTTCTTGAGCCTTGCCTCTGCGTGTTGCTTTTCCGAGGATCTACGGCCGGAGTGCCTCGGGTCGGAGGTGTCGTGCTGCTGTTGGCCTCTATTGCACCCGAGAGGGCGAATCGTTCCTAACGTACGTCCATTTTTTTTTTGTCGGCATGCAGCACTGTTGCTCCCAACTAGTCTAGGAGGTGGGTACGCGAGACCTGTGTCTGATGGCTACAGTTTTCCAGTAATGATGTATTTTTGAATTATTTCGTGATGTACCAGTGTCATTCATCATTACCTTACTTTTCGTTGCCTACTCGTATGTCCGCATGGTGAAGTGGTATCCCGTGCTGTCGGAGAAGGATTCGGACCCAGGGAAGGCGCACGCCGTGCAGGTGAAAATGGAAACAACATATTTTGTGTACTACCGATAGTGTCCAGCCTGCTGTTCACGTCATTTGAGACCCGCGCCTTGTGTGTCTCGTCTCGCACAAACACGGGCTCGGCATGTATCCGGCGGTGAGAAACTCTCTTTTGCCAGCATCACCCACATGGACAAGTGCATCAACGCCGTACATGAGCACCCGCATAAGAAAACGTACAGTTTCAGAGATTGGCCGACTTGGGCCAGCGTTTGGCGATGACATACAAGTGCGCTTACGGTAGGGTGCAGGCTGCGCATCGTCGTATGGTCCGGTGCATTTTTTGCACCGATCTCTGCTGTTGTCGAGCTGTGGTTTTCGTCGATTGGTCGTTGTTCTTCCTATCCTGCATGCGACGCCCAGCCAGAGCCTGCGGCTCTCAAGATCTCGTACACGTCGTCGTACTCAAGCCCTTTGCGGCCTTCATCCCCACAGCTGGCGTACCAATGTGGCGGACTCAGAAAACATTCATTTCTCAGCGCAACGACCGCCCTACGGTTCGCCCTTTGTCCTACTTGCGACACGTACGCGCTTGGATCAAGTCTATTAACTCTCAAGACCCGCGGTAGAACGCGCCAAGTCAAGTTACAGAACGACGATACCGTCCGCGGAGACAGGAACGAGAGAGAAAGATACAATCTGATTGGGTCAGTACCCTACCAGGCACCTCTGTTTCTACTTTGATATCCTCGCTATTCAAGGTGCCTTCCCTTCTGCCTTGACTCGCATGGTCTTGCATTACCACCCCTTGGACTTGCTTTATTATGGCACTGTCCTGTTAATTGTGTTATTTTCTTTACATTTGTACTAAACACTCGTTTTGACTATGAAGTTAAAGGTGATCACCTACAGCAGGTAGCTCTGTTCTGATACATGTGTGCGATCTGATTATCTGCATCGTCGGTGTTGGTGGTTCAGGGGGCGCCGCTATTCGCATGCTCCCGTTGCTGCATCACGTGCGTCTAGACTGTGTCCACCACCATGCCACGTTGATGAGCCCTAACGCCGTTTTCATTTTCAACCGCTTTCGTTCCAGCTGCTGGGGAAGGACCTGGTAGTGTGGAGGAACACCGAAGGGCGCTGGTCGGCGTTCGACGACCGCTGCCCGCACAGGGCGGCACCACTGTCGGAGGGCAGGGTGGAGAAGGACGGCAGCCTCTTGTGAGTAGGTCGCTCACCGCGTGATTGCATTCTTTCACAGGTGTTGCTGATTGAGAGTCATTGCAATGTCTTGCTCGTAGTACGATGGAACCCTACCAGCTTGGCGTGGTTCATCTTATCCGTTTCCCGCATGACAATGAAACTGGCAGCCAGCACTACGAGCCTTGCGATGCTAATTAGACACGAAAACTTGGATGCTCCAGGACGCGCACTGCTGAAGAACTTGGTAGATGAGCTCTTGAGGGTTCATTGTTAACATGCAGTAGGAGATTGGACTCTATCCACAAGCTAAATCTACGTATACTCTGCTGGTGTGTCCACACGGAGGACACAAGCCGCGGGGGTTGCCCAAACCAAGAGGTTCTGAATTTTGTGGACGCGCTCTGTACTACGTTGTTGTACGCAAAGCGAGCACATGGCGCACATCTTGCTCTGGATGGCTGTAGTAGGTCTATCGACGCCCCAGTGGGACAGCACCGAAGAGATTGAAAGTGACGTGTAGCCGCAGCTGGAGTTGAATGGGTATTTTTACGCAAGATTTGAAGTGCTCGAAAAGAATGTGACTACTTACGTTTTCCCCGTTTTCGTTCATGATATGCTATGCTAGGTGCGCGTACCACGCCTGGCGCTTCGACGCGGACGGGAAATGCCTGAGCATTCCGCAGAGCGACAGGGACGGGAAGGACGAGACGAACCCCAGGGCATGCGCAAAGCTGTACCCGACCCAGGTACGATCCCCCGTGGAGGTGACGGCTGTCGCGGTCATGGTGACGGTACGGTAGGTGGTGATCATGAAACGACAGCGGTGAGCTTGTGTTTGGTGCGAGTCGGCCGCAAGTTCGGCTGCTTCTTTTTCATGTGGTGTCGGCTGAACGACTTGCATGCTTTCAAGCACGTCATCGCATCACCCTACTTGCCGCTACTACTTGGCAACATCGCCGTGGTGTACGTGTGCTCCAAACAGGTAGCGCAAGACATGGTGTGGGTGTGGGGTGAGAACGGGTCAGATGCGGTGCTGGAGAGTCTCTTGACCAAGCCGGCCCTCGTGTCAGCCCTGGAAGACAAAGAGGGTATCAAAAGCGGCAGGGTTGTGCCTGGCGTGGTGACCCAAAGAGACCTGGCCTACAGTTGGGAAACCTTCTGGGAAAATGTCATGGTACGGGTTAGAGGTGTGTGGGCGTGGGAAGCTGTATCTCAGTCCGGTCATTTCTAGGATGACTTCCCTAGACAGAATTTCTTTTTTCGTCCATCTGACAACGTGCAGCGCACGTCTTGAAACAACTCTAGGGGTCAACGCAATGTAAAAACCCACTATATTATTATAGCGCATGAACCCGAAGGCCTTGTCGCCATTCTGGAGCTCCTATTGTCCAATACGTGTGTGCACATTACGGCTGTACTCGATCCACTGCTTCGTTGCTGACACGAGCTGTTGCGGCCCCAACCAAGTCGGTGTTTTTCCCTCGCACCCCTATGACGCCGCCCCTCTTGATTGCGAACGCGCGCTGTTGCTTGATTTTTCTTGCTGTTTGGCTGCGTTACGGGGGTGGGGCGTTTCGGAATACTATCGCTTCGGCAGGATCCCGCTCACGTCGTGGTGTCCCATCATGGTGAGCCAGAGTCATGTCAGCGTGCAGAGTCGTCGAAGACCACGTGGGAAAAAATCGAGAAGAAACAAGTTCCGCCTCCGATTCAGAATAACGGTGTTCACGCTGCTTGCGATGCAACTCGTGTAGCTCCTGTCCAGATGTGCCGGACTTGATGTATTGCTGATCGCCTCCATGCCTACCGCTCCTTCCGCGCCAGGGTTCGCTCATGTCGCTCTTTTCGGTTCTATTGTTATGTGTTTGTGCCGTCTGTTCTTGTTGGCTCGGCCCACACTTTTGGGTAGTCTTTCTGGCCTCACCAGCCAGGTTCACACTGAACGACTCATAGATACGATGTTGTTGTTGTCCAGCACATTTTTCAGGAGCGCAGTTGTTGAGAAAATGTGTTTCATGTCCGGCGCGCCTTCTTTCTCCACGTTTGCTTCAGGCTTGATGGGAAAACGTAGCATGGCCAAGCCACTCGACCTCGAAGCAACCCCTCAGCCGGCCATGACGAAAGTAAGTGGCGCCCATTTTCAACACCTGAAAAATGTACGCAAGAAATACCGCGGCAGCAGTAGCGGCAGCAGCAGCCAGATGACACGGGAAGGATCTCGAGCCTTTTTGGGGCATGGCGGCGTTATAGGGTTCAGAACCCTTGTCGGCCTCATGCCCAGGCTGTCACAAGTACTTGGCGGTACCGCCTTTGCTGGTCTGTTGTGACGCGCATCTGTTGTGACGAACCCTTGTCGGCCTCATGCCCAGGCTGTCACAAGTACTTGGCGGTACCGCCTTTGCTGGTCTGTTGTGACGCGCATCGCTGCCTCGCAACGCGATGACATCACATCGTTGTGCGCATCACCACGTTTGCTGCAGGAGGGTTTCGTGGTGGACAACAACTCACCCCAGTTCGGCGCGAAGCAAGGTGTGGCCACCTTCGTCCCGCCTGCGCTGGTGAGTGGCCGATGATCGCGACTTCAACCCAACATATCGTGTGCATCACACACCCGTGTCTGCAGGTATCGTATCGACGGCACCCCTTTGCTGTGACGACGTTTTCATGGAAAGCGTCGTCTACGACGCGCTCGAGGCTTGGTGTTTTGTCGAAGGAAGCGCATGTAGTCACTGCAGCCACCCTCTGCACAGGAGGTAGCCAGTCGATAGATGTTTCAAGCCTCCAAAAACACCAATGGCTCGAGCTGAAAACTCTCGGATCATCAAGTGCCAGCTGTGCTGTGAACCCCCGCCCTTCAACGGAGGATCCGCCCGCGGCGGCTCAATGTCCTTAAGCTCCAAGTTCTTTGGCCGGTTTATTTTACGCTCTTCTGCGGGAGCGATCAGTCTGCCGTTGGACGAGGTCGAGGTCTGGGGTTAACTCTCAAACACAATGGATGTGCATGCGAGATCAGCAGAATCAACCGCCTCAGCTATGGGAGCAGTCTGCTTCGATCACGTTGTTTCGTGAAAGTAGACGACAACCGTTTTTCATCAATCCTGTGTTCGACTCACCTTGGTAATAGGTGGAGATTGCGACGGAGCTAGAGGACGGGAAGACCATCAGCCTGGTGCAGTACAACATTCCCACGAGACCGGGCTGGAGTCGCATGTTTAACAGACAGGTCAGTGCCGTCGACCGCATACAGTATTGCACTACCGAGAAGAGGGTTCCAATTGCGTAGCAACCACTTTTGCTCGTTTCAAACCACACCTTATCGTGCTAGTGTCGTTTATATGTGTATGGGGTGATAATTTTCCCGAAAAAACATGTCTAGGCGCGACTTCTGTGCTTTTTTTTTTTTTTTCAGTTGACGATTACACCCGAGGTCGTCGGCGAGAATAAGGGAGACGACGAAAAGGACAAGAAGAAGGGAGCACCCTCGCTACTTCAACTCGTCGCCCGCATCAGGTACGACAGTGCTGCATCGCCGATCGTGTTGTGTCCCTTCTAGTGGCTGTGCATGGACTAGCCGTGTGCCGTGTATGCATACCAGTTGTTTTCTTCCAAGCTCGAGCTGATGCCCAAGGGAATAAAAGGAACTCCTCTTTCTCCCGTGGTTTTCACGTTGCATACATACCCTCTTCATTCGCACCCATTCATGGCCTTCACCCTGTGACATGGTTTCCCTGTGGCATGCCGTGGCAGCCCCGTGAAGCTCAAACTGGCGCCCAACGAGCAGCGGGCTTGGATCCAGCACATATTCAGCCACATGTTCGTGCACCAGGATATGCCCCTTCTCTACCACCAGGTCTAGTTTCCTCTCTCCCTCCAAATATGTTCCTGAGTTCTGGCTTAAAAATAGGTGTTAGCCGTTGCATTCACGTGCGTTCCACTACATCCCAGATCTCAGTTGTTGATTCTGGTGTTCTTGATGTTCGCCTTTTCCCAGATGAAGGAGTTCTATGCTGCGGTCATGCTCCCCGCGGTTGTTGCTGTGACTCTCATTCATTAGTCGGTGTTGTTCATGGTGGCTTGCCCTTTGTGGCTTCATGTCTGTCGCTTGTTTGTGTGTGTACCATGCCTCTTGGAAGGGCATTGAACGCTGTGCTCTCACCGCAGCCTAATTTTTTTATGTTGGTTCGCATCCAGCGTGTAGTCTGTACGCAGGCCAAGAGCGTGTTGCCGCTGTTTTTTCTTTTTCCGAGCACGGCTGTTGAGAGGACAGGTTGGGTCTAATAATAAAGGGGGATTTTTCTGATCGATTGGTTTTGGTCGGCGTATTGCCGTTCAGGAGAAGATCATGGCCAGTTCGGGACACACCGGGGCTAAGTGGAGCGACGGGATCTACACGCCCACAACCTCTGACAAAGGGATTCACACCCTGTGAGTGCCGTGCAGTCTCACAGTCTGATCTTCGTGCTATCTCGAACCTCGAACTCCCCAACCTTGTCCTCTAAAATTTACCCACCGCCCGCTGGTTGATTCCGCTGCAAGCATGGCATATGGCTGTGCTAATCGACGTTATTGATTGCGGTTTTTAACTATTTCAGGAGGAAGTGGATCAAGAAGTTCGGGTCTGGAGGGCCTCCCTGGCCAAAGGGGTACGACACGTCCCTGCCTTCTCGTCACGACAATCCCGACGTCATGTGGGACATCTACGAGGTTGGTTGTGTTGATTGTTTTCGTTGTACCAATGGTGGTACTGGTACTGTAGTCGAGCCAGCCAGAACTATCGCGGCACGATTCTTCGACATTGAAATCAGAATTTCTTTGTGTGTCTCCGCGTAACTCCATAGCAAAATAAAGACAAGCGTTGGCTACTACGCTGTCCCCGTGCAAACAGCTCCAGTATTGGAAGGCATCTGAAACGAAGTTCTTTCGCAAACTCCTGGCACCCCAGCCTATGTTGCACCTTAATCCACGTTGCTCGTCATGTCCGTGATGAACTCCGTGTGCCGTCTACTACCACTGCTGTTGCGTAATGTTGGTTTGCAAGGCTGCGGTACTCTGTCCCAAATGTTTGCATGAGCTTTCTCTTGCTTGCATAAGCGGGAGGACTACGTTTGCTGGAATACCCTCTTACCGTTTTCAATCAATCTCAAAAACCAGCAACACACCAAGCACTGCACCACGTGCTTGGGAGCGCTGAAGCGGGTCGAACAGTGCATCGCTGCTGCGAAGGTGTCAACCGTGGCTTCACTGACCTGGGTGAGCGGAGCCTTGATTTCTATCAAATCTTTTGGAGCATCCCGATGTAGTGGTGGTACGTGTGAGCTTCAACATCGATACTTGAGATGGGTCCCGTCGTGTCACTCGCATGTTTTTGCAACTGAATCGTGGTCTTGAATAGATAGATCGGTCGCGTGCATGTTACGAATTCACTTGGAGGGTAGGGTGAGACACGAATTCGCGGAACGGAGGTGCGCGACTTCTGAGCGAAACGATTGATTTGATCACCGGAGCAACTGGGACATTCTCAGTAACGCTTGGTGGATGTCCTGAGTCGTCGCCCCGCTTGACATGGCCGTTGATGACTTCGTCACTTCTAGACCTGTCATGGATAATCTTTTCGGCGCTTAATTTGGCTTTGCTGGTCGCTTGTGTCGCTATCACCTCGTCGAAACGCGGGGGTACGCTAGTAGTGACTGAGGGCGCCGGGTTAGAAGCTTAGTGGCGGTGGTCCATTCTCAAGTTTGTCCTCCGACCAACAGCATAGTGGGATCTCGAGAAAAAGTGTCTGGGCGTTTGATACTTTTGACGAACGTCGTACTTGGTTCAAATTGGAGACAGACGTTAGCCCAAGACCACAAGTGCGGTGCGTGTTTCGGGAGAGCAATGTCGATATCTTGGCTTTTTCTTGAACATCCTTCATAGTTTCAATGGAAATTTAAAATACTTACGATTGTGGGTGGGTTGTAAAAGAACCGTAAACCATTTGGGGAACGCGCATGTGTATCATAGTGGCGCAGACCTTACGGTTCTGCTCGCCAAACTTGTTTCAGTAGGAATGTTTGACGCGAGGCTCTTGGAAAGACGTCGTGAGGCAAGGTACACGAGTCCAACCCTAAGGTTGCTGTCACGCACGTGGTTTCTGCTGCCGCTCCCGCACGTTTCTCCTCATGCAACGCATCACGATGCGATGATATTGACACGTCCCGGCTACGCGATGACATCAATAACATTGGATATTCCACGGAAACTCGATTTGATACACGCCGACGTCGATACCACGCGGCGCGGTGTCGACGAAGGCGGTGCTAAGGGCGGCTTCTGCCATAAGTACCAGCATACTGGCGTCACCTGGCACCCCTCCTTCGAACTTCGTCGCTGCCAAGGCCATGCTTCCGGGGGTGCTGTTGATGCTTGCGAGCTTGAAGGCCACAAAGGTGCGACTCATCATTTGTCCTGACAAAGCGTATGAAACATGCGGTAAAGTCCATGCCAACGAGTGGACTGCTGTGCAGTTGTGCTCTTGGGCGGCTCGGCTCTTGAACGCCCTTGTACGGCCGCACGTCACACGGAACCTCGTGGTTGTACCCGGGTATCGTCATTATTATCTCTGTCAGTGCTCTTCTTAGTCGTTGTCGTGTACCGGATGCATCCTCCGCGCTTCTTTGCTTGTCTTTTTCGCGATAGCCACGCGTGTGTGTCGTCTTCATTATGTCAAGAGCATTGGTCCGACTCACAACTCGTTCCTTTTTGCACCCATGCGGTCCGCCTCCACCCACCTCTCCGCTTAGCCTTCATCCCGGTGTCGCTTGACGTATGTTCGGTGGCTGACCACATCCCTTCCTTACCCACCCACGCGAAGCACTTGTGACGCTCTCTTTGATGCCCCAACGTTCCCCTTCGTTCCCCCCGCGCGGTGCGTGAATGGTACTCACCGTTCCCAGATGCTGGGGTCTCTCCGCCAGATGTTCTACGTCTACAAGTATGTTCACCAAGAACATGACTGATGAAGGCTTTCACTAGCACCAACGTCACGAGTATGAACCAATGAGGACACGTGAGGGGGGAGAGGGCAATGAACGATAAAATATGAAGCGTGATGACAAAACGAACTTCAGAATTAACCCCCCCCGCGCCGTTACCACAATTGTCGTTACGTAAATGCACCCCATGTTGTATATAGTCACAGGTGTGCCTTGTAAAGAAGCAGTATACTGTATATATGTGTGCACTCGCACGGGATGGGGGATACAATGAGCAATGTGCATGCCAGGCTGCGCGCACGACTTACCAGTCGGTTTAGACGCTCCTGGAAAACGGACGACAGGGTCTACTGTCCACTGAGTGGGGTATGCAAGATGCAAGAGGGGGAAGACCGATTTTCTTTTGGCTGCAGATTGTTTGTGGCGATGAACAGAGGCCTCACTTCCGGGGCATCCCCCCACCAGCTTTGTGTCCGCGCTTTACTCTACTATGCGTTCCTGTCAACATGAACCGGAGAGTGTCGCGAGGACGACGCGCGGTGTGCTTGTGCAGTGGTACATGTCTTTTCGGTGGTGGCGGCAGGTCGGTTTGTGAAGTAGGCTGGCGCTGAAAAGTCGTCTATTTTTGTCCGTTGGAAAAAGTCGGTCCTAAAGATAACAAGGGTTTCCTACGGGGTAGGGGCTGACTCTCGAGGGTGTCACTTGTCTGACCTCGTCTCAGACAAACAAGTGACGGCTGCCAATGACACTGTCTGGCTGAGACTAGAGGTTACTTTTGGAGAACAAGCGTTCTCTGCTGCTAACTGTATTTCGTTCTCAGGATTGATGAATACCTTCTTTGTGCTTGTTCTTGGGTGCGTGTACAAAGGGAACTTAAATGTTTGTAAATACTTTACGCAGCTTCGATGTAACGAATGGTGGGCGTTCAGCGCGGTTTGTGCCTGTGTGTCCGGTGTTTCTCCTCAAGTGATGCCGTACGGCGTAGACGACCTGGATGCGCTAGTTCCGATCGGGTGAAGAGCATCCACTACATGTGGTGCCTGTGGCCAGGCTCGACTCTAGCTGGTAATGCCCGTATTCGGGGTTGTGGTGAATCACGTTCGTGCGATTGTCCATGGTGCAAGAGTTGTGGAGGGGTTGGGAAGCCTTGCACGTGTATTCAGGGTCTTATGCGTTTGGATGTATGTGTCGATCTACGATGGTTCGGAAGTGCTCGTGCCTGAGGAGAACGGTCCGGGGTGGGGCGAGAGATCAGGGAAGGGTGCAAGGGAGCATATATGATCGAAATATGGTCGGCCTTTGGGGGGGGGTCTTGAGGAGTGTTAGACTATGCATTCCCAGCCAGATCAGATGATGTTGAGGGGAAAAGGTATGGCGATGGGCACGCAACGGCTATCTCACCGGCAGGCAAGGAGAGTAAGGACAGTGTTTATTGGTAGCACGCGCTTGATGCAAACGATCCATCACTTGACCTTCTGTGAGCAAGCCAGGAATTTGATGGATTCTACCAATACACTGACATGGCCTCGAACACCATGCTATTAGGCTCCGTTCGAGTGTGGAGGAGACAAAAGAACGAGCATGCGTCTTGCGCTGCTTGTGGAGTCCTCTGGCACCTACCTCTGGTACAAGTAGAGGCCGAAAACAATTCCTTGTCTGAATGTAATAACAGCGCAGCTGGCCACCCAAGCGTGCTAGTCTAATCCCCGAGGAGGTTTTCGTTTTTTTGTTGAGGCGGTGATGTTGTCATGATGCGGGATGGTGCGTGACGACGGTACGGCGGTACAGAATTGGTTTCTGCTTCGCAAGCAAATTAGTCTAAAAGAAATGCCGCGCGTTTTGTAAGCGCATTTTTGAATCCCGTATCACTTTCTCTCTCAACTCCCGATAGTTACGCGCACGAAACACGCGCACGAAACACGGCGGTGCCTTCGCGCGAAGTAAGCCTCGATATCTGTCGGAAGAATTTTCAATCGAAGCGACCCCGGTGCCAAACGCAAGCTGTCTCTGCAGTACTTTCTTCTCTTCTTTGCCGCAGCTGAATTGTTGAGTTCGACAAAGCTATGACGACGAGGTTCGCGGCCCTGCCTCCGCATACACAAGCCCTCGCCTACGCACCGAGCGTTTCACTTTCACCTCGCATTTCAGGCAAAGCAATGAAAAGTACCAAAAGCCATCTCCTCACAGCCGTCGCGCATGATGTGGCGAAAAGCACCCTCGGATCGATATTTCCGCCGTTATCGTCGTTTCGGCATGCCCCCCTCGGCCCGCATCCGTGTACGAACTCTTCTTCATGTCTTAGTCTTTCCAACACTCCAAATTCAAGACGATAGGGAGTCCACATCACACCTACCTATTACAAATAACCCCCACTGTAGAAGGGGGTCATTGGGTGTTGCCGCTGTGCAGCATAAACATACCGTTTGCCGATCCTTCTTGGAAGTTTGTATTGGAGAAGATCGTGTGATTTCAAGAAACATATTTGGAACTTCATCCTAAATCAATGCTCCGTAGTCGTTACGATTCCCGTCCGTTGCGTCCTCCAGCTTGCAGAGCAAGCCATCCCACTGGTGTGGCGGGCGGCGACGTCTGCTACATATCCGAGATCCCGTCCCCCGAAGGTGGGAATCATGAAGCGCGAGGCCTTGCTAGCTAGAGAGTCCAACAAGACTGGAGTTTGAAATTTCGCTCATTCAACAATCTGAGTCAGGATAGGGTATGTGGTACACCACCCGCTTCAGCGATAGGCCCTGCCTAAATACCCCTCGAACCCGTCACGGTCGGTCTTAGTCCACTAGTAGGCGATACCGCCCGAAACACATACTTCTGGTACTCCTCGCCGCCCGTGGACGTGCTCCACCGGCCCCGCCACTTCTCATCACTTCTTGGTGACGCGGCGAAGGATTCCCATCGTCGGCCCCATGCACATGTTCGGAATACACGTTCGCAGAAAACGTGCTGTTGTGATCCGTACACCTGCTGTGTGCCGCAGATGCCCGCCTGAAAGCAGGCAGTGCTTCCAATACATCACCGAAAGCGGACCGGGACACCCGAGTCGCGGCTGCCGCTTTCATCAATGACACCATTCGCCCGTCACGATGATGCATGCGACGGCTGAGTCCTCTGGCACACCAAACACCTGTTACGGTGGGCCGGGTGCCACCACGAGGCTGTACTCCGTGCGGGGCAGAATCACACCACTCCGATGATTCATCAACACCAGGAATGGGCTTTGGTGCAGAGCTTTCCTGTCGCTCAGCCGTAGAAGCAAGAACCCAAGCAACTTGGAGGCTGACGTCAACACCCGTAGTTCCTGCGGCAGTCCAGCATGACGGGTACTTAGCGCACAACGGACCGCCGACAACAAACGGCGACTGCACAGGTGCCGCTACAGCTCTTGTAAGCTCGCTTTCTCTTTTTAGGGTGGGCGTATCCCCGCTCTCCGTATGTTTTCGAGGGCGATCTATGACACTCAGAGCCATAGAATCATCACGCTCGTGGGCTTCCTGGCACCTTCTGTCCCAAAAGCGTTTCGGGGCAATGGGGACGTTGTCCCTCTCTCCTGAACAGCTATCACCCCCCTGATCATCGCCCCTGGATAAACCCGCTCGCGGACCTTTCCTGCTTCGAACCAGGACGCCTCTCCCGCCGGAGCAACGCGCCGACGGTGCGGACAAAGCTAGCGGCCTCGGGATTGAGGTTTCGCCAGGGTTGTCTATGCCGCCACATCGTAGTGGCCGGCTGCAGGGGGCGGACCGAACCGATGCAACTGCGACTCCCCTCCCCCGACCACGACTACGATCATGGCTATCCCCCCACACACTTCGGTGGTGCTGGGCGGTCCATGGTTTCCGGTCAGATGCATGCTGTTGCTGTCTACGTGCGTATGTGCTACTGCCAGTGCAGCAAGCGGAATGTGCCTTCTGTCGTTGCAAGGCTCCGGGCCTTTTATCTCGAGCTCCGCGTGGAGCGTCAAAAAATTGTTGTGGCAGCAGTGTTGCCCCTGGCTCTGTGCGGTTCTGCTTGGTTCTCCACGTGAGGGCTTCTTTCCTACGACGCTTATGTTTTTGGAGACTTCTGATTGCATTCTTCCACCAAGTGAAGGCCACCTGTCGTCGGTACGACCGCATCATGTTGCAAACGCATCGTGTAGAGCAGCGATTTGTTTTATTGCAAACTGTTTGGTTGCCTCGGCTATCTGTGGTATGATTGGCTTAGAACATCTGTCACAATATTCTTGGCCTAGAGAAGTGTGGTAGGCGAGCAAGACGATCGGCGCTGGAACACACCAAACAGGGCGAACCCTTTTCAATGTTTGCAACCCTACTGTGTCAATGATGTCGTTTTCAACGTGCCGTACTCGTTACCGGTGTAGATCGCGCTTTCGAGTTCGTCTATACCCTCGTACCAAGCCAAGTGTGATTACTGCGCTAATTTGTTCCGAAAAAATGAAAAAACAATCTCTGTTCTCATAGAGAAATATTGTTCCTAAACTGTGATGGATTTGGCACCCCGAGCCGCGACAAAGACTTCCAATACATCCCCTTCGACTGCGGTATTTTCTCGAATGGGTAATCTTTCAGTGGTTGTAGTAGACTAAGAATGTGGCAACATCGTTCCAGAACCAAAAAAAATCGTATCGAAAGCAAGCATGAAGCAGCCCGGTACCCTATGTCGGGGATAGGGCGGCAACACAACAGCGTGCGTGTGGAACCCTCAAGCGAACTACGCACGCGTCATAGCAACAGCAGCAAGTATACACGAAACGAAGAGCCTACCTTTGTTGTATACACTTTTTCTTGTGAGATGCAGAAACACTTACCTCAAGAATGAAGGCCGAGCTCTGAACAGGATCTCTAAACGTGTGTCTGCCAGCTCTGGTGATATTTCGAGTTGCTTCAAAGAACTCCATTTGTTGTGCGTCCCTTGCTTTGAGTCTCAGGGCATGTCTTTCTTCGGCGCGACGCTTAGCTAAGGCTCGCCAGATCCCTAACACCTGTCGATTATGTTGGTCCCAAGCTGTGTGACAAATGTCGGAAAATCACGAAGTTTCTAACCCTTCTCCCCTCTACGAAAAAACAGGGCAGTTTGCAGTTTGAATGCAGATGGGTTGGGTACGCTACGGTACACTCCAGACAAACTACCTTCCAGGGGTACAGACTAGTCTATTCCCAATTTTGTGACTACACACAATGCAAGGTTTGGGGGGTGACTCGTTCCTACGAGTAAAAAACTAAGCCCGGAAAAGTCATCCTCACTTGAGACCCGATCTTGACCTCCGTACTTGGTTGTTTTCTGTTAAGGATGAGAGGCATGCAAGCGGAACGTTACAGCAAGCGTAAATTAAGATTTTAAGGCTATGCTCTCGACTATCCGACCCTACCACAAAGGCAGGGCACTTGGTATGTGGGAGCGCACGGTGTCTATTGCTCATGCTCACTAGCGGTCAATCATTCGCACGGTCTCATTGGTGTCGAATCTGCCGCCAACGAGACGAATCAAAGTAGGTTTATTGTCCGCGCTCCCCAATCCCATAGAAATTGCACAGTATTTTTATTGCTGCTGACCTCCATCCAATGCCCTCTCTCGTGTTACAGTACTGCTGCCAGGCTATCTGGCACATATAATTTCCAATCGAACCTCACACATGTACAGTGTAGATCTTGTTTTACAGTAGATTCAAATATATATCTTAAACCTCTTTCTTACGTAGATGGAGATGGGTTCGTCATGTGAAAATAATACCGCGCGTTGACAAAAAAACATGCACCTGCTGGCAATAGCAAACATCTTTGGCATTCCCGACGGCAGGGACGCATGCTCATGCTCATGCTGTCCGCTAAAGCTCCCATCACAGGCGCCTTCACCCTCATGCTCCTCAGCTTGTTTTTGGGGCTCGTTATCATTTGTAGTCAATACGCTTGTTATGCTCGACGACGGAGATGGGCAAGATTGGCACATGTCTGCTTTCGGAATCGTGCTTCCCACCGATTCGTACTGCTCATGCTTCGTCATTTCCCTAGATGTATTGTAAGCCACCACCAATTATGCTCTCTATCTCCGAATTGTCCAAAGTGTAGCGATGACACACGGAAGAGTTCAACTGAGGTGCGGGGTGTTTGGTCGGATACACGTAGAGAAGGAGCAAGCCGTTACACAAACGCCGCCTCCGCGTGGACTACCAGCCAGACGGAGATGTTACAGCACAGATTTTCCCACACGCAGCCTCTTGGTTCGCTGTTGAGTTTGCCCACCCCGCACCTGGCCTCGCTCCCTACCTGTTCGCGAGAGCCAAGCGGGACGTTCCATGTGAGGAGCTGTGGTCGACAGGATCTCTGCTTCCTGACACAAGGTAAGCACGGCTTGGCAGAATGATTGGCAGTTTTTCTCCTGTCGTCGGGTTCGGAAGCGGCGCATTTATTGTAGCAAATTTAATTTTCGTGTGTGTCTTCTCACCCATGTGCCATTTTCTCTCGCGTTGTTCTGGCAGGTACTTTCGACCGGGAGACCGTGTCGTGGGAGAGGAGGGTAGGGGGGGTCTAGAGATCTGTGGGCATAGTTTGGCAGGAGCAGCTACACCGCCTCATACAGCGTAGGTGCACACTCAGCCTGGGTCTAGAATAACGCGGTGCTGCTGCTGTGCAGGAGAAGTTTCTCCATGGGCTTCAACCACGTCTATCTCATCGGGTTGCTTCTCTGCGGGTCCTCATCGTTGGGTTGCCATGCACTGCAAGCCGGGGGGAGGGTGCGAATTGTCGAAGGGCGGAGGGCGTCAACCACTGTACCAAGTAACGGACGCCCTGAGGGTCACATCAGCAAGGCGCGTATCAAGGGCGGTAGGAGTAGAGCGGCGGCGGCGGGGGGGAGAGCAGGCAGACGAGCGAGCTTGCCGCCAACAACAACGGCCCAAGCAGCAGATGGCGGCACCGACTCGTCTGGTAGTGTCTCGGAGGGAAACAGCAGGATAGCTGGTGGCGGTGGACAGCGAAGGAAGATGGTGAAGAGCAACTCGACAGCCAGCATGAAGCTCATGGCACGGCTGCGCAGAAAGGTAGGTCTTGTGATTCCGCGCCAGGTCAGGTTGTGCCTTGGGGTGGTTGTTGGTGTGTATCTTGGGTCCCGGGGTACGCAGCCATGCCAGCGAAGTCAGTTGCGGCACAAACAAAAACAAGAACAAATTTTTGAACGCCCCCCCTGCTGTTTCACGAAGGACAGGAAGCCCGCAAGAGGCGTAAGGTGCCACGCAGAGCGACCTCCTGCTGTCCTTGTAGTCTGCTGCCAAGAGTCTTACCTCAAGCAGCATTACACGTGGGTTGTAGCAACTCTGGTCGGGGACCAGATGAGGATCGGCAGGGTCTCTTTCACATGAGCAGGCCTATAGTAGTGGGTGGGTACAGCCGGAAATTGGTTCAACTGGAGCTGAATAGAATCGCCCATAGGGAGCGGACACCCGGGTAACTCGAAAGATTGTTTACCTGTCAAAACGGTTTGAGTAGCAGCGGCCAGTGCCGTGCAGCACTGGCATGTCGAATGTTGGTCCGAGTATCGACAAAAGTACTGGTGAGGGCAAAAGCAATTTCCAACACTGATGACGGCACTGCTGCCTACTGATGCTTCCTGATCCCGAACAGCAATGCTCTTCTGCACGGACTGTAATTTGCGTAAGTAGATCGAGATAGGGCGTTGCCGCTACTGCTGTGGAAACGATCTCCCACGGCAGTGCCTCTACACAGATGCATCCTTTCAGCAGTACAAATAATGACTCGCTGTATGCACCACCACCTTGCTTTGACTGCTGATACACCATGTCTTTCATGACCCAATGCTCTTGGCAATATGCATATCGGTTGCGTAGATGAAAGATGCGAGGCATGTCCCAGATGTGTCGAAGATGCTCCGAGACGGCCTGCCGTACCTGACGGAGATCGAAGCCACCGAGGTGCAACTGGCCCTTGCCGTGTCCATCTACGCCCACTCCAAGACTACCGCTACCGGAAGCGATACCAGCAGCAGCGCTGACGGGCATCCCGATGACCGTGTAAAGGTCAGGCCTCCCAGAACTTTGGTAGGATGGCTAACGATCTTGCTACTTTTCATTAGTGAAAATCACATAATTTTTGAAAGGCTGCAAGGTTTTTATGTGCAAGAGCCAGAAAGGTATCAAACTGTTGCAGTGCGCTCGCGCACCAAGCAATGCTAGCTTTTGTAGAGTGGGGGCAGTGCCGTGGGATAGCCGGACGGCAGCGTAGTTGAACATAATATGCATACTTAGCGGAACGCACCCTTCCTTCTCGGAGGGGTGTTCAGTGCTCAAATCCATCATTCCACTGCCCGACGCCACGCACAACTACTATCGGAACACCAAAGGCGGCATGTCGTGCTGTAGGCGGCTCTCGGTTCAGCATCGTTGTCTTGTCGTACGTTCCGCTCGACCGATTCTCGACAGGCCGGTGTAGAGGTGTGCCTCCAACTCGGTCGGCTAGGCATGGGCAGGGACGCGCTGCTTGCCGCTATCCTGGGGGGCGTCTTGCGACCGGAGACGGCCAAGCAGCACTCTACGCACCCCGGCTTCGGCCGCGCACCGGTAACGGTGGTAGATATTCGGGAAGGCTTCGGCAAGAACGTGGCTCGCCTTGTCGCTGGGCTGGAGCACGTGACGTGCGTCGAGGAAACCGCACACGCGGTTCTCAGGGGCACTCCCAGCAGCGGCTCTTCCGTTGGGGATATGTCAGGCGCGACGGCATCTGAGCGAGCAAGGCCATTGGAGGGGGAGGGGGGGGGACAGGACGAGGAGGGCGCGCCGCTATCTCCTGCTATGCTCATTGGGGCACGAGAGAGATTGCCTGCGGAGCCAGGGGGGTGGGGGGGGAGGGGGAGGGGGAGGAAGACCCGCAGTTTGAGGGAAGCATCGGCCTTGGAGCAGGTGAAGGAAGGGTTACGTGCCGTTGATGTTTTGCATGTTTTTTTTTTAGTTATTTGTTCGATGACTCCATTCGATTGCGCTGTCGTCCGTAGCGTCAACCGTGCATGTCTCTCGGGCACTAACTACTTCACTTAACAAGAGCTACCCATGTCTGGACAGCGGTGTTTTGCTTTCCATGCGTTGTACACAGAAACCAAGCAAGCTCGCGGTAAGCTAGTACGTGGCCGTGTGTCAAGGAAGTGCAGGTCCGAGAAATTGTTTTTCTCAATGGGGGTGTTTGCGGCGTGGTCTATCTCTTCGCCAAGCTGCATATTCATCGCTATAAGTACATCCACCCATCAGATGCCATCAGGTGTAGCAAACCACGACATATTTTCACCACAATCAACTGCATGTCATACAGAACAGAGCCAACGTAGGTATTTTTCAGGGCATTTGGGAATCGGTTTGTCAGTTGAGGCACGAGATTAGGCGCTCCCGAATGATGGGGTCCACGCAAAAAGTTGACCAATGTCCGTTTTGCTGTGCTTTCTCTGCACTATTTAATCTTGTGCCTTAGGGTGAGAGTCTTCGCAACCTCATCGTGTCGGAGGCTGCAGATTGGCAGGTGCTGACGCTCAGGCTAGCAGTGCAGCTGCAAGCGCTCAAGAACTCCTCGCCGGATGGCAGCAGCTGGAAGGACAAACAGGTAAATTTCGTCAGGTAGCTCTCACAATGAAGAATCGTTCTGTGGCCGTGTTTGCGGTTATTGGGCGGAAATTCCATACAAGCAGGTGTACTGTAGCATGAACCCGCGGAGCCGTCTTACACTTGTTAAGGTATCCGATTTTTTTTCCGTGGAACTAGCTACTCTAAATTTACACTACAGTTATTTTATGGTGGCGTGAGCATGAGTTACAATCGACCTGCTCGCCACAACTGATTTATTTATTGAGTTGGCGACCGGCGGTTGCAATCGACATTATCGACGTGCACGTCACAAAATGGAGCCCGCCTACGACTGCGACATGGGCGGGCACCTGTTGAAGCTGAGCGTATGCACATGAGGTGTCAACAGTAAGACAGCAGTTGTCCAGGGTCCCTTGCGTTTGATATGGAAGGCAATTTAAGCATTGGCAGTTGACCTAATTGGTATCAAATAATGACGATTGTTGGTAGACACCCGAAGTTCCGCCACATGCGTCAAGACGACGTCATTGTCCAACCTCGACGATTATGGTGATGATGGTGATGCAGTTGGCGAGGGATGCGTTGTTGGTCCACGGTCCTCTGGCGCACCGCTTGGGCATACACCAGCTGAGGAACGAGCTCGAGACCGTGGCGTTCGGAAGACTCTTTCCCCAGCAATTTAACAAGGTGCCTGCCTGTTGTTGCTCGTGGGTCATTAAATATAAGTACGGAACATGAAGCAACGTGAGCGTCATCAAGAGCGCCACGGCCTGGGGGTATGCCGCGATAGGGTGCTAGGTCATGAACCACTTTGAAGCAAGTGCGCACGAGTCAACCATGAGTAGTGGCTTGCTGCAGTTGGGAGCTATGTAGAGCAAGAGGCGCACAATGTCGAGCAGGAGTTGAAAGCTCGCCGTTCGGCAAAGTTGAAGGTGTGGAGTTACGCTAAGTACATGAGGACGTCGTGACGTCATGCTTTCGGGCGACAGGATAACTTCTGTGGTTGCCGGTGGTTAGAGTTCTCACTATTTTTTCTGCTGTACGGTTTGTATGCTTGAGGTGCGCCGAGCTACGATGGACCGATCTTCCGTGTACGAGAAGGTGGTGGAAGCTACCAAGGCCACGCTGAAGCAGGCGTTAAGAGACGCGCCGGCTTTCACAAACCAGGTGGGTGCTGCTTCCGGCCAGGATACGTTTCCGGTATCGCCTTACCACTGCAGCATAGCTGCACTCGTGGTTATCTTTTGCGCGGACAACACCGTTGGACACACGGAGGTATCGTAAGATCTTTCCCCACAGGCAGCAAAAATACGCCACTTCTCCAGACTGCTGGGTTGTCGGGCATGCTACTTCCTACTGGTGGTTATGCTCGTGCAGGTTTTTAAGGCGATGCTGTTATCGTCGATGTTGCCATGACGGGCGATGTACTCTTGTCAGCCAGTCGCAAAAGCGATCGATATGCATACATTGCAAGTGCGTGCGTGGAATCCTACTGTGATGGCGACCAGGGTATGTTCCCCTGACTTGCGATCGCCACGCGACTTCTGATATCCCCAGCCTCTCTCTTCTCGCTCTCGTTTTCTTTTTCTTTTTCTCAGCTTACTGGAGAAGCTACTCTGCAACACCGAATCAAATCTCCCTATTCGATGTGGAAGAAAATGGAGAAGAATCAGGTATGCGGTGGAAGACTGCCAGTATCACGCCTTAGTCTACACCAACATCGATCTTGCCTTGGGTGTTGCGGTTGGTTGTTTCACTTCACCTCTCATTTCCGGTTCTCGTTGCTATGCATGCATGCCCACATTCCTGCCCTGTCGTGGTACGGAGTAGTCCCGTACCCCCGGTTGTTAAGCTCTTCAATTTCATTCAAAATGTCACCACTGCTGTGTTTATGGTAGGGCACCAGCATCTACGGGATGGTTTGCCGGTTTCGGTTCCACTGCAGAACAGCTTATGCAGTACTGCTTGTAGCAGCCCTTTTTGTCCAATGGAAGGACGTGCTATACGTTGTACACCCAACATGTGTTGACGGCGCGAGTGACCTTGTTAATCGTGTAAGACCATCACGGCTACTTGAAGCCGCGGCAGACCTTCTTGTGCCGAGCGTACAGCAGTCCTTCTTGTGCCGAGCGTACAGCAGTGTTTCCAACCCTTGGTTCAGCAAATGTGATACGATCCGTCGTGATCCGGCGGCTGCGAGAGTAAAGAGCGATGATGCCGACAATGGTGGCGGTTTTGGCGGTGCAGGTCGGTGTGGAAGGCGTGTTCGATGCTGTGGCTGTGCGAGTGGTTTTAGAGGCTCGGAAGTGGCAAGGGGAGTCGCTGGAATCTTACACACAGCGTTCGGAGGACCTCTGCTACCAGGCAAGCCCATGCTTTTGATATTTCTGCGTGACGTTCGTATGGTGGACGTGTCTAGTGGTACGAGAAGCTTGAGAGCCTGCGCGGTGAGCGTGGTTGACGCACATTCCCTCCGTGCTTGAGACTCGTCGCTAGGTGTGTATGGTGGTTGACTCATTGGCGGGGAGTGTCCCACCTGCCTACGGTGTGCTTGAAACCTCGCTCGTCCCGTCGTATTTGCTCTATAATAGGGAAAACGAGGGAGCCTTAAACAAGGAAGACGAACGCGCACGAGTGTCGCAACGAAGTATTTTAGGGATTCTCGCCATGAGCGTCCTACGCCTTCTTTGAGAACATGTGGAGGGATCGAGATCACCAATGCCTGCTATGACACGTACCATGGTATGCCTTGTCAGACAGCCCCACAGATTTGTTGGTTGCACACATGTTCGATCACCAGTCACCTAGCTTGAGTATTCGAAAGGCTCAGCCAGCTCGTTGTACAGATGATTTGTGCCGGCATGGTCAGGCGCGCTCTCGTCTGCCTCGTAGATCTTTGCGGCTAAAATTCCTCCACACGCTGTTAACTTTTCAGGCTATGTCAGTGATCAAGAAGCTCTACCCTTGGTCGCAGTCACCGCAGCGTGTCAAGGACTACGTGGTTAAGCCCAAGCCCAACGGATACCAGAGCCTCCACGCTACACAGCTCGTGCCAGATGTTACGGACATGACGAGGCATGGCCCATCCGTCGCGATTGAATTCCAGGTACACCCCATCCTTTTTCTGCCCGAAACGCAACATGCTTGTTGTTTCTCTGTCGTTCCGTTTTTAGCAGCGGGCGCGGTATGTTTTTCGTGGTTTTGATTTTGAGTTGTGCACATGTCTGCTCGTGTGCTGCTCAATGTGCTTGCCACTCACAGGTGCGGTCGAAAGAGATGCATCAGAAGGCCGAGTTTGGTCTGGCGGCCCACTGGAGCTACAAGGAGTCGTCATCCAGCATGCCGAGCGGTCTTGGTTGGGAGGAGGACACCAACACGACCATCACACCGCCTCACAACCACAAGGTGTGCACCGTGGCATGTACCTACGGTGCTGTTGTCAAAAAAAAAATCATGGATGGATACAAGCAAGTCCAAACGCCGATCCTAGATACAACGTTTTGAGTATTTTGCTGCGCGGGTTGTTTGCCGAATAGTGGTTCCAACCAATAGCCTTGCGCATACGCACTGGCCGCTCGACTAGCCCCCCAAGTGTCGACCAACCTTGGATTTATGCCGCTCTTTCCCCCGGCCAGATCGAAACTGCTGTACATGCATATTTCGAGGCCCCCCAAGGTAGCGCTTGTTATACTCCTTGCACCATCCATGGGTCGCAAGCTCCCTGAGCTCCCTGTTAACGTGCCACCATGTTTTTCATCACGTTGTTGTGTCTCTTGCCTTCCTCGCACCCTGGGTCTATCCGTGGCACGATGCGGCGTGAACATGCACCATTCTTTTGAGTTTACATTGAGTTATCTGATGTTTTGCTTTTATTTGCTTTTCTTTGTTTGTTGTGCGGGATCTTACGGTGCCTCCCTTCTCTCTTGCAGGCCCCCGGAAAGGCAAGAGTACCCGACTCTGTCACGTCAGGACCGGAACTGGTCGACTGGCTCCACCGAGAACTTAGGGAACGCAAGGTCGGTCGCAGTGCTGTAATAAACAGGACGTTAGGACACAACTGCCAGCAGCCTCCCCGTTGTTGAAGCTTGTCACCCGCATCGTACGCACAACTTCAAAAGGCCACGTGTCGATTTTGGAACATACCATGGTAGGGTACAGTGGGCTAAACGTGTTTGGTACGGAGAGAGGCGAGACACCACAGAAACCCGTTCTCGCGGAAAATCATGTGCGAGAGTTTGTTCTCGGCTGGGGGAGTCTTCACTGTACGGCGATCGCTGGTGATCGTGTTCCTGTTTCTTCCACTGGTCGGATACCGTGAGCCCGGCATCGTGTTTACACTACTCTGGAACGACTTATTTCGTGCTAAACGAGGCTATCGAAAGGAGGGTTGTAGGACCCTGTCCGTGCGGTCACCATGCTGGAACGACGGAGGCTAGCAAAAACTTGAAAACCACCGTTTTACGTAAGTTGTTTTACTATTTTGCTATACTGTATCCCTCTCGCCCCGACGCCTCCACAGGTGTTTGTATTCGGGCCTGATAGGAAGATCTGGGAGCTGGACAAGGGTTCGGCGACAGCGGGGGATGCCTTGGGGCGATCGTACATGCAGAAGTTCTACGAGGGAGCCTTGCTGCACGACCGAAGAAAGATTAAGTCAGACGCCAAGGGACAGGGCGCAAAGAGGAAGACACGTACTGCATGGGTTAATGGCCGAGAGGTGTGTGCCGTGATAGTCATAACCGTTTCAGAAATAAGTGCCCGGGAGCACTTAAGAAAGCAGTTGGACTGCACGTGGTGCCACGTTCTGTTGGGTATGCGATCGCACGTTCACATTCGGGCACGACACGGAGCGCATCGATGCAGCACAATGGCGCTGCCACCGTCACACACATCGGGGGATGTGGCGGTGAAGGTACTGCTTGCAAGTCACGCAAGCCACTCACGAACTCTACGTCAACGCACATACGACGATGGCGATGGTGTTGATGGCTGTCGTTGGAGATGGATGAACTGTTTTCTCAGGGGGACCCGCGTTCTCAAATAGTCCGTGGTCGCAGGATGGCGTTTCAAGTGTCGTAGGGTTCAAAACAGGCTGATTTATATCCCTCCCGCGCCAGTGCCCCCTCCTCGGCGATTGCTTCGAGGATGTGCACTTTTTCTTCACGATAATGCGTTTGCAGTCAGTTTGTTCACCATGGATGTTGCGTCTTTTTTCGACGAACTTTCCCGTCGGCGCCAGGTGGACGCCAGCTATCTGCTCAAGAACGGGGACGTGTTCGATGTGGCACAAGCCTCACATCAAGCACCAGAAGACGCGTCGCAAGACGCATCAGGGAAGCAACCTTCGGCGAAGGATGGGAAACCAAGAAATCCGGCAGAAGAGAGCAGCAGCAGTAGCTGGAGGGCGCTCTCAGCGCCTCCCACCAGAGGGCTGACCGACTAAGCCGCCACGTCTCGATGTGCTGACTGCTTTGACAAGAACTGGCGCGTATCGTGTTCATACAATATCTATCTCCGGGCTGGTCAGCCAGGAGATCCGTCTAAAACTTGTGCAAGCAGCAGTTTGTTGCCTAGGGGGTGCGTAGTGCGTGGCAGTAAATTGTTACCATGTATGCGGAGGGGCCCTTCAATGTTGCCCTCTCTGCCTGGGGTCGGTAAGTTTTTGAAAGATTTTGACGAAAGGGGAGAAGCTGACGAAAGGGGAGTTTCGCGCAGTCAGCTTCTCCACACAATTGAGCCTTCTCGCTAGGAGAAGCCGTTGCCACCACCGACCGCAGTGCTTCAAATATTTAGGGACAACGTGAGACAAGGGGGCTTTTTTTGTAAAGAATTCATGGATGTATGGGAAGAGGACGCTTGACCGACAGAGGACGTTGCAGTTCGGTTTTGATTAGAGAGGGGGCCTGCGACGCTGTAGTTAGGGGCAGCGCGTTTTTTGCGGGGTGAGGTAATTATTGGTCAAAGAAGTTGTTCGTGCACGTTCATGTGATAAAATAGAGTTTCCACTCGTGTGGCCAAAAGTAGTGTGGTTCTACTTGTAGTCTTTTATGTTGCGGCTCTCGTAATATGCTTCTGCGATACGACCCAAGCCGCAAGAGATAGAAAACGCGATATGCATATGGAGTAGCGACTCTGGGGGGGTATCGATAGACGTAGAGTTGATAGACGGTTTACATTCTCTCTCGGTGTGGAGTCCGGGATGGTTTTGTAAAAATGTGACAACGTTTTTACTCCGAGTGAGGTTTCATTTTCTCAAGCGTTGAGAAGACAAGAACACACAAAAGTTGTGCATGGCAGGGTTGAACACTCACGGTGAGCTACCGGTTCATGTAGGGAAAAATGATCCCCGGATAAAAGCTTCTACGTAGGATATCCAAGTCACGACCTTGCGTTTGCCTCCCCTCTTCGCTATATTCTGGTGCGTCACAGACAAACGTGACACGCCAACAAGAAAGAGATATGGGTCACCGTGCCAGCGTAGGAATTGGCGTCAGGTGTCCCCAACAGCCGCAATATTTACGTTGAATGCATATGACCTCCAAAGGTGGCAATCGATGCTCGATATCAACGCAACACATGGGTCCGTGAGGTGACACTTCAGCCCACATCTGGATCAGAGAAATCACGCGACCACATCGCCAACCAAGTCATGGCTGCAACACCAGGAGGGCTTCGGATGTTGGTGATGTTGGTGCGCGCGATCGCATACAACCCTTGTCGGCTCTTGGGCAGCAAAGACGGACGGCGCAACTGCTTGATCTCTTCGGCAATTGTTACCCTCAGCGAAAAAGTCGGCGGTGGCCTTCTCGACAGTCAGGCGGGAAGGAATGAAGATGCACCACCCAGCGGGCTTGTGACGCACTTGCGTCTGTCAGTCGTCGAGACTGAGAAGGCGTTTCCCTCTCTTGTTTCCCGCCATGATCTCCCGTACTAGTGGTACCTGGTACGAACACCCAGTGACGTCGAACCATGCAAAAAAAAAAAAACGCAGAGAAGCGCATCGGGTAAGCAATAGATCAATGACCAACCACATGATCACTCATCTCCCCGTACGGCTTGCAGCGCTTTCCCCCTGGATCTCTGCACCGCCTTCGAAGTTAGTTTACCTTCGCTCAGGCGACAGATGAACTACGACAAATACGGAGTATACGTTACCCATATACGGTGTGAGCATACGGATTCTATCGTGCTAAACAACAAATGCAGCGAGTTATTTCTGAGAGGATGTTGTGAGAGCTTACAAAAACGGTGGTAGATGTGATCGACTCCATAAAAAAGCCGAACCGTCCAGCGGTGGAGGGCACCGCAGTCATTCGTCGGAGCGAATCATATAAAAACTCGACGAGAAACAAACGTTTTCGAAGCCACCAACGCGATTTGTTTGGCATCGCTGTCCTCCTCGTTTCTCGCAAGCCAAGCCACACAAAACGGTCACACCCTGTCGCTAAACAAAAGAACTCCACGCTACCATCGGTAGCGTAACACGTTCGCGCTTCATGACCACAAATACTGCTGAGATATTTTCTCACCTGACGCCCCCATGCTAAGACAGTTACGACGCCCTTTCTGCCCGCCCGTGCTGTCCTACCGACCCTCCTCATGTACTCGATCGGATCTCGCGGGAAATCGTACAGTAGCACGTGCTCCACCTGTATGTAACAGTGCCCGATACCCGATTGGTAATGCAATGACAGAGCTTTTCAAAACAGGTTCCAAGGCAAAATAATCGTCCATCCGTGCAGGGACAGAACAAGGAAGGACTATGCATAGACTGGCCACATAGTTATTCCATTTTCAGGGTTGGCCATCCTACTTATGCACCACCGGACGCTCGTAGTGTTCAATTGTCCTGCGGTCTTGTCTCTCTCGACTCAAGAGCTTTGATCCTTGATCCATGGCCACCCAGAATATGTGTAGGTGGGAAACACGTAGCCCTTACACCTAGGCTTTGTCTATCCTTTTGCCGCGAGACGGGTGCAACACTTCACAAAGTTTCCTTTGTTTACCTCAGGCCTACTTAAGGACAGGAAATTGTGACGTTGCTGTCATTCGTACGCCCGACCTGGTCGTCACGAGGCTAACAGGCAGGCATGATTCTATATACCATCAGGGCGACCCGCTCCATTGTGTTCGTATATAGAACCATGTACAGTTGGACGCTGTCTTCCCTACCAAACAAAACGGTAAAAAATAATATGAAACCTTGCAGTAGTAACTAGCAGTCGAACGAACCATAGTACTTTTGACATTTGATGCCAGGGAAATCAGATTTCAGATTAATTCCTGCTGTTGTCCCCGAAAAACTTCATCGTGTGACACGTTTCGCTGCTCTGCTACGCTACCAGGCTTTTCATTGTGGCCTACCTCTGCCCTGTCGAAGTCCATCCCTCTTGAAGATCGGTCCGTGCACACCATCACCATAGGACTCAGAGCGTTCGACCGCATGAATTGCTGCATGTTGCTAGCGGCCTGTAAATCAGGAGCGGCATGTTGATGTCAGGAACACACTTGCAGAGCTGGCGTGTTCCCTCCTGGATATGGCTTTCGTTTCTTGGCGGTCGTGATTGCCGTCTGATTGGCTACCTGCTGCGGAAAGATTGGCTGTTGTGCACCGTACCCAACGGCATGTATACTTCATTCCGAGCCTTCCCATACACTCGGCGACTTGGAACAGCAAGGCTGAATGGCTCGGCGAGTTGGCCTACAAGCAGGACTTGTTGGTCTACTCTACGCTTTCAGCTTCTATGCACAGCGTTCGGGAACAACAGTCAACATCGCATTCCGCCCCTCGAACGACATCTCGGCGAGTGACTCGCCGTTTCCGACGTCACTGCAACAAAAAATGCCACGCTGTGGCAGAAAATCGCAACAACCGCACGTGTAACATGCCCTTTCATAACATTACACTTGGTTGGTCCGAGTTACATGGTGACACCATCACATCACCTGTTTTGGGTCGATAGCGGAGTGATACACCAGTGTCTCGAACTGACCACCCCGGCTGGCCCGGGACAGCATGTTTTCCACCTGCCCGAGTGCAAGTGACACCAGCGACAGGTTCGTCGCAACAAATCAATCAGGGCACGCCATGCTTCCTTCCAAGTGACAACGAGCGAGACATGTCCGTAGCGCATCGTAACAGGGTCATGCAATGACACAGCACACCGTGGTTCTAGCACGCTGAAAGGATCGGGCAATTCAGGATGATTTCACATGAACTAAAACACGAAACGGCAGTCATTGCTGAGAGATATAAATGTAGCCGCAAAAAGGCTACTTTATTTAATCAGGAAGCATTGTCGCGACGTGGAGGAAGCTCGAAGCGTAGAGGTACACCTACTGTTCCGTCCTGACTGTCAAGTCCACACCTCGACAGAAATGACTCCCTCCCGTCTCCTACCACAAGCACACGTTGCGGCAAACCAGGTTACAGAAGCTGCATGACTTGCCTGCCGGCAGCCCTGAATGGTGTTGCAGAACACGAGCGTCCTTAGAGCCATCCGACGCTCCAGCTGAGAGAGCAAGGCATCCCGTTTTCTTGCCAAACCGGTCTCCTCGTTCCGAGGCTCACCAGGCGGGCCGCTGCAATCGATCAACACCTGACCCATCGAATGGTAAAATATCCGTGATGGCACGCAAGGTTCCACACATGAAGCTCGTTGGCCACAGCCACTCTCTTCCGGTCACTCGCCAAACACTCATACGAAACTTTCGGAAACCGGTAAGACTGCTCACCGAGCTCCATTCACCCATCTTCCCTCAAGGTACCCCATGTGATCCACCTTCTAAGTGTTGAAAACCGGTCGCAGAAAACGGTTTGCGGCGATGCCTCGTTCTTTCTAGCCTATCCAGGTGTCGCCGAAAGCGAAACCTCAACATCGGATACTCGTTCGCCATCGCCATCGCCGGTACGGCGCACTCCCTCTCGCCTCACCTCCTCCACACCAGGGGCGACGCGGTGCAATCCAGGTCCGAGAAGGAACTTGGTGCCCGGAAACTCCTCCTTCAGCATGTCCGATACACTCTGCGGAGCCAGGGAAAAGCCAAAAGCGATACAACAAGCAATCCGAGGCAGTGTTAGGCCACCCGCATCTTAACGCTACACACACGAGCTTTTTCCGCACACGCAACATCAAACCAAATATTTTCGTACCGGACACAGTTAACGAATTTCAAGCATACGGTGACGACGCCAAACTGCGGTATCGCATCGGTACAAGGATGGATTGAAATGAAATGTCATGCTGACACCTTTAATAGCACTCTTTGCTACGACGCAGTATTTTCAGGCATCCCATTGTTGCTTGTTGCAGTATTTAGTCTACAGTACCTGCGGTAAGGTGGCCGTGACGAAAATAAACTGCGTGTCCTCCGGCGCGCAAGTCCCGATGGGGGCCAGCTGAAAAGTCTCGTCCATGAAAAGCACATCCACCTAATGCACGTCAACACGCCATGAACCACGGCAAGACACGGCACATCGGACATGAGATCGACAAACACAACACACGGCGGGGCATGGCATGTTCAGCCACACGGCACCTAACGTTGCTGCCGAAGTCCTTGCAGTGCAAATCTGGACGAAAATGCATGGGGTAGAGCCTGGTGAACCGAGAGGTGCCCTTTGAACAACCAAACGCTGCCCTTCGAACGCTTTCGCATGTCACATTGCCGAAAGCACTGATTTCGAAAAAAACTGTGTGGCCACCTCTTGAAGACGTCCGGCGGCGCAAGCTCATTCAAACGCCACACCAGGCTTGGTCACACGCCCATACAACGCCAGAGGAAATGCCCCGGAGCCATTTACCCGAGAAGAAGACTTCGGGCACGCGCTATCTCTATGATTTGCGTCGGGAAAAACATACACGGTCTGAAAGCGGCAAATTCGAGCACGCACCAGCCCGCAACAACAACCTGACCGTGGTGACACCTAGCATGGCGTGGCACGTAGTACCATTTGCTTTGTTCCAAATGGACATGGGCATGCCCCACGAGCACAGGGCACACGAGGTTAACCTTGCTACTGATACTGATACATGTTATGTGCATGTACAGAATAGCATTTCGGGTTCGACCGCCTCACACCTTAACCAACCAAAAACTCGGACACACCTCATCCAAAATCACCGCCCGGCAGTCTTCGAGGTTCAGCACTCCCGCTTCCAGCAGAGTGGCCACCCGTCCAGGGGTAGCCACCAGAACGTCTACGCCCTCCTGCAGGCACCGCCGCCGTGGAAAAGCAAGGGGTGCACAAAATTACAACAGCACTTCAGCCCGTGCTACTACAGACACTTCTTCCAGAGAAAGCTGTTAAATAAAACAGTGGTTGTGTAGATAAGTCTGATTGAATGTCTACGATTTGAGCCGGCAAGGAATGTAGGATTGCCGGTAGAGCATTGCTACACATAAATCCAGACAGTCGGATAGAGAAGCAGCCTGCTCGGCGTTAGGTCAGCTTCTCCTTAAACCTCCAGTAACATGAAGGACGAGAGGAAGCCACAAAAGTGAACGTGGCAAGAACTACATACAAATAGACGGTTAAAAACACTGAATCGACTTTACAAGGACAAGATCTCGTCATCGTTGCTGTTGTCGGTCTTGAGAAGGGACTGCAGGGCTCCACGGCAAAGCAGTACTTGGAAGGCTACGGACGAACATGCCATGCATTAGGTACTTCAAATGCAAACAGTTGTCGATTGTTGTACTACATGACCTTCGACGCGACATGCACTACAAAAGCCAACCGGCTGTCTCAACATACTAAATACCAAAAGATTCATGCTAGCTATCCTACAGTTGCGTTTGGAATATCAGGAGTCGCGGACAACAAATAACACCATAAGGTGACGCTATGAAGACTCCGCGCTCACGAACAAGGTCACAAACTACTAAGCCTTCGTGGTTGCAGGTGCGCCGGATAAAAATTGGCTTCGTTTCGAAGCAGCCATCAAATTTGTCTTCCTGTTTCTTACCGCACCGAGCCAAGCACAGGCAAACAGCTAGCCAGGCCCTACAGCGCTCTTCAAGACAAGGTGCAACTGACTCTATCCTGGGAATAGTACAACAAACTCAAGTTATCAATCAAAAACGGCAACAACAGCACTGACGACGGCGTCGATCGATCCAGACTTTCATCAGGACTTGACTCGGTCGATAGCATGCACAGTCTGTCTCACCTCCAGGAGCTTAGCTTGCGTTTTGAACGTCCGACCCGGTCCCCCCGTGAAGCAGCAGGACCGGAAGGGCACGCTTCCCGACAAACGCTGTGCAACACCATACACCTGGGCGGGAATGGGTCTCAGAGTGAGGATTACGTTACGGAACCATATCATATGGTCATGTGGTCATGTGTGATGGCCAAGATATAGAGACGGAAGTGTGGCAGTACGCGAACAGCGTGGACGTTGCCCACGCCATCTGCCTGCATACCAGCGCGCCACGTCAAGAAGCACATCAAACTAGTAAGAAGCCCTTTTGTCACAGCAAGTACTCAGCTTTCTTCAGGCACGCCCGCAGGTGATGAACGGTTGCTCCATTCCACACCATCCCATCACGTCCGGGACAACCAACACTAACATTTTCATCTATCTCTCCTTTGCGGTATGTGAGTATCTAAGATTCTGAAATGGGTATGACTGGTCTCTTCCATTAGACTTTATTCCCAGTACAAAGGAGTCAAGACAGTAGTAGCAAATACCGCTGGCGAGGCGTGTGAGTCTCGTGCACCACAAATACCGCACCGTCGTGCTGTTGCTATAGCGCAACAATGATACATGCCAGCAAGGAGATATCTCGATTTACCGCCATCGCCACCTCCCACCTGTGCAAGTGCACTAGATGGGACTGCAGAGGTTCATGTCAGAGGCAACGTCGAAGGGTGTGCCTACCCTACCTGCTGCGCCAGTTCTGCCGTGGGCGCCAAGATGAGCACACGAGGCCTGCCAGGCCTAGCCCTTCCATGCACCTCCGCCAGCTCTTCCAACCTGTCGTATCGCATCGCACGCCAAGGACAAAAAGGTTGCAGAGCAACAAAATTCGGTCCAAGTCTGAACAATGATGTTCAAAGCCCAAAACGGTGAAACCCGCTGAAAGGCGGGGAAACTGCACAATAGGACAGACCGGCTTGGCAAATCAACCAAAGCAACCGTGTCGTCACATGACATGTAAGCTATTATCACGAAGAAAAAAAACAGTGGGAAACAAACAGAAATAATACTGCGGTTGGTCGTGCCGCGGCAAGACGAAACAATTGCACACGCACAGGACAAAAAGAGTTTGTTCGGGGTGCCGGGGCGTGCACTATGTTAGCACGCTCGCATGGTGTTGACGATGCCATCGACTCTGGCAAAGAAAATCTTCGGGTCCTCGCCAGGCGGCATCTCAACTGTCTCCAGCCGCCGCACATGCAATGTCTTCTCAGCGTCAAAAGTAGGTAAAAGCCATTCGTGGGTGATATCACCCACGAATGATGATATCACCCACGAATGGCTTTTACCTACTTTTGACGCTGAGAAGACATTGCATGTGCGGCGGCTGGAGACAGTTGAGATGCCGCCTGGCGAGGACCCGAAGATTTTCTTTGCCAGAGTCGATGGCATCGTCAACACCATGCGAGCGTGCTAACATAGTACACGCGCCGACACCCCAAACACGATATCGTGGAGTCAGTTGACGTCGGTAGGCAAAGGTTCCGGAGGTAGGCATCGGAATACAAGGGCAGCAGCAGCGGGCGGTTTTTTCCTTTTCCCGCGCGCGTCCAGGAGGTCCGGGGAACAGGGTGTGGAATACAAGGGCAGCAGCTGAAGGCGCGCCAAGGAGATCCAGGTAACGCGTATGGAATACAAGGACAGCAGCAGTAGGCGCGGCAAGAAGATCCAGCTACGCGAACAAGAATCGGAGTAGTTTTAGGCATGAATGGCGAGGAGAAAGAAAAATTGTAAAAGAGATTGAATGAACTACAGGGGAGGATGGACCAGGTAGAGGCGGAGAGGGAGGAGGCCCGAAAAGAGGCGGAGGAGGAAAGGAAGAAGGTGCGGGAGTTGGAGGAAGCGGAAGCGACTAGGGCTGCGGCTGCAGGTGCGGCGCGTGCTTGGGCCGCTGGCAGAGCGGGATTCGGTTCTCAAACGATGAGCATGGCCGACAGCAGTAGTCATTTTTTGGGCGGTCGTTTTGGTGGAATTCGAAACCCCCCGAAGCACCCGAACGACTCGAGCAAGTTAATGAGCTGGTCACGGCGGATGCGAGCTTTCCTCGCTGTCCAGGGTTTGGAGCAAACCCTTGACCGCAAACCATCATCAGGTTTTGTCCACGTAATCAGCTGCCCGGATAGAAACTACCTGAACCGCACCCATGGACCGCAGCTGGTGACAGCACACCTGCGAGCGTGATACTATAGTACAAGCGCCGACACCTCTAACAGAGTTCAGCGTACGTTTGACGGCTGGTCGATGCTGAAGCAGAAACCTTTTCATCCGAGTGCTTGTTTTAGCACGCCCTACTAAGGGTCATGAAGGGTGTTTTTCGAACATAAACAGAACTCGAGATCGCCGCACGGAACTGCACTCGACATTCAGGAGTACAGCGCCATACCTGAGGCGTTGCACAAGCGGAGCAAGGTAAGCTAACGTCTTGCCGCTGCCGGTCTGATCTGCCACCACGCAGTGATCGCCCGTCAAGATCGCCGAGTACGAGATCGCCTGTGTACGAAACAACCAGGCAACGATGACGAAGCCGCGACGTCAAAGCCGGAATATAAGTAAAAGCCGATCATAGGGCGTTAAGAACAAGCCGCGAAGTCCACCACACCAGGCCGGAGATCGATTATCAACTCTGACGTTTCACGACTCAGAATGACAGCATATGCATAGCAATGCGGGGTTCTGACTGTTGCCTGCCCATCCCATATGGCACCTTAACCCCGAAATCCGGATAAAAACACTCAGACGTTTTTCTAGCACTGACGTTCAACGACATCGACCGCAAGACGTCCATGTGCTTGAATTACTGTAACACTTGCTGATCAGGTCAGTACCAAGAGCAAACCTACCAAGGGTACAAGCTCCGGCAGGATGACTTCTTCACTACTGGAGGTCGATAAGTAGTGCCATACCCGCTACATGACGAAAACACGTGAAGACAGCAGTGGTACCGCTGGTCTACGCGGAATCGCATGATTTCATGGAAAAGTTTCGTTCGCTTGTTGCGAATAAATAAACTCGGTACTCTCATCCCAGCTGGATACTGCCAACCACCTCACCTGGATCTTGGAAGGCCGGACCACTCCCAAAGATTTCAACGCCGACACCGCCAGGTCGCTTGCGCCGATGTCTGGCAAGCTCTGGTGACATGTAGGCGTTTCGCATCACGGACGGCAGCAACAACTTACGACACTCAAAATACCCCGCGCTCACGGGAACATGAAATGAGTTCTAAACCCAGCAAAAGGAGAGGTATATGGCAGGAATGAGGTGAGGAGATGAGATACTTCCATTGCGCAAGGGTTTGACACTGGGCAGACATCATTGTCACCCCAACCATATGGTCCTTCTGGCAGAAACTCATGCAATGCCACGCGTTGTGATGTAAAACCGTTCAAAAGTCGAAGTCCTTGACGTGATTTTCACGCCGGTGGTGAGTTATTGACTGCAGCGGATGCGAAACAAAGCGACAGTAGTAAATAGTAACGTAGATCCTTGCCAAGAAAAGTGTGTGGCACGGGGGTGAACGGTAAACGACAAAACACACACACACACCTTGATGCTGTAGAAATGCTCTCTGTCTACCGGTCCCATCCGGCTACCGAGGCTGCCATCGTCCACCTCTCCATCAGGGCCCACCGAAGACTCTACCCTCACAGTCGCATCCGCAGGAGCTCTGGTTGGTCTGATCCCCACCACATCGTCATCGTCATCCTCATACCCCCAAACCTCGCCACGCCCTGTTTCATGAGCTCGCCCTCCGTGCCCACCCTCGCGTCTTCCAAACTCGCCACGCTGCTGCCTCCCTCCCCCCTCAAAGCTTTGCCGCCCTCTGCCTCGCCCCCTCCCCCTCCCGCCGGCTGGTCCAGAATTCCTACCGCCGCGATTGAAACCGTCCCCTTCAAAGTCAAGGGCCTCTCCCCCTCGCCCATCCGTGAAGTAGCCCCGTCGACCTCTACCTCCGCCCCGCCCACCTGATCGTCCCCGTGCCCTTCCGTAGCCCCTCTCTGCTCCCCGGCCGCCGCGGGCTTGGTCGCCTTGATCATACCCACCTCCGCCGCCGTAATTGTTCCCGCTGTACCCACCTTCGTCGACAAAACCGTAGCTGCTCTCGCCGGACGACATATGTCATACAGAGAGAGTACGTCGAAACGCAACATGGAGGTGGGTGTGTCTGTCAAAGTCCTGGAACTGAAGACCAAGACGTTTGGTTCGAAGAGAACATCAGAAATACAGTATTTGTAACGGTGGGGGGGGAACAGGTGGTACCCTACTGCCCAGGTTCCTCGTGGGGCAGCTACAGTATGGTCATTCACTGAGACATTAAGTGCTGGCTTCGTCGCCTCCAGTTTGACCCCTCACATTGACGATCAGATCCAGCTATGCAGATACCTATACAGACCACTCGTTTGGTCACCTAGGGCCTTACGCTGCGTAGAATCCACCTCGAATTCCCGACCATGAGGTTTATCCCCGATCTGTGCGGACGTGCGGACTCTCCCAATCACTTTCATTCACCCACCCGCCATGCTTGACGTCTGGTCTGCCACGACCGCTTTGGTGCTCTCAAACAGTACAAAAAATGCGGTTGCTAAGCCTTGCAGCACTTGGTCGGCTTCAAACCGAAAAAGTGGAACACAATGAACAACGGTCGGGCATTTGATATTATACCATGGGTCAAGCCCGAGGACGTCACCAACGCAAAGCCAAGACCTCCCCTCTCTTCGAGCGTTATCCGTAACATTAACATTGGCATTGCCAGACCTGGGGTGGTGGGCCGACATATCGTGCCCCACAGGTTCATTTTCGAAAAAGCTACTTTATAGAGCATCACGCATGGCGCATCTTTGCATGGGCGGGCCTCAACGCTATTGCTCCAATCGCACCAAACCAGCCTGTATTTGTTCACCTGTCGTCCTGGCTGCGGTCGAAGCTACCGCCGCCGCCCCTTCCTCTCCCTCGCCCATCCCGCCTACCGCCGCTGCCGCGGCCCATCATGTCCAGTCTTGAAGTTGACGTTGACGTTGGGAACCACATCGAAACTCGTCTGCCCCGAGTAGAGCCAACGATGTATCACCATGCCGTGGTGGTTAAGAGTCAGTGCGAGTGTTGTCTTTCGCGCGGGACAGGTTCATGGTCGTCCGATCACCCCAAAGGTGCAAATTTGTGCTCGAATGCAACGCAAGCCTCATTTTGTAAAGGCGAATAGGCCAGAAAACACGTTGGAATACGCGGCAAGCAGTAAGAGAGTGCTTTCCACCCAAATCTGTGGGTTGGCGAAGGTTGCCGCGACGAATTCCTTGCTGTAGCGTACCGCAAACCAGTACCAAGCTAATGCAGACTATAGCACTATTGGGAGCAGTACATACGAGAGGTTGTCACAATTGACAATATTCTGGTATGCAGAATAGAGAATGTACACGCGGAGGCGGCTTTCCGTCTACTGCGTAGCCAACTATGTTGACAGTTGACAGGTATCAACGCCTCGTGCCCCAGTGACCACGTGACGATCAGTGGCCACCACAAGGTTGGCTGACCCTAACATGTTCGACAACGGTACACCTCTACAATAGTTGTACACCGTGTGAACAACAGCTTGCCTATGGATACCAGAAGGCATCAAGTTAGCGCACTGAAACCATGCTCGGCAGCGATACACCGTGCAAGCGGCCATCGCTTGGATTTATACACCACACACATGCCACTTCCCCAACCTGCACTACAGGGTGCCGCTGAGGGTGCCCTTGCGTCGTGCTGCGGCGGGACATACTGCCGTAGAGTACAAGTACATGGACCGTACGTATTGCTGAGTCCCGACACAGCAGAACGCAAGGATGTTACGACGTCTTATAGGCTGCATACCTAGTCCCTTCCGATGAATGGGGAATACCGAGCGTCAAGGCAGGAAAAGGCAGCGACGTAGCTGGCGGAGACATGCCACCGAAACCATTGACGACAACTACAGTGTTGGACGAAGGTGCGGACATGAGCGACGTAGCGACCAACATCGCAGACCATGCTCCCGTACACCGCCTGCGGCACCGGCAACGGGTTGAAGCGCGCGCCATGCCCTTGCTGCGATCTGTGCTGGTCACAACACTAGCAATTGCTGCTGCTGCTGTTGTGCTAAGCAGCATAGCGACAGCGGTGATGATGCTGTGATACGCTGGCTGTTGAATGTTGAAGGTGGGCATGAGCCAAGCGGCTCTGCGGATGGCAGTACAAGCGGGGGGTGGGGTTGCGGGCGAAATACCACCCACACGCCTCGCCCAACCAAGCAAGCAAGACACGCCCAAGCAGCATCACCAGAACCAGCACTTGTGGTGACAGATCGCTTCATCGAGATTCAGTACCGCTCACGACACACTTCACCGAAAGCGGTTGGACAGTATCTAGCCGCTCCCGTAAGGAATCAACGAGGTGAGTGCAATCGTTCTGGTCTGTAAATCCTTTTTCAAAATGATACGTGCGCGTCTAACAACAGCCTACCCTTCGCATGATCCACGTCATCCCTTGCGATACTGAGAGCACATCCGGGCTGGATTTAGCGCGTTTTGATCCCTCAGTACTTGTCTGACAAGACGACCAAACTTGTTGTAGGTTGAGGTTTAGGTGGGGGCGCATACAATACGTGCGATGTGTCGTTGAGCCAGGTGGTCGTCGTTGTTGCAGTTTGAAATATCAAATATCAACCACGATCAGACTACGCAAGCGCAGGCACACGCGCTCGCAAGCGTTCAACAACGAACAGCATTCGTCTATCATCCGCTGTCCACCCAAGACTGTTCCACGAGCAGCTTCAAGAAGCCATGTGCCGGTGCCACGCTTCTGTTTGCGCATGGACATGTAGCAGGTCTACCGCAGACCAAGTATTGAGTATTTCCGAAGTCCACATGCATTTTGTATCCTCACTTGCCGCAGTTCACCACCGCTGTCGTCTTCATAACGTCATGGTAATGTGGAAGTCGCCGGTCGGGTCCAACGAGGTCATATCATACTGTATCCACTCGATGTTCTTGAGATTTCTCTTTCATGCGCCCGTTCCTCCTGTTCTCGTGTCGTGTGTTTGTCCCCCCCTCCCCCAAAGTCAATGCTAGGTGCCACCTTCAGTCGTGTTCGAGGCGGGCTCGGGAGCAAGATTAATACAAGCACAAGTGTGCGAACCGCAACAGCAGCCGGCTCCCGTACCATGAGTTTGTGGAGTGAAATGCCCATGGGACCTGCTGACCCAATCCTGGGACTCACCGGTGAGCTCTACACTCTGTAGCAAGGAAGGTTGCAGCCCAAGCATACTCTCTCAATGTACTGCTGGTGTACCTGACGCGACATATAGAATTCAAGCATTAGCCCACTTGTATCGCAACTGCACATGTGCCTGTTGCTGCCGGTCGGCAGCTACAACGCTCTCTTGGGTACAACCAGTTCAACACCTGACTCTCTAGGGAAGATGGGCAAATAAAACAGATGCACCGTCCATGTTCATATGGGTGTACAGATACAGTAGTGATTCCTGTATATAGTAGGAAATTCGCCGGCCTTATACCGGGCACCCGGCACCATACAGAGTAGAAGACAACTTGAATATTTGTTCCCATCAGCGATTCTGTCTGTCTTTCACGGGGCGTTCAGCATGCTACCTACCCTAAATAGGTATACAGCTGTAGTAGAGGTAATGATGTAATTATGCTTATAGGGTTGGAGTTGTTTGTGTTCGACTGCCATCGGGGAGAGCCTATTGTACAGCAGTATTGTACCCCTGTGTAAGGCCGCCAGGTCGCCCTGTTTTAGGCCGTTAATACCGCGTGACACAGATGGAATATTCAATATTCAAGTTGGCTTATACTCTGAATAGTACCGGGTGTCCGGTATACGGTGGGGTGTCCGGTATAAAGGCCGGTCGCATCCCTTGGCACTATGCGGCCTTGTACAGGGACCAATAGTGTGCTGCTGAAGAGCGTGTGAAACAGCGCAATGCACGCGAAGGGGCACATACTTGTGAACGAAACGCAACAACGCAGACCCACGCACCTATGGTAGCGGTCTGTACCGTCTCCTTGTATCACGCATCCTTTGCCGCAACTACGTAGCCGTGTTTATCGAAACGTATTTTGTGATACACATGTGTTTTGTTGGATGGATGAACGTGTTTTGTGTAATAACTTCCTCTCTTCGTATCAATCGCAGATGCTTTCAACAAGGACACGAACCCGAACAAGGTAAGCCTTGGGGTCGGTGCATACAGAGGCGACAACGGAAAACCGTTCGTACTGGACTCTGTGAGGAAGGCAGAGAAGCTGGTGCTCGACAAATCCCTCAACCACGAGTACGCTGGAATAGCAGGTGAGCTCGCAGAGAATAGTGTATGATGTCGTCAAAGTGACACCTGGTACCGTTTTTTATCGTGCAAATTATGTCAAACAAACCTGCGCAAGTACATGTGCTCACATCGAGGTATTCCCGCCTCGCTCACACAGGGAACAGAAATGACGTAACTCAGTTGCGCGAGTGTGGCGGACTGATCGTGCCCGCGAAGGACCACGCTCTCGTACATCTACTTCGTGTTACAGTTATTGTCGGATGCCATCGCTTGTCTAAACAGGCGTGCCGGATTTCACGAAACTGTCGCTGGCGTTCGCGTACGGGAAGGACTCCCCTGCCCTCACGGAAAACCGTGTCGCTGGTGTACAGGTGAGAGGTGGATAGTCGGTGTCCACCCATGCTTTTGCCCCGCGGCGCTACGATAGACCTGTCTGTCAGGATTGTTGAAATACTGGCGCTTTGTCCAGTTTTACTTCCGCACCTGCTTGATGTCGTTGATTCGCTCAGATTTTTTTTGCAAACCGTAGACCACGTAGACCATGCAAGCTTGAAAAGGGCAGTATCCTCCACGGGTGTGCACAGCAGTGTTGCGAGGGTCGGCTCTGCTTCAGCATTTGCTGGTTATTGGGGGAGCGTGTGTCGGGCGATGCAGTTAGCCTTTGCGGTTCTTGGTCGGCAAACACGATTGACATGTTTGATTCTTACGGGGCAAGCAGGCAACAGCAGTTCCGGCCGCTTGCAGCGCGGAGAGGCCTTTTTTGCGCCTTTGTCGCTATACCAAGCCATGACAAAAAAAATAGTCATCACGCTGGTACCAGGGTTCCCGTATTGTATTAGTGAGTAGATGTGCGTCCCAAGAGCTAGAGCAGTGTTGTACACCGTGTGGTTCACCTGACTCTTCCCAGCCTCACCTCTCCCCCGTTCCACCCCTTTTGGCGCTTTTTTGGTCATGTCGTGTTTGCCTCCTTGTTCCTTCTGATGTAGACCCTGTCGGGTACTGGGGCTTGCCGCGTCATGGGAGAGTTGTTCGCGAGGTTCCGCGGCACGGGGTCCGCGATCTACGTGCCCAACCCTACCTGGGGAAACCACATCCCCATCTTCAAGAACGCGGGCTTGGAGGTTAAGAAGTACCGATACTTCGACCCGGAGACGGTCGGCCTTGACTTCGAAGGTGACACCATGCGGCGGCACCAACACTTTTTCATGGCATCATAGCAGTAGTGGAATGACATACCATCGTTTAGGGCAGAGCGGCAGTTCGTTTGTCTGTCTGATTCTCTCGTAGTCTGTGTGCCCAGGCTGTTGTTCGTCTTGGGTGGGGTGATGACAGTCAGAGCGCTGCCGGTGTTACGCATCGTGCTGTGTTTTCTATGCCCGGTAGGGGATGAAAGGCCGATAAGCCACCTTCTCGCTTTCAAATGCATAGCGCCTGATGTCACACAACTCACAAAACTCGGTCTGCGCTTGATAATCAACCACACTTCACGGAAGAGGTTGAAATATCCTGCTATCCACCAGTAGGTTTATTTTGTTTTGTGTCTCGTTTCCTCATTTACCCACCTATTTTGGCAGGTCTGATCTCGGACGTGCAGGCAGCGGAGGATGAATCGGTGTTCTTGCTTCACGCCTGTGCCCACAACCCCACGGGGATTGACCCTTCGCAGGATCAGTGGGCGGAGCTGAGCAAGGTCATGAAGAGTAAAAAGCACACCGCTTTCTTCGATTGCGCTTATCAGGTGACCACCCACGAACACTTTGCTCGTCATATGCATATGTACCGCAATCCGTACGATATCGTGTACCTGCTCGTACCACTATCTGTTGTTCAAATTTTGTGAGCACATTTTGTTATTTCAGACTGGAATTTTGGGGGAACGATACGGTCGCGACCAACGGTATTGATTTGCTACATGGGCACGTTTTCGAAGATGATTTCTAACTGATTGCCGATAAGCCCGAACGGTTGTCGCAGCGCTAAAAGCATATGCAGACCATGATTGGATGTTTTCTTCCTTCTGCTGTACGGCTATTTGTACTTGGCATTGTCCTCGCCGTCTAACTATTTAGCCCTTTTTTCCCTCTCTCTGTGCGATGCAGGGCTTCGCCTCTGGAGATGCGGAATTGGATGCTTGGGCAATCCGGCGATTCGTTGCCGACGGTCACTGCATTGCCCTCGCGCAATCCTTCGCCAAGAACTTTGGCCTCTACGGGCAGAGGATCGGTGCGCTGTCGGTGGTCTGCAACGATGCCGAAGAGGTGACGTACCGACTTCGATCAGATCGTTGGCTATGTTTCCTCTGCCACCTACCAGTGTTTTTTATGCATTCCACGTTGAAAAAGTGCCGCTATTTGAGTGCTACAAGTTCTCACATGTATCACCACGATACTCCGTTGCGAGTGTTTGAACCGTTTGCATCAAATTGTATGCATGCTCACCATGTCAAGGTTGAGATCGATCCCCACGAAAGAGCACTCGCACCCACTGCCAAGGGGTGCGAAGTCGCGGCAGCCTGGCCGTTGATTGTGTTGACTTTGATGAATCGCGATGTAATGGCTCTCAGTTGGAGTTTATTGTCTCCGCGATTCCATTTTCCGAGACTGCAGCAGGGTGAATTCCATTATATCCCGGCGTGTATCACCTTCCTTCGTCGAAATCGAACGAGCACCTCAGACGATGTTGAGAGGATAGACACCGCTCGTGCAGAGTTGGCCTCAATATTCTCCTCCCTACCCCTCCCCTCCGATTTCGTCCTCTCCTATCGATTCGTTTCCGCCGTCCGCTGGAGCTAGGCTGAAAGAGTAGGATCCCAGATCAAGATTGTGATCCGTCCCATGTACTCCAACCCGCCCGTGCATGGTGCGCGCCTAGTCGCGGAGATTTTGAGCGACGAGGCCCTTTCCCAGGAATGGTCCGGAGAATGCAAGGTGCGGTTCAACGTGCTGGGGCAGCCAGGATGTTTGTTGTCGTGATGTGCGGATTGTTCCCGGGTTGCGTGCGTGCCTGGTTTTGGTTTCTCTAGCCGCAAGCCTTCTTCACTGTGTCAGACGAGCGTAATGGTATAGTTCTGATCCAGGCCGGTGTTGCCATGTTGAGGCTGACGTAAGTCGATTATTTTGTGTCTGTCTTCGTTGTCTTACAGCGTGTGGAGTCTTGTTCAATTCCAGGTTGGCCTGGTTCTACGAACGTCCGCATGGATGCTTGAATGTGGCGAACGGCCATATTGTTATGGCAATACCGAGTACAGCGTGCCTCTTGCTCGCATCGCATCGTGTTGTTTTTTGAAGCGAGGGGCGTACTCTCTCCACAAGAACTGAAACTGCGAGCAACATAGTCCTCGGCTTCATCAGGTGGCGAAACATTTTACACGTTATTCCGGCGGTGACATTCGACTATGCCTGTGGCGCATCACAGGCCATGGCAGACCGAATCATTGCGATGCGAACGGCGCTCAGGGGGCACCTAGAGGGACTCAAATCTGGTCGATCGTGGGAGCACATCACGGACCAAATCGGCATGTTCTGCTACACAGGTCTTACTCAGGAGGAGGTGAGAAGCGACATGCAAACTAGCCACCCTTGCGTCGGCTGCGCACTTGTCTGGTTTTCATTTCATGCCAAGTACACCTGAGTTCATGCCAAGTATTCCTGTCGATTACAAGTATTCAATCCAAACGTCATTCTGCATCATTGCTCCTTGGACAGAGTCTTATCAGACTTCATACTTTGTGCGCGAGACTGGCCCATGTGCACCTTGGAGGGCGACCGCTTGACGGGTCGTTGCTCACTCATCTTGTAATCCAGCCAAGCCTTCACCAAGCATTCTCATCAGTGCAGGTTTCTCGTTGCTTGCCTGCCCAGTGGAACCACGAACAACCGTATCTACTTCTGTGTTTGTGGTGAGCGCCACGTCAGCACCCACTACTCGCCGGTAGATTACTTTAGTTGACCAGGGCACCGTCGCTGTTTGGTTGATGCTCCCCCCCCAGCAGTTTGTTTTTGAGAAGCCCCCTTTCGGGCGTCGTTTGTTGCGAAACGGCGATTGCCATTTTTTTTCATGACACGCATTGAGTCAATTATGTAGACGCATTCTGTTGCGGCGATGTTAACGCGGACACTTCTGCCGGCTTCAACTGTGGTATGGTCACTGCCAGGTGCTCAAGGTACGCGAGGATTCGCACATTTACTTCACCAACGACGGTCGGATCTCCATGGCCGGCATCACAACTGCCAACGTAAAATATGTGGCAAAGAGCATCTACGCGGTCACTGGATAGGATCGTAGTATTATCGTGCGATTTCATGTTTACCCAGCAACAGGGAAACTAATGTGCTTTTGACTGCAACGATGAGATTTCCTAAGTAACGTGCCGCAAAGGTATGTTACCCGTTGTCCGTGTAGGACAGAGTACTCCTCGTTTTGTTTTATTTTTGCGAATTCAAGCATTAAGCTTGACTAGTGGAATTCGTGTTCGTGTGCACCATCTTGTACGATGTCTCGGCCGGTCCTTGTTGTACCGAGATTTTCCTTCTGTGTTATGAGATCGTGCCTCTTAGGTTTGGAATGCGTGTTGCGTGCCACAAAGTGTAGGTCGCCGCCACCGTTTTGCTGGTGGGACATTCTGTTTCGCATTGGCTCGCATGTGGTGTTGCAGGCATGGGCATGTATTTATAGTCTGTCGTGTCATTGGTCGGTGTGCTAAATAGGACCGGGAGGCTGTCATTTAGTACATGGTAGCGTTTAGCTGCGAGCGTGCTGCAAGATACCGTCTGCTTTGGAGTAGAGACAGTGAAGGTAGGCGCAGGAATGACAGGATATGGCACTGCAAAAATGGAGGCCTTCGTGGCACCCGACAAGAACCAAGTCCGCTACGAGGATGGAAGGGGAGTAGGGGTCCAAGCGATTTGTGAGATATTCTTGATTTCTTTGTGTTAAAGCATGGGGGAAAATCACGGCCAAGCTCAGCCTGATCATGCGTAAGTCCCTTTTTGATTTGACGGGCTCGAGCAGTCGTCATGGGAATATCGAGCTCGCCCGCAAGAGACACACAGAAAGGCTTGTAGCGAGAAATTGGGACTTGTGCATTTCATGCTCCGATCGCACATACATAACGCAATGGAAGACACCAAGCTTCTGATCTTCTCAAAACGAACCCGAATCATACGAGCGAAACACTTTTCAACGACCAGCACGCTGTGTACGTCCAACTATTAATAGTATTCACAACAGCACAACCTACCACAGCAACCGCGCGCAGCGCCCAAAAACGATGCAACAAATGAAGGGCGTACGGTGGAAAGCAAAAAAACACCTGGCCCTCTTCGCCCAATGGGGCATTGCCGCAGTTGTACTTACAGAGAGCGTCCGGGAAAGATGGATGACTAAGGGCTACCAACAGCTTGCGAAATAGTCGAGGACATCTGTTCACGCTCGGAATTGCCCTTCGCATTCTCAGTGTCAGCACTGTCTCCGGGTACCCCCCTGTACACCTGAACGGCAATGGCATTGGTTCGTTGCCAAGGAAGCGTATATGGGGGGTTGTACTGCATCAAACGGTACGACCTTCCAACTGGGTCTCGTGCACACCAAGGAGACGCCGACGTTGATGCCTCGAGTTGCAGGGCCCACAGCAGGGTATCGAGTTGCCCCCCTACTTCGCCATCGGTTGCAAACCCTGTTTTAGTACAGGCGTGCGTTTCATGACAAGAAAAAAGTACTATTGGCAAAGAAGGCGGTCGTGCATACGGACGTTTTGCGGGTGTTGTTTCTCGATGGCGTGCACGGCACGATGAAAACATAATCCGCGTAGGGGGCACTTCTTCACTGACTCGACACGCAACAAATTGGGCGTGCTCGATTCTTTCTGGCATACTATCACTCGAAGAATAAAAGGAGAACAAACTAGAACCACCAGCGAGAGACGGGAGCGGTTCGGCACATTTCTGTCAGACTAATCCCGGTCACACTTTTGAACGTCATATACCTGGAAACTCGCGCACAGCAAGAACCTCGCCCTCAGCCACATCCCTCACGTTTACGCGGGGGTTCCGTGGAGTAGGAGCCTCTTCCGCCGGGACGTCTTTCGGCATCACGAACGACATGGTTCTGCACCACGCGGGAGGATATTTGTTAGGCATGGGGGCATCATGCCCCTTGGGTTCAACCATGCACTCGTTCGGAGACTGCGCGTGTGGTGGGTTGGGGAGCATACAGGCGCCAAAACAGGTCCAAAGCAAGCTATATTTGAAGCAACAGGAACAAACAACACATCCTTTTGGTAAGGATGGGCAGTGGGGTACCCAACATGCAATTGACCGTTGCTGGTCCATGAAAAAGGAGCACAGTTCATGTTCCTATACGCGCTGGAAAAGGCCCTATAACGTTCTGCTACGCCACACACCTGCCGGTGCTTGTAACGTCGATGTTGACGGGTGTGGTCATGTCCATGGCCACCTCCTGTTTGTTGTCTCCGAACAAATAACCAGCCAGGGTGTTGAACCCTTCGCCAGACCCGTCAGTAACGCCGGTTCTGTCATCGTCCCGCTGGTCAGACTCTCGAGCCGCGTCAGCTGTTAATTGTCCACGAAGCAGCGGCACACACGGAAGTGGTGCCAGCAAGGGCCTTGCTTAGCAACACTGCTTGGAACCGTCAAACAGTAGTAACCAACACCAGTTCGAAGAGATCAAGTCGCTGACATTCCTTGGGAAGGCGTTCGCATCCGTGCAGCTGATAAGACGAAAACTAGTACATGTGTCAAAAAGCACGGACAAAATGTTCCAGGCGAGAACTGTTGGTCGGCCACGCTCCGTGCATGTTCTGGGAAACTTTGGAAGATGCCCAAGGCTTACCGTCCATCTGCGCAGAGCACACAGCGTAAGATGCGTAGCGTCTGATCTCGAAGCCTTCCCTCGCGTCTTCAAGCGAGTAACTGGGGCTGTACAGCCCGGATGGCGTCCTGCATCGATCCACAAAACCACGCGAAATCATATAAAACACTCGTGCACGCTGTCTGTCTCATTCGAAAGACGCAGACAGGGGCTGCTCGTGGAAGTACACCACGAACTAGGCGCTAACAGAATAGCCCTCGCTATTGCGTCCGAGATATGTATCCACTGCGGCTAGCCGTTCCACACAAATGAAGAGAGTTCCGCCGCGAGGTGCAGAAACGAAACACGAAGCAGGCAAGACAAGTCAAGGGTATCATGTAGGGCTATTACGCAATGTTAGGGAAAAACAATAAAAAGAAGTAGCACCAGTGCGAAGAACCTCTTTCGGTGGACTCTTCGCATCGACAGCTTCGGGAAAGCACTCATCGTGCACGAAAGTGTCGTTCAACGGACACATAGACCCTCGCATACACAGCATAGGCGTTTTAGAGTCACCGAGAAGAAGTTTGCACCTGCTGAAAATGTTCTCAGTTTCTGCCGCCGCAGTTTGCAGCCCCTGGCGCAACTTCTGTGGTGTGAGCTCACGGGCTGTCTTTTTGATTGAGTATAGGTTCTCTGCGATTCCTTCCATGGGCCCAGTCCGCCGCTTGGGGGTAGTCGATGAGCCTGTCGTGTTAGTACCCGGCCGGGGTACAGCACTCGTGATGCGAGGGGCGGCCTCCAAAGCCTGTCATCATGCCAAAAAAATATCAGGGAGTGGCACCAGGGTCAGGCGAGTGTGAACAGCGGGTGAATCAACTTTTCCTACTTCGAAGTATAGGACTATCCCTTCGTCAAAGCCAACGCGAGCTCGGTTTGATTCGTATCGTGCGGATTTTTTTTTTCACGGGAAAAGGATGAGGCATGAGGCACACCAATTCACAAGAAACGCAGACCTTTGGAAGGATATCCTGGCGAAGTTGCCGGTTTACCGCTTTCAGGCCATCGACAGTCGATCGCGCCTCAGTCCCCTTGCCCAGCACTATTCCAGAAACAAGCTCATTTTTTCGGGCTGCGTCAGAAACGTCTCGCGCGATCTCCGGCAGGCGCTGATGCACGCCACGCAAGTGTGGAAGCGAAACGACGGCATGGCGCAGGGGGTTCCCAGTTGGTTGGTTGCCCCAAGGCGTTTGACCAATGATCACATGCACCACACCTAACGAGATGGCGCACTGTTCCTACTGTTGATATATACCGCACCCACTGGGTGGTGTCTACGTGTTCTGCCGTAAGCGTTTGTTGGTGTGCGTAAGATCGTGCTACATAGATAAACTCGCCTCTTGACCACCCCCAGAGATTTCACATTTTTTTTCTCCGACTCACTTTCACTCATATTTCCGTCACTTCGATCCGATCTCACTCGATTACGTTTTGGGGGGGGGCTGGGGGATCCTTCATATCAGCATCTGCGACGCTAACCGGACGCCAGGTGCGTTGGCAAGGGGTGTAAACATCCTCTACCATCTGGTACCCGAATGGGCGACCGCTCTAAACATGCAAACTGCTCTAGTACTCGGTAGTACACTGCCTGGACGCCTGGACGTCGTCGATGATTTGCAGTAGATCACAAAGGCGTTGCAGAGGACACAAGGAAGACCATTTCCACCACTAGCGCAAACAAAAATAGTAAAAACACCTATAATACCTTCAGTAGATGTGTTGCGATGACTTCAGTCTCCACGAGACTACCCCATGGCGACGCTGCTTTCACAAGATCGTCTACTTCTAGACGCCAAGAAGGCGTCTTGTCGCTGCTGCTGCTGCTGCTGCTGCTTCGGGAGGAGCGCAACCGTAGTCCTCCACGGCCTCCGCAGTGTTTCGTTGACGCACTGGGGACAAAAGCAGCAGCTCGATCGATGAAAAGGAAGGTTAGGATCAGGGGGGGCAGCAGGGCTGTCATCGCGCCAGATGGGATGAGTGCGTGAATGATGGCAACTTCTCCAATCCCCACCAACGCTATGTTGTAGTACCTCAAACCTCAAACCTCAAACACCTCATCGACGGGACTGGACTGTCATGTTGATGTTCCGCTCTGCTGCTCTGCTGTCTGAAGAATTATTCCGAAAGGGTGCCACGAAGCCACGAATAGGACGCCCGACGAACCAACTACCCAACACCTTCCTTCTGCACCTTCCCAGCATAATATACAGATAGATGCTCAAGACAGCCACCAAACTGTCTTGTTGAGCCTGTTACCCACAGGGGAGATATCGCTGCGTGCTGCTCGGTAAAACGTGGAAATACATGTATCCCAGACTCTTTTCTGTAGACAGAGCTTGATTCGTTGGGTCATAGACTAAGTCTGTTCAGAAAATAAAAGGTTACGGTGTGGGTATGGGTGTGTGGGTTGTGAGGTTTACACGCATCCGTACAATCAAGAAATCCCTGAAGAGAAGACCCAGACGAAGACTAACTTGTGTATTAGTGAGAGATAAAGAGCCTTTTACGGTTGTGTTACAAACTAAATGAAGGCGAAAAATATTATCGCGCAAATGTGCGCAAAAACCTTGGGGCAAGATGAAGACAAATCGATGCGATGCCACCAGGAGCCTCGCTGCTTATTATTGGCCTGTTTACAGCAGAGAGCTACATTGTACGCGAACCAACCCATCATTGTTTGTTTGTCTGTTACTGGGTATTTTCAGAGGTAGAGAACGAAATGTGAGTCACCGGCTCTCAAAATTTAATGACGTGCGGCGCCAGCTATTTTGGTACTATGAACACCAGTAAGAGCGGAGAAACTTGCCAGTCGGGCAACAAAATTAGCGTGTTCCCAACATCTGAACACATGTAACGTATTACGTGAACCGTCCACAAACAAACGCACGCAGAAAACCACACCATCGGCATCAAGACGTAAGTCAAGCAAGCCCGACACGGCTTCGTGCCTCCCAACGGGTAACCAGTCGTGCTAAAGGCGCCCCCCGCACCACCATTTCTTCGACGTTTGACGCCGCACTAGAAACAAGCTAAATCAACGCTAGCCCAATCCTCCTGAACGCAACAGCTACGATCATATCGGTAGGCGTCGTCACACACACATGTTCGGGTGCAGAATACAACCAATTTCGTGCGATACTTAAAAAGTGCACTATTGACATGAACACATACATATCGTCCGTGGAAACCGCACAGCGGCAGGACAAGGACGACGCATGTTTGTTCCTCATGCTCTTGGGCGGACTAGTGGGTTCGTATTTCTTCGGCATGACCGGTATAGGTGTCGCGCACTAGCGCAACCGCTTGTTCGTGGTAGTTAGCAAGACTGTCAGCCCCACGAGCACGCATGCGGCCAGCCCCCACCGGCGGTTCTTCGCAAGCATTTCCTCCCGGTAGTTCGTCGAAGGCGCTCTGTGCGTGCTGGTTCCAGCAGGGAAGAGAGAGCGGGGAGACAGACGATGAAGACAGAAATGGCTAAGGTCAAGTGAGTGCTACGCCGTGCACGTGAAACAAGTCTCGTCTTCGAATCGACCTCGAAAGCGTTCATACTGTACGGCCTGGTGCCGCAAGTGCAAAACTGCCGTCGCCGTCCGATAGTGTACAATGCTGACTTGTCCTGGCTGGTTGGCACAAGCAGCGCGTGAGATACGATGGCCAAGTGTCGACTACTCGGCTCACCTGTGAGAGCGGCTCAGTGGGTCGTCCTGGAGCACCACACACAGATCAACGCCACACAAATCAGCGAGACGCGTGACATAGATGAAAACATCCGCCATTTCCTGGATAAACACAAATTACGAGCAGAGGGAGACGTGCAAAGGTCATCTGCGTGTTTGTTCCATGGACAATAGTTTGGATCGGTCGGTGGGGTCGTCTGCGTACGTGATAGAACGAACGGGTTGTCTCTTCTCCTGGGGAAATGAGGGAAATCTTCATGTAACTGAATAAACCCTCCATCACACCTGTGAGAGTTTGTCGCGATCATCCCGACTCCACGCAGGCAAGCCCTGGCAGCAAGTGTCTTCGTCCTTAAACTGGAACAGCTCCGACAATTCTCCCGTCTCTCCCATTAATGCTAAACAGATGTTTCGCGGAGTGTGGAACTTCTGCCAATTCCTGTCAGCCAAAGTAACACAATCTTCATGAGCCTGGCAGGCTGCAGGTAGGTGCAGATGTTAGGACATTGAATGCAACAAAAAGGTTCTCCAGGCAGTCAAAGCAGTACCTCAACCCCGATCCATTTGCTGCCATGACGCACGTACACATGCTCGCACACAAACTTCGACGAAAGCCCTACATCCAGCTCCCCATCAACTCGCCCAAAGAAAAGGCTCGGAAAATTTGTGTGTGGTCGAAGGATGGACTACACCATACATCACATACTGCAGCTGCCTTCACCTGTCGCCGCCATTCCACGTCTACCTGTCCATGACACGTGCTGCCAACTGATGAGACAACTGATGCGACGACACCAGGGTACAACATGGACACAGGGAGTACTCCCCCTGCCCATACACCGTCAAAATTGCTTACAAACAAACTAGAACAACCTCTTTTTCATCTCATGCCAAATACAAATGCTGATGTAACATACATGAAATGATCGACCCTGTCTTTACTTGTGGTCCACGCTGCCTACTAGTGGGAGAGGTAGCCATACCTTCAGCCTACATACGGGCGAGATAGGTAGCCATACCCACTACATTTAACACACACCCACATGTCGGTGATGAAACCTCAACCACATGCCTCTATCGGCGACCACGTCAGGAGACAATGAAGAAAAAATGTTCTCCCGTGACATTTGCAGATTTAACAGCACGGAATTACACGAAATTACACAAAAAGGTAAGAAAATGGTGAGACCACGCCCGTGTGTCCGCACATACTCCGAAATGTATCCACACATATACTACCCAAATACCCTTGTACATACTATACGCGTACCACATTGAAAATACGTTTGTAAACTGAGGGAGATTGCATGCCCTACGATTAAAAGGGTGTCACACACAAAACGCCCGACCAGTACCTAACACATATCATCTGCACCTTCCCAACATAACATATATGAGACACACAAGACAGCTACCAAACTGTCTTGTTGAGCCTGTTACCCGCAGGGGAGATGTCCCTATATGCTGTCTGGGAAATCGTAGACATACAGGTACTTTCTGACGCTATGAATCCATTGCTAATCTGTCTCAGACTCTTTTCTATGATAGAGATGGTTTCGTTGTGTCATATTAAGAAAAAAAAAATATATATATATATGAGTTGATGCCCGATCACGGGCTGGAGTCTCGCCCCATCCAAGCGACTTATCTGATCTACGGAGTTCAGTGTGTGGGTTATAAACGAAACGAGTCAAGAGGAGGAGCGCCTCTCTATCCCATTCTGAAGAACGCGGGAGAACAATCTGCATGAAGCGAGACACGAGCAGGAGGACCACTCCCACGTCAAGACACAACACATGTCTCTATGATAGTTAGGGGGACGGGACGGGAGAGCGGGGGAAACAACAACACACCGAACGTGCACGGTGCACCTTGTTCTCATGCGGTACAAAGAGTAACATCCAAGTCCACACGCACCTTTCGGTACAAAAGTTCTGTAGTTGTAATCTCAGATCCTGGAGGCTGTAAGGACGCCAGGCCCGACCCTTGCACCCCGACAGGTGGTCGTCTCCATCATCCCCTTCAGTCATATCCTACCACAACAAACAGAACAGCAAGAAACACAGCAAAGGGATATAAACTCAGCGGTGTAGATCCTTTGCCAAGAGTCACCCGACGCGAGCAAGATGGTCGGCCAAGTCGTCCAGATTCGTGTTGCCCCGAAAGTGGTCAACAGGAATACAGAGCGTGCGAGAGGACAGGAAGGAACAGCAACCTGCTATGTTGGAATGTTTGGTACCACCAAGCTGCAGCGTATGCAGTCATAACTTCAGCGACACAATGCGCCGAGAGCACGCACCAACTGAAGAACAAATAGGGACACATTACATAGCCGATAGCAGTCAGCAACACCTCTTTCGAGAAAGCATACGAGACTGTCGGTCGACAAAATCCACAAGCCAACATGTTCAAATATACGCACCTGTTTCGAACCTTTCGCGAATCCTGTCGTCGTCTTGTACGCGTCGTACTTCAATGCCGAGCCCCTGCGGAATGAGAGAGAATTCTCCTCGTCAGTAGGAGCGTTGAATGTTCCGCGGGCAACCAACGCATGAACATGGAGCACTTCTGACCGCCGATGCCAGATGTTGCATTGAGCAATATGTTATAATCCATCTTCGTCGAGTATGGACATGGAACATCTCTGGTTCGTCCTTGTACCTGACTAGAACTGCAGGGTATTTCTTGGCATTGAGCTTGATCTTGAGGTCGACGGAGAGGCCCAGATCCACGTTGCACTGTTCCGCCAAAAGTAGCAAGCAACCAGCGGCCGACCCCAGTTCCAGGACAACCACATCCTTCTCCGGTCTGGCAAGCATAAAATCCAACATCACATTCGCGCGACGTTAATAACCAATGCCGCTGCACATCCAAGGTACAGGTGTGTTCTCACCCAACCGAGAGTGGGTAGCTGTATTGAAATGTCTACGTCTGGTGGGCCTAACAACTTCTTTGTATTGGGATGGTACAGGCATCTGTTTCGGTCTGGAGCTCTCACTAGTGCCTTTTTTAGAATTGCCGGTGCCTCGAAGAATGCAGATAGAATCGCTTGACACAGATTACCGGCGTCGGTGACTCTAAGTAGCGCTGGGTTGCTGGACGGCGTGTACCTAATGAGAACACTCGACTAATGTACATCGTTTGCTTCCAAATTCAACGCTGAAAATATGGTACTTTGTGTCGCATGAACACGTTCCAATGTGTTGGTCAGCTCATATCTTGTCATTGATGTCCATTGAATTGCACCATACTTTACACGCACAACTGCTGTGTTTTTTCCACGACTTCTTCGACGTCCAGCTACAAGGGTGTGTGAGCAAAGTACGCGTACAACTCCAGCCGTCTGTATGGTAGAACCCAATCGTTTCGTTTCGACTTGAGGCATGCAAGCGAATGGAGTAGATTGACAAGTTCAAAGCGATCGGAGGCCGAATCACCATACCAACGGCAGCAGCAGGTTGAGCACACGTCTTGGTCGCAGGGCGAGCAGCAGAGAGACTGGTGACTGATGAGTGCATCGATCTTAGGGGCCCAAAAGTCGACAGAGCATCAACAAGGTGACCCCAACAACAATTCGAACCGCGCAAGGAACACAAGAGAAAGACAAACTACACTGGTCCACAGCGAACAAAAGAAAGAGTCCTCGCTTCTAATCCGCTACACATAGCATTTTTGCAAAAAAGTAACACACTTAATGACCAAATCACCCTTCCTTGCCGATCAACCTCCTCTCGAGACAGGCTTGGTGCCATTGAAGTGCTTAGAGGTGAACGATGGTGCGCGTAAATTACCCGGCCCTGTCTCAAGGAATACCAACCTCGCGCTTAAGCCCCACACGCGTTTCGCTGAGGGTAAGAGATATCGATAGGAAAGGAAAAGGCAGCAATACTTTCGCATATCTACATATATAACTCCCATGGTAGTATAATAGCCACCCTTTTTTCAAGTCTGGTGTGCTCAGAAGTAGTGAAAGAAGGCGCTAACATCAAATAGCAGCATGCGACACCTGTTGCTGCGAGCGCTGATCTGCCTGACCGTACATTGGTGGGGTGGGGTGAATGCCGATCTGTTAAAAAATCGGCGAAGACATCCGATTGTACCTGGTGAAACGTGGAAGTCCTACGGCGCAGTCCGCTGGTCTTCGGCTGAAGCACCTCGACAAGGCTCCTACGTGGCTGTTGATGCGGAGAACAAGATCTCTCGGCTGAAGCATATGCCGCGACATGGCTGAAGAAGAAGCTATCGCTTGTTGTCGCGCCTCTTCAAACGAAAAGCTCCCCCACCCTGCCCCTTCTGGTGCCAGGCCACTGGAAGGCCCAATACCGTCGCTGGTGCTGCCCGCCATGGTGGTCTTGACCAGACCACTCACTGTCGGGGGACCACCGTGTTGTTGGCGATACAGCAGACTTTCAAGGCAACAGCCCGAAAGGCTCTGATCTCTGAGAAGTCAGGGGAAACACAAGTGGTGGTTTCGAGAACGGAAACGAACCGGGAAAGAAAGCAGTTCAAAAATACGGAATTTCCAACTGGTAGACGTTCAAGAATAACACGACGCATTGGGATAGTAGGCGGTATCGTCGTGTTTGGGCGTTACTTGGTGACTGCCAACAGATGTTGTTCCTCGGTACAGAAAGTGGCGGAAAATGGGAAATGATTCTTCGGCGATACTTCTGTAGTATCATTGGCGGCAAACGGTGAAGCCACTCATCGCTAACTTCACGTTAAAGCGTAAAAAATCTACGTCCGAGGTGGCACGTTCAGCAACGGTAAGATCAAACTTGGTTGTTGACGTACAGCGTACACAGTCTAAACTATTGGGGACGCCAGTTTATTTTTTTTACCCTTTTGAGTCTTCAGGCGTTCTGACTGATTATTGATTGATCATGTGCAAATGCTGGTGTAGTGGCAAGTCGTGGAGTTGCCGCCCTGCAGCCCTTCGCGCTGTGTATTGGCAAGTCCATAGATTATTAGCACCCGCGCTAACCGGCTGACCAATGAAGAGACGTCAGTGACAGCGGGTACTATCAAGGTCTCGGGAATGGGGCCAATCAATGTCAAATCATGAATCTCTCAACGTATGTACATGAACGTGTGTGTGCATACATACATAAATACATACATACATACATACATACATACATATGTGTTCCTTCGCAGCACCACACATACACTCGCCCGAACGTAGCTACTGCTGCAAAGAGCAGAGGGCAGCAAAAGGGAGGGGTATTGCAAGCCCTGCCGAAGCCCAGATATCGAGGATATCGTGGTATGCTGCATCTCCCAACAATTTGAAAATCGTTCCCAAGATCCAGCAGCCATTGTGTGAGCAGCTGCAACAAACGCTACAACAACACTACCTATACTACTGCAGTAGACGAGTAAAACATATCAGCAACACATCTACACTCACTCGTAGCGCCACACATACCCTCGCCCGAACCTAGGAAACCACGAGGTACAGGTGTGTGCTGGTGTGCTGGTGTGCTGGTGGATGTGCTTGTTGTATGAAAAACACAGGAGTGCTAGTGAGCTGGCAAGGCACATTTCGGGGGAGGACAGAGAACAGAGAAGTACAGAAGTATACAAATACCAGCTATGGGTCTTCACTGATCATTTCACCCTCTCTGGACTGATCATTTACAATATGCCGAAAATAACTAATAAATAGTTGAGCCAGCTAGACGACTGATCATTTCAAAGTCTACACAGCTAACCTACCCTACTGACAGCAGCGCAACCACCCATCAACCCCTCTACCACCCTGTCTGTGGCCACCACCCTGCCGCCGGCTTCCCTCATGGCCTACAGGTGGAGATAGCTGTTGCGTGTGCAGAAGTACACTGGTGTCTTTCTCTGCACTTCTCTCTCTCCCGCTCGCTCTCGCTCTCATATTTGTTTTTTGGCGCAAAAAACAAATCTGACAGTCCAGCCTACACTACTGAGACTATCACGCGATCCGCCGGTGGTAGTCACTCCGGATATCACCGCTCGCTATCTCATAGGGTAGATTTGTTCATTTGATGCACTTCCCCTGGCTGCAGCCTCTGCACTCTGCACGTCGGTAGCAACTTGATGTTGGAGGCAAGATGATGACGAGACTGAGCTTTGGAGCTTGGTGCGCAGCAGAGAAAATTGGCCCGCTTCCCGCGGATCTACCGGGCCGCCTGAACTCAAGCCAAGGTCCCTAAACCAACTCCCTTCACGGTTATATAATGTGTGGGGTGAGGGCCCTGCTGGAATCGGCTAGTTGTAATGTGTGTTGTGCGCGGTGATCGCCCTGCTGAATCCGCTAGCCTGACCTGGTCCCGCCGCGCACAGCACCGAACGGATCCTTGATTTGTGACCCACCGTATACTCGTTGAACGACGGCTTGTCCCACACGCTGCGGCCCGTCGAATTTCCCCGATTCAAGGAATATACCCGATAAGATATGACTCGTTGATATGAGTGGTTGGTGCACGCCGCGAACTGCAATGACATGCGATCATCTCATCAGCTGGCGAATTCAAATTTGAAAATATGCCTGTCTGTGTATCCCCCCACAGCCGGTGCGTACCCCAATTTGTTCCATCTGTCCCATCCTTTGCGCCCCTCGTGCGTGTGGTGTGCTGTGCTGGCTGCTGGGACAGCTCCTCCCTGGACGCTCACCGCTCACACACACGTCTCGAGCCTTTGGAAGCAATCCAACCTTATCATGACCCCTCCAAGAATCTTCCTGGCCCTTCTCTTTATCGCCCCTCTCTACGCTTCAGCGTTTGTTGGGGTTCTGCCGGCATCCTTGGCATCGGTGAGGGTGTCCACGTCAACACTGATGACATCACCAACTCTTTGATGACGGACACATGAAAAGCCCGTAGCCTCCGTGCGTAACTGCATCAGTGTTATTGCCTTTCTTCCACATGGGATGAAACCCATGACGCATACTGCAGGGGTAGAGAGAGACCGGATGGAACATGACACAATCCTTGCGCACGTCTACAGCAGCAAGTTGTACATGTCGTGTGCTGTCAGAAATCTTTCAGGCCGCGTCATGTGCACAGTCAACCTTGTTGTTGTACCTGTTCATTTCTGCGTGGCAGCTTCAGCGAGGAGCCTCATCAAGTGCTAGGATGATGAGCGCGCCATTCGAGCTACCCAAGGTACCACAAGAAGAGGCTGTGGTTGCTTTCGACGATGCTGTGGTTAATCAGGAGTTGCCCACGTTGGTCTACTTCCACGCGAAGTGAGTAACTAACGCATGAAAATTCCTGCACACGTCCCCGTTCTATCTGCTGCCTCACATGGTGAATGTAAATGCAGCGAAATAGGCAAGAGAGACGTACACCACACCGTATTTTGGCAGCAAGAGGTGCTAGGCTTTGCCTTTGGCAGGTACTTCGAAGGCGGAGGCTGCTGTCTGCTCCATTTATCCAGTCTTCTCTGCCTCTATTATGGGGGACCCCGCGGACACGAAGTCTCTTGATTGTATACATAGCATACAGCAGACGTATGTATGCTTAGTCTGTTCATGTGTTCATGTCGGGGTCTTTTCTCGTTCTTTTTTTGGCTGAGGCTGACAACTTTTTTGACGGCCGAGAGGAGCGCGGTCGGTGCTACTTATAGAGGAACACAAACAACTGCACAAACGAATTTACGCACATGTATCCTTTATCTTGCAGCGAGGGCTCGCACGCAGTTTCTCGATTTTAGATTTAGCTATGAGAGCAACTTGTTTGGCGATCTAGGTGACGCCCGTTCGTCGAATGTTGGCGCCCTTCCGCGGACTTGATTTTCCCGCTGACTCGACCTCTCTCTTTTTCTTGGTCGACCGGTTGGCGGTCGATGCTGCTTAGTGGAACACAAGCACCCACACAGCCGGCCCCTCGCGGGGTCCCAGATCATGGATTTTTTGCAAAAACGAATTATGTTGTCAGCCGCACTGATTCAACCGCACTGAGACCGACGTCTTTTCATTGGTCAGCCATCAGCGCGGTCGATGCTACAGCAGTAGTGCTACATAATTAATATGTGGCAAGTCTTTTCCCCCGCCCAGCACCTGGGCTGAGCTGAAATCTGCTCTCCTAGACCGCCTCATACCGTCTAACTGTGTCGAGGAAAGTGCCTTGCGTCTACATGTCTACATAACCTCCGTCAAGAACATGCGTATGCTCTTCACCTTTTGGCAAAAGGTGAAGAGCATACGAGCGGACGTGTTCGTCGTGTTCTTGACGGAGGTTATCTAGACGAAAGGCACTTCAAGGCGAAGAGCTTTCGAGCGCACGTGTTCGTCGTGTTTTTGACGGAGGTTTTCTAGACGCAAGGCACTAACCTCGACACAGCAGTTAGACGGTATGAAGCGGTCTAGGAGAGTAGATTTCAGCTCAGCCCAGGTGCTGGGCGGGGGAAAAGAGTTGGTTTCTCCGACAGGGTCGGCCGACACAGATGCTGAGGAGCAGATATTCAGTAACACCTTGCTTCTATTCGAAGTACTCTGGGTAGCTCCGGATACTTTGCGCCTTGTACAGTAGTCCAATGTCCCCAGTGTTGAGGGAGTCCGTGGACAAGAATGCGTGTTCGCGTTGTTTGTCCCGTTTTGAGACCACCGTCTTTTCATTGGTCAGCGGTCGATGCCAACTAACTGGGTGGGCGACGGACCGTTTATCCCAACCACCAGAGGCTAACTATTCTTGCCATTCGTCTCTGTTGCCCGTCTCGCAGGTGGTGTGGCCCGTGCATTATGCAAGGGCCAGTGTTTGAGCAGATCGCAGAGGAGTTCGACGGGAAGGCGAAGGTAAACAAGTCATTTGGGAGTTTTTGAGTGACGTATCAATCGTAGTTGGCACCAGACGAATCGCATGTACAAGTTTGCGCTTCTGGGGCAGCGTTTTTCTCCAGCTCTTGTTCAGGAGCGTTCTGGTCTGACGCTCCTTTCATAGCACATCGCAGTTTATTATAGGCGCGCTGTTTTTGAGGCAACTCTTTACGTCGTTTATCAACACTCTCGCGTTCTCAAGGGCTGGGTGTCAATGCCCCCTGCCAATGGCTGTGACGGTCCCCATATATCTGTTATGTATGTTGCTCATCTGTCTGTCATCTGTGGTTGTCTGGTCTTGGGTTTCCATCGTCTACGGCAGGTCGTGAAGCTTGACTGCGACAGCCACCAATTTCTGATGAACAAGTACCGAGTGCGGGGCTTGCCTTACACGGCGCTTTTCCACGACGGAAAGGTGTGTACACCTCAGTGCTGCCGTGGCATGGTGTTGGATGCGCGTCTGTGTGAACATCCACAGGGGACAATTCCAAAAGAGACGCCGTTCCTTGTATGCCCTTGAGAATTTCCGGTGGGGAGAGGTCGTGGGGTCCTGAAATATTTTTCGGATGCATGGATGGGTGAACTACGTGAACTGCTGTGGAGATTGAATCCCGAAGCTTGTTTTTGATTTGCACCATGTCCCGAATCGCCATTCGCTTGTATCTACAGCAGTAGCGTTCTATCAGCACTTTAGGGTCCGCATGGTCCATGAACGACCCTCACGGATATGCTGAGCTTGTTTGCCTGAGATTGGCGTGACAAAAATTCTGGTCACTTGCTGGTCATTACTGAAGACTTCACCACATCCCTTTCGACTGAGGTTATATCTCGAACGGGTAGTCTTTCTGTGAGGTTATGTTTACTTTTTAAAAATTCTGGTTGTCCCTCTGCTTCGAAGAGTGCGGAGAACCATCGCCGATGTTGCTCTGTGCACCCTTCTTGCTTGTTTGCATCATAGGTGATCGCAAGGCACGAAGGACATCTCGGATACGACGGGCAGGTCGAGTTTTTGCGGAAGGTGCCGGGCTTTGAGTAACATGTTGGAGGCATCGACTGGGATGCAGAAGAGAGAGCAAGAGGGAAAGGCTCGATGACAGACCTGGCCTATTTTCTGCCTCTACTGTAAATTTAGGCAATATTTTTTGCAGGGGTCTTCCTCTTTCGTGGTGTGGCCACTGCGCCTCAACATGCATGATGCCCAATGGTGTCAGTGAGTGTTGATTTGCGAGGTTCGGTCGTAGAAGGTGGTGTTGGTGTTCTCAGTTGTTTTTCGGAGTATGAGTGTGATAGAGTAAAAAGCGCAATAGATTTTTTTGTGTTATGGCCGTACTGGGCGGCGCAGCAGTGTTTTGCGAAAGCCATATCTCATATTGCATACCGTTGGCAGTGCAGAGTTACCCAATCCTACACGATAGGGTGCGATTGACCTCAAGTATCGAAGCATCTTCTCCAGTCTGGGGACCGTGGATGTTGCCCTTACGATGTAGTGCTGTACGCTTTTTATGCCCATACGTAAGGCAAGGTCTCAAGTTCATGTAGTTGATATTTACAGCCCCTGGTTGGATTGGGAAACCTTACAAGTGCAGTATGCAAATCGTTACTTTGGTGGGGGAGGGTCGATACAATCCAGCCCTTTTTGTGCTTCAAGGGCGACATGTCCTATCCCGAAGCGGGTTTTAGTCTTGCGGTATGAACCGTGTTCGAGAGTGAGAGGTCATAGGTAAATGCAATAAACTTATCCATCGAGCGACAGCGATGATCCATGCTGCCAGTGGCAGCAGCCCGGACCATGTTACGGTGTTACGGTGCGCGACTCAAAATCATCATGACCAGCCAGCATGTTTGGTTGTGGTTTCGTGTGGGGGCTCAGATGAAACGCCACCCCCTCGCAGGCTGACAGACCCACCCAACTCTTACCATTTTTTACAGTAGTGAATTTTGTTTCTTCTGCGGAAAGCTAGGCATGGGGTAGGCACGGATAGCCGGCGATGAGAAGAAGAATGCGCCCTGCAAACCGCCGGCGAGAAGAAAAGGTCGGCACAAAAACGAGAAACAGGCATACGCGCTCCTCGGAATACAAATATTGAGCGATTAGACTAATTTATTGAATCAATAGGGTGTTTGCGAAATGGTCTCCCATTTCAGTCTTGGAAGTTTGAAGGAATTCCGGCCCAAGATTGAATTTTGGTTTCAAAAATAGCTTGCGAAGACCGGAGCGCAATATTTCAGTCTTGAACATGCGGAAATTTCCTAGAACGTTGCGTTCAATACGACGGAGCCCCTTTGCCGACGGCGGCAGACAGATGGTTGAGCCGACTCGGAACACCAAACATATTTATTTCCGAGCTTCCCCTTTCACCCCCAACAAGGCTACTACTACTCCACTATCACTGCACCCTCACCCACCCCCAGTCATGTACTGATGGAGCAACGTACTAATTCATGAGCAGGCGGTTGGCCCAGTTCAGTTACCGGGAGTGCATGGGAAGCGTAGCGCCGCAAAAAGCGGAGGCATGCATGTATGTGTGTACGTACCCCTTCAGCACGCGAACAAGTTGTGATACATATCGCAGTCAGTGGTCGACGGAGTCGATCGTTTCCTGTCAAACAAATCACCACAGCACGGTCCACAGGACGCACGCGCTGCAGCTCCTCACGCCCCCACGCCGCTTGAAGCATCCCCATCTCCATCACCTCCGCCTCCACCACCTGTGCCGCACTCCTGAGATCTATGCCGCCCGCCTCACCGCCTCACCCTCCTCACGCCGCGGCTTGATGTGTCACTTATTATGAGCATGCATGCATGTAGAGCGGCATGCTTCTGTCCACGCATGAACATTTAAGATGAAGCAAAAGTTGCACCATGTCGGCAGCATGCAATGCGCATCGGGTGTGCGGTGCAGCGACGTTTGTCTGACCGTCTGTGGTCTGGCGGCACTGCTGCTGTTTGTAGTTGGTTCGCCATGCATGGTGTCGTCTACGGCGGCCAAGGTGTGTGTGTTTGGGCAGCTCCACGGACGGGATGGTGCGGCGGTGTCGGGAGGACGTCGGGAGTATCTCGGGGTGTGTAGGCCAATCAAAAATTGTTCCTTCAAAGACCAAAATGAGCAAGACTGAATTCAAGCTTTCCTGCGGTCTTTGGGGGCAATTCCATAAAGCAAAAGATTGAATTCCTAAAGATCCATCGGTCTTCGGCGCTCGGGAGGATCAAAAAGACCAAGATGAAACTGAAATTTCAACTTCGCAAACACCGTAATACCACATCCAACTGCTGTGTGTGGTGGAAGTTCATATGAAGACGTTCTTAGGAAGTCTACTGGGGCTTGCACAACAAAGAAACAGTGCGAACAATAGACGGATGCCGATCAAGAAGATTGAGCAGCAACCGTAGTAAAATCTAGACTGTTCATCAGTATCAGTAGATTGCCATGTTGCAGCTAAAAGGCTGGTGTCCTCATCCGTTACATGTGGTTCGCCAACAAGGCATGTTGCGGTTCATTTTACGTTTCGGCGGGATCCGGCCTTTCTTGTTATTCCCCCGCCTTTCTTAATATCACAATCACACATGGCCCTGCTGCTGCACTGCTTTGCCTACGGCTTTCCACAACGGTGAGGTTGCGCAGCAACACAGTTAGAGAGCTCTTGTCAATGAAGCTGTTGGCTGCTGAATCGCTCACGTGCATACAGCTGGGATGGAAAACTCTGCTTTCCGTTCGGCAGCACCGACTCACTCAGTGCTGGATCGCAGGAGCGGCGAATTTGCTAAAAATCGCCTGCTGAACCTCGCCTTCGAGGACGGCAGCCCGGACCACCTCCGAGAAGATAACACCGAAGAGCCAAAGAGTGTCCCCGCCGATGTCTTCAAGCAAGGGTACGCTCGTTTTACCTTTGTTCTATCTCTGATTGCACCCACCACAGAGCTTCGTGATGTCTACCCTGCAAGCGGAAGTAGGGTTGCGGTTCCCGGACCTACCTGTCGCCTATATCCGTCGCCTCACAGCACTATAGCAATACTGTGGCCACCAAAGCTCAATTTGACTTCGCTTTGCTGCTTCTTGTTGAAGGGTGCAAGAGCACGCAATTATGCTGGGCATGCTTCTCCCAGAAGACGAGAACTTCCTGTGGATCGCGGAGGAATCTCTTCTGGCACCGCTCCCTGAAGGTTGGTCAGATCGACGTTGTTACTTGTACACCCACGCCACTGCAAGGCTAGGTCAGTAGACCACTGTACCGTTTTACACAGCAGTCCTACAAGTGGGTGTTAACGTGACACGGTACCTTCGTGCTTTCGTTTACGAAGTGTTTGTGTACAAGCTGCTAATACAAGACACAATCTACAGCATTCCTGTACTGCGGGGAAGTGTACCTTCAGCACTGCAACGAAAGCTCACTTGGAAATCTGTGACTTGCACGTCTCCCGCAACCTGTGGAGTCACCGATGGAAAACATGGAGTCCTTTATGTACATAGGTCGTTTGTTCTAGCTTGTTTCACGGTTGTTTTTTCGTGTGATCGTGTGATGGAAGGGTCTAGTCGCTCGTGTATTGACAGGCCAGGTTTGTATTCGGGGGGTGTCGCTGCAACGCTGTGTAGGTACCCCGCTGGGATAGAGTCTGTTTTGACTCACACGCCTTTAAGAAGTATGGTAGTATACAGCAATAGCTGGTTGTCACAAAAATCAATCTTTACACCATTTGGAATCAAACGCGATGCATCTCATGCACGCACATTCCCAATTCATCTCCCCGATTCCTCGAAAAGGTTGGCTCCAGCTTAAGGACGAACAGTCTGGTCATCCCTACTACTACAATCAGGTAAACATAGCGGCACTCTGGTCAGATAAGTGTGGAGTAGTTCTGGGTGCCACACGGGCTGATCTGTGAGGGGCATGACCAAAGCGTGTAAAAAAATGTAGTCTGAACACCGCTGTATACGTTGTTTTCTTGGCCTAGTTCCACTTCGTTTTATTGAGTTTTGCTGGGCTAGTACCAGATGACTTAGCTGCGGGTGTTGTCGTTTTCCTTCGTTCACACGAAACTACGCTAATTAGTAGTGAACGTGCTATCCTGCTATGCCGTGAGTACCCAAATATGAGCTTTGTTTTGTCTCCGGGACCAGATGCACCCAATGCCCTCCCGTTCTTGCTTGCAGGCATCTGGTGACAGTAGCTGGGAGCACCCACGAGACAGCTTCTACAAGGAAATATACAGACAGAAGAAGGCGAGGCAGCAAGAGGATGCATTCACTCGCACATCTCGGCTCTAGAAAATCTCGTGTCGAGAGCATGAACCGCGAGCGGTACCATTCTAGAAGATGACATTCTTGCATCATTCAGCTTGGAGGTCCTCTGGTTCGAGTAGATTCCATCACAATAGGAGTCCTGGTTGTGCTGCTGCATGTTTTGAACGTGAGATCGGTGTTGCAGCGCAGCTACGCGTCGGTCTAGAAGCAGCAGAAGACCAACTAGGCCCCTTTTTGCAATTTGATGGGCTGATCTCGGCACCCATGCAACCATCATGGCGATTATCTCGCCTTGCTTGAACCCAGGCTGCAACCGATGAGTTGGTGGAAGTGTCGTCTCTTATGCCTCCAGAGCCGCCATCTCCTTTTCGGGCGCGTGCGCCCATACTTCCCGCTCGTGCCAACAGCAAGAAAAGGGCCGACGAGAAGATCGTGAGGTAGGTCTGTTGTGAATCTGACCAAGTGTTTGAGTTCGATGCATACGTACGTTCACAACTTCATGGCGGGCACCCTCGCCCAGGTGTTCCGGTGAGGCGTGCCGTAGATGGGCATGATGTGTGCCACCTCAAGTCGAAAAGACTTTACATATTGCTGTAGTCTGTGGTTCTTAGGTGCTGCAACAGAGGTAACATCGTACACGTACAGTTCGTGCCCTATTGGACTAGCCTTTGCAATATGCCCTAGTGACACAGAATGCTCATCCCCTGAAAATGTTTACTCTCAGCATTGCTCTGACTGATTGCCGTCCGTCCTGAATGTGTCCACGTGGCGGAATCATCGCCAAGGTACGGCAAAGGGGTTGAGGAACCACCAAGCGATGGCGATAGCGCTTGCGGGGAGGACACTCCGCCCGATGTCACGTAAGCGCCACTGAAGTTGTGCACCGCATTTTCGTATGGTCACGAATAGTACAGTGGAATTCCTTAGGCCATTCGGGGGGGCGGACAGATCCTTTTCAAGACAATGAGTGTTTCTACAGTACCCATTTACTCGCCTGCAACTCCAAGTTACAGTAGATCCCGATGCACATGTACTTAGCACAGAAAGCTTTGGTGGTTCAACCAATGTTGGTGGTTTGCCGTCACTAGGGACAGGAGAGATACAAGCTCTGAGGAGGTGATTCGTCTCCGAAGACAGCTAAAGAAGACCAAGGAGTCAAGGCGGGCCATGGTGGAGCAGCACGATGAAGCGATCAATCAGTTGGAACGGGCCAAAGAGGTGCGTGTCGGCGCGATGAAACAAAAGTCGGGGTGTAGATGTTCAAGGAATGTAGAATGCGGTGAGTCGTGTCACCCTGATTGTGCAGTTACCAGCGAAATGTCGGTTGGGTCTCCTGTATACTAACAGCGTCTATGCTAACGAAGCGCGCGTGTCCTCAATAGGCGAGACTCCACGTAGAGTCTCATGAAAGAGTATATTCGAAGTTGGGACTCTGTTCGATGAACTCCTTGAACGACAGGAGTTGGAAGAGAAGATTGAAGCGGCGGCAGACGAACTGAGGCAAGAAAGGAGACGATTCAACACAGCCACTCTAGAGCGAGAGAGAGTTGAAAAGTTATCCGCCAAGCTCAAGGAATCGACGCGGCAGCTTGAAGCCAGGCTGGAAAAAGAAAAGCATATTTCGGGTAGGCACTCTTCCGGATGAACGAAACAAGTATGCGGTGTGTGAGGATGTTAGTTCAAGGGGGGCAGATGTATCACAAGCAAAGAAGGTGTACTCTCATAGTGCGCCTGGTGAACCAACTGAAAACGAGTGTTTCTGTTTTGACAATCTAAGAAGCTTGGCAAAGCCATCTAGCTTGGGTCTGTTACAGTTACAAACGCAGCAAGTGTCACGCGTTTTATACATTTCTTCCTCTGACAGACTGCCAATGTCCCGTCTTCGATCGTTTACTTGATGTAGGCGAGCGAGCGTCCACCATGGATGATCTTCGAGCTGAAATGGAGACGTGTGAACGCCAGCTAAGCGAGGCCAACGCTCAAGCGGTATGTGAACATCACCTACTATTTGATACCTGTTGTTGCTGCTGCATAATACCACTCCCAAGGTTATTCGGGGCTGGATTCCGATACAGTTCAAGTACATAAAAACGATAAACCTTATTATGTTCCATGCAGTACCTGGTGGTTTTGCCGATCATTTCAGAAACAGTCTCTCAGACGTGAACCTCTCTCTGTGGTTTGCGGATTCGGCACGTTGTAGGACGCAGGGTTTGTAAAGCAGGAGCAGGGCTTTCAGCGAAGGCTCGCGGAGGCTAGAGAGCAATCAAATAGAAGGTAAGGGGAGGACGACTCTCATGTGCAACAGGTGCGAATAACGAGAGGTCCACGTTCGGTGAAACATGCTGATAAGGTGCCGCATGTTTTCTTGGAACTTTCGTTTTTAGTGCAACCAATGGGATTTCAAACGATTTGAGTGGGACCTCCAAAAGCAAGCTGAGGGATTCGAAAGAGCCTGTCGTGAAGGTCAGGATTGCGCCTGTGAACCAAGGTACTATCTTCCACGACCGATTTACTTTATTCCACAAAAGTCGTGAAATACCAACAGCACTACGTGGCGAAACCCACAGCAATGGTTGCGGACATCAGAAGCTCTTTACTGGGTTGTTTTTTTGTTAGAGCGGAATCGTTCCCGAACTCGTACTTCCATTCCTCTTCAAGTTTTTCTTGCAAAACGTACCCATTGGCAGTCAGGTTTCTTGCTCGTGCTGCGACGATTATATGCATACCTATGCAATAGTTGTGTGCAAATCCACTAAGGATGTCTACAACTGTGACCGGCAAGGTAGATTCTCGGGACAACCTCCGAATCACACGCACACTTAACCGAAAAATTGCCATCGTGGGTAGTTAAAACGCAGGAAAGTGAAATGGCGTCTCGGTATCTTGCTGCCTGTTTACAGGGAATGAGGAAAGGGCGGCCCTTCTCGCGTGAAAATTGAAGGCACGCATCATAAAAGGGATTATTCTGTGTGACCCCATACCGCAGGGTAATGTTTTTAGACTCGCGAGCAACGGGTTGTAAAAGCGGAAACACGATTCGGTAGTAACCTGGTGAACGCGAAGGGTTTTCTGAATGTCCCAGATTGTTCCGCCTCGCCCCTGTCTGCGCTCTTTTTAAGTTCTACCATGACTTTATCTAGGTTCTTAGTGAGGCTGTCCCCGCTACTTACGCTTGTTGCCGCAGGATTGAGGAAATGAAGCGGAAAGTTGAAGAAGATCGCCGAGCTCTTAGCGCAGAGAGCGAGCAGATGCGTGCTAAGATGGACTTCCAGGTACACCCTTCCTGTCTTCTCTCAGTTATCGGGCTATTGCTTCGCAAGTCTCTCAATCTCATGGACACTCGTGCTTGATATTGACACCCTCACCACCGTGTTTTCCACTGTTTCCTGCGCAGAGTTTCTAATTCGAGGAATTTGTTCGACTCATGGGCTGAGGTGTAGAGCAAGTAGGGTCATGGTATTTAGTCGCTCAAGCCCCTGTCACGTCAGGGTTCTAATTGTAAATTCGAATTGACTCATTAGAGTACACATTCTATCACGGCTTCGTGTCAGCTCGGGTGTGTCATACATATCGCCTAGGGTCTTGCCATTATACAGTGCATGGGTCGCACTGCTATTTATCAGGTGGACGAGCGGGTACGAGAAGCCTTGGAGGAACACAACACACGCGAGCAAACACTGATCCAAGATATCGATGCACTACGGTGAGTCGGACCAGTGGTGTGTATTGGCTGCTACGGGTATTCTTAACACGTGCCTGTTGCATTCTTCTCGTTCGTCTGGATGATACGACAAGGCGCCTCGGTTTGTTTCGAGTCCCATCTTTTTCTCAACACCCTGACACAGGCTCGCATTGAGAGAATGCAAGCTGGAGCTAGCGAAGACCAAGAAAGAGGCAAGCGCTGCTGCCGCAGCGAACAGCACCAAGTGAGTATTAGATGCTGTTTCGGGGAGACCTAACATTTGTGCAGGTTTAATATGAGTGGCGGTACGGGTTCCTGGTTACCTTTGCTGGTTAGAGTAAGGAAGACGTGAGCGGTAAGTAGCCTAGCTCTCTACGGTATTCTGGAACCAAGAGCAGGGACGCCGGAAGTTGGGAAGAGCCTCACGCGATGGGAAACATTTAAGCGGCGAAAGAAAGAGACTACCGGTCATGCCGACCACTGCTCGCCAATAGCGTTGCTACCAGAATCACCGGGGTACGTATTTGCCTGCGACGACTCCACTCTGCGGAAGAACCATTGGGGGGTAGCTCCCTTGGTGGGAGTTCAGGCTGATCGCTGCAGAGATGATGCATTGGTCCCATGGTAGTGTACGAATGAAGCGACAACGAGTATAACAACAACAATGTTGGCACCTCCGCAATCGTCCTGCCGTATTGCTTGTGTGCTTGTTTTTTTTTCGTTTTGTGCTTCGTTTTCCTTCCTGGTGCGTGGTGTGACGCGTTCCTCGAAGGCTGGCCGAGGCGGTTCATGCCTCAAAGGCTGTGGAACAGGATATCCTGTGTCGAAAGGACCTCGAGAAGGAGGTTGAAAGGCTTAAGGGCGACCTCAAACAGGTGCAAATGATGTGTATCAGGATATCATGTTTCGTATTTTGGCAAAAAGTACAGTCCTTGAGGGAATCTACAGAAAATAGCGTGCGGACGGGTAGTAATGACGCTTTGTACGTACCGCGTGTTCAGCTGGTGCTTCCACATAGCTTGATGCTGGAACCATGTAGTATTTTTCACGACATACATTCATACCTGCACGGCCGATAATCCTACCCAAAGTTGCACTTGTGTACAGGGCAAAGGGCTTTTTCTGCTTTCGCCACCTCGGAAACGCAGAACTGTCAAGCGCTCGTTAGTCGTGGACAAACACTGACTTGCAGTTGATATTTCTCTACCCCATTTCCGGTACGTCTCATCCTGGAAAGGCTGACATCCGCTTGGATTCTCTGTCTGCCGACTTGGCCCAAAAGAATAAGATGGTGGACAAGATCGCGGAACTGCAAAGAACGACGGGAGAGGTAAGGTGTAATTGGAGCCAGAATTTGCTCAATTTTAGCCTACACGAATACATTGCCGAGTGATGGTGCGCAGTATTTCTGCACGGTCCTTGTGCGTACATACCCAGCAAAGCTGGGTGTGATGAACACGAACCTACCTGATACTCTGGGCGCAGACGAGACTGCAAAACCGTGTTAATCCGTGACCGGTCCGGCTGATCATTAGGCCCAAGAGGGGCTCCGTGCGGCAAACGATCGCTTCAACGAGGAGGTCATGCGCATGAACGCAGACGTAGCCAACGCGGAGGACGCGTTGGAGAAGAGCTCCAGAGAGTGCAGGTGAAACATGAGCTGCCGCTGCCCGTTTAAATAGTTCGATGTGACAGATCAAAGCACAAGTAGGGCACGGTGCGGTACGCACCTGGCCATCAAGAGCTCCCTCCTACCATGAAGTACTGGGGTGCTGAACGCCATTGTATGATCCGAAAGCAAGACCGAGCACTGTACGCTACAAACACATCCCCAAGGAACGCCAGCGCCAGAGATAGAGAAACTCCCATATGGACAGGACTAAAGCCCGTGTTGCTTTTGTACAGCTGGACGTCGTCACTCGTTCAAAAAACAATCATTGGAGCTATTAATAGCTACGCACCCATATATATTACTTCTAAGAAAACATACTTAACCTTACCTTCCCTTCCGCGCACAGGAGGTTAGAGGCTGCTGTGGATGATGCCATTGCCGACAAGGAGCAGGCTCAGGCATTAGTCGAGGCAGAAAGAACGGAGGTAGGTCAGCCCACCATTTGGCTCGCATGATTTCGTGCGTGTTTCCATGTGTGTCTTGTGTTCGTCTTCACGTTTGTCAACCGTCGCTAGTATGTTCTACCACCCTACGGCCTTGCCCCTCTGACTGAAGAGCCCCGATTCGGGGTCACACAGAACCATTCCTGTGCAACCACCTAGACCGTCCGAGCGATAGATGAGGATGGTATGAGTTTGCTGTGAGAGGTGTAGTGCAACTGCAACGGGGCTTTCAGTCCGCGGGAAAGGGAGGCATCGCCGTTACCGTATCATTGGACAGGTCGGGCGCTCCATTCTTTTCAAAGTTGTGCGTGATCGGACTTTGTTGCTCTTGACTGTTCCGCTGATCTACCCAAGGCCTGCTTGGCACGCCCTTGGCTTTCTGGGGCACTGTCGGTGTTTCGTGCTGTTGGACGGATGTACGTGTGTTAACCGCAAGTGTCCTTAATGAATGCAAGGGTTTTGCAGAGGGGGAACTACCCCCGTTCCAGGCACTGCGTACACACCAACCTTTGGTTTTTGCTGGTGCTTCTCCCTCAGGTAAAGCGGCTATCTTTGGCGGCCGTGAGCACAGAGACGGCGCTCACAGAAGCTAAATCCAAGGTCGAGGGGTTAGCAAGGCAGCTGAAGAATGTTCAGCAACGTGTGGAGGCCTCAGAGGGCCTGGAGAGAGACCTTAAACGCCTTGGGCAGGAGGCGGAGGAAATGCATCAGAAGTCTCATCGAGTTCTAGACGAAAAAAAGGTAAGAGATATTTGTTGGAATGGTAGCCGTTTGCTTGGTTCGCAGCCAAAATGATGGTTCGACGAGGTTCCGTTTCATTGACAACGGTAAAGAACGCCTATTAATTTCAAGATTCCCTGCGCGGATGCCGAGCTTTAGCGCCTGAGTAAAGGAGAGGGCGCCCCCCATGGTAGTTAGTAAATTGCGTGTTTCATCGTTTAGGAATCAGGTCGTCACAGCCGGCCCTTACCGCCGTACTATGAGTCCGATTGTGGATGTAAACCAAGCTGATTTCTGATGTTGTAGCTACGCTTATATCCGGACGTGCAACGTGCAAAGCTGTGATGCGTTCGCTTTACCGAGCGATATTGCGACGCTGTCCTTCTGGTATTGCTGCAATATGCTCGTTTGTACTTATATATCAGAGAGAGATGGAAGCGTACAGGAGTCGTGTGGAGGAGGGAGAAGCTCTGTCGAGGAAACTACGAGGAAGCCTAGCAGAAGCGGAAGGTCGAGCCCTGCAAGAGAAGGTAGTGCATCGTGCATGCATGCAGTATCTTTTCATGGTTGTCTCGCGCCGCCAGGCAGTATAGAAACCGAACGGCAGCCGCTGTATCGACTATAGCACACAACCCTGCAGGAGTCTGCCTCTCTGTTGTTGTCAAGACCAAGGTCTCATTTTGTTTTTTGGGGACTGTGCCGTCTTCATTCACAGGGGGCGGCAGAGCGGCTGATGTTACGCGTGTCCTCTCTGGAAGGCCAAGTTTTGGAAGGTAAAGCTGCCCTTGCTTCTATCGAGGCTGATAGGAGCGCGATCCTCTCCGAGCTTACAGCGACCAGGGAGGCAGCTGCTCGGGCGGAAGAGTTAAAGGCAGCCATCACGGAGTCGACGTCGAGGGAAGAGGCTTTGAGAGTGGAGATGGCAGCAACGAGAAACGCCCTCGAGGTACGACAAAACAAAATCTCGGGTTCACACTAGTATACTGCATTGCCTCGTGACATTAGACGAAATGCTGCCCCCTCCTCCAATCTACGCCATGCTCAACCAGTATAGTAGGTAGCCTGACGCGTCATGCGTCACAAGTAGAGGGAGGTCTCCAAAGTAGCAACCAAGCTTTTGGAGACCACAGGCCTTACTTTGTGTGTGGATTTCACAACGGTCGACGACAACATCAATCTGCGGCGACGTGGATCGACGTCTACTTGTGTTTGCATCAGTTACACGCATGTCCCAACTCTTTTGTATTTTCGTTGGTAAATATAGGAACCGTCGCTCGCAGTTTCCACCTCGTATGCCCGGTGGTCTCTCCTACTGTTGAGCTCCGATCCGGGGCCACGCGTATAGATGCTCCGCGAGCCACACTCCATTTATTTGATGCGACAACGGTTCAGCAGTTCCATTCCGTAGTTCCTTCTCCAAAAGGTACGAGTACTTCTAAAGTAGTGGTAGATCGATGATGCGATAGATCAATGAAGAAATCTTATGCCCAGGTTCAAACTCCAGATCGCGCCTAGTGAAGGGTATCGAAGTTACCAACTAGACCACCGGGATAAATGGTTGCTGCGAGGCAGATATCCAGCGTTCGGTCTGTAAAGGGTCGTGGGCGGGCAATTTATCCGCGCTGTGAACATGTGTGTGATAGGCGGTAGAAGCATCGCTTGAGCGAGAGAGACATGTTTCGAGTGAGACTAGGACGGATCTGGTCAAGCGTGCTGAAGGGGCCGAAACGAGATGCGAGAGCTTACAAAGTAGCACGAAGGAGGTCACGCAGAAACTCCGAGACACGGAACAACGATTCCACAAGGTGCGATACTGTATTTAGTTTCCCTTGGTTGGCGAACACCCATGAAAAGCGATATTCGCATCGATTGCTTTGGTGCTGTTCTAGAAATTGTATGATATGCTGTCGCGATTCTGTCGCCACAAGTAGACCTGCTCGCAGCGCTTCTTCAGACACCCGGAGTCCTTGATGTGTTGCACGTCGGTACCGCGGTGTTGGTCCCAAGAGATAGGTTCGTATTGAGTCGTACGCCGTAGGGTTTTACCATGGACTGTACAGGTGAATCTGTGCTATCGATGGCGGTATGACGGTGACCATGCTAATCACACGTGCACGGCATCCTTGAGAATGCCCTGGGAATTAAGGTTACCTGTGTAACAGGCGTGGTGTAGGTAGAGGAGCATCTGCGAGTGTGTCATACTGTATGCCAAGTTTTCATGTATTTTGTAGATAAATGGACCGTACTTTACAATACACTTCGCATCAGGAAGACGAGCTGCGGGGAGCTGTTTCTAACGATACAGTAGAGCGTAACCACAGAAACCACACACACCCCAAGACCTTGCACTTTCGCACGTTGCAGGAGCTGGAAAAGTCCAAGGAGAGGGAAACCGAAATGTGGGCACAACTACAACAGGTGTGTGGACATTCTAGCCCTTCCGCAGTTTCAATCGGCTGAAGGAAAAACGGACGATGTGTTGCGCTTTTCTGTGGGTGTTGTTTGAGCTCCTGCTGGCACTGCTGTGACTTTTTCGCTTAACGCACCTGAGGTTTGCGATGTCTTGCAAATGGTCAAGTTCGTGTTTACAGGACCGATCTCACGGCCAGCACTGAACGAGAAAATATTTCCAGCCTCTTTTACCTGACACTCTGTTCAGCGGTAGTCCGCATGAGACCTGAAGTTGTGCTGCTACCCTCTCCCTAGATGCGGCACAAGTACCTTGATGGATGAAGATCGAGGTATCGTTTTGTTGCGTTCCTCTGTGCTGAAGGTGTCCAGCAATTTCGCCGAGGCGGCAAATAGCAAGAAGGAGGGTGAGACCTCGTTCGATGCTAAACTCGGCGATCTGGAGAAACACCTTAACAAGACTGAGAAACAGCTTTTGGGGTCGCAGGTGAAATCATATAGAAGTACGTCAGCAAAATGTGATGGTTGGAAAGGGGTTGCCAGAACGACCCGTTCGGAGACAAGCGCTCCACCACTATATTTTGATCCAGCACTATCCCCTACAATGTACACTTTGAGGCTCCCAACCCGGTGCCGAGAGGTCCACGTGCAGCTTGTCGCTTGTAACCTAAAATAAGGGTAGGATTACTGTCATTTTGTGCCAAGGAGGCCCAGGTGTGTGACACGAGCGGAGTATAGTATCCGCGATCGGCCATGTCATTGAAAACAAACCATGTACCTTTGCGACGTGCTGGTACTATTGTGCGAGGTAGTTGACGTTCAAATACAAGTGAGCGCCTGTGCTTGGACAGCAGCTTGTATCGAATGAACGTGCTCGTATGCCAGATGGTTTAGTGCTTGTCCTCACGATGAGAGCTGTACTGCCCTCGTGGCGACGCCTAGGCGGAGTGTGTACGAATAAAGGAAGCTGCGCAGCGCGAGGTGAAAGAAAAGGAGGCGGAACTGGAAAGCCTCAGAGAACGACTTTCAAGGTGTGGAAGACGCCGCTGGTTTTGCACTGGAGCACAAAAGTGGCATTCAGCGTTGGTAGGGAAACACAATTCTGGCCACCAACCTTGTGACGTGTGACTCTTCAGAATGTGTCCTGCGCTTACACACACACTGGTGTTAGTCATTTCTATAAATTTTGCCTCCTGCAAATGCATGTCGTGTCTTGTTGGTGTGGTCAGAAAAAAGGACAAGTTCGCAGCCCAGAAATTGTCTTTGGAGCAGGAGATAAAGACGCTGACCGACAAGCTCTCGGAGGGACGGGTGGTGGAAGAGGGAATCAGGTAATAATACGTGGTGGTGGTTTCGACGGTGGATGATGTGGTGGCACCAGCGGGACTATCGGCGTTCCTGCACGTTTCTGCTGAAAGGATGTCTTCGTAGCCCAATGTTTGCGGGGGTGGTGTAATTGTGGGGTAGCATGGTCCCGGGTGCCGTACCATGGCACCCCAAACATGCACCACGTGCATATGTCGCATGTCAGTCTCTTGAGCACAACAGCATAACTTTTTATTGAGTACTGCCTGTTGGTTGAGAATGCTTGTCTGTTTCTCTTTCAGGGCTCGGTGCAGGGAGGTGTCGGAAAGGGAAGAGGAAGCCCGAAACAAGCTCACAGTGCTGCAGAACGCAAGAATTGCCGCCGAACAGGAGGTACTTTCACTTTTCAGTCAATGAAGGGGTAGCAGCCTTGTAGGACGAATATAAAACAATGAGGGGCCGGAACTGGAGAAATAAGACAGATCTTCAAAGCGATGCTCTCCACCACGCGCCCTATGCTGTTCGGCGTATGGTTAACTGGTTATATGCGTTTCCAGTTTTTGTTAGGCGCTGACAAAGGCTTGAATTACCTGATGGACGCAGTTTTCCGTGGCGTCGTAGGTGATGTCACACTCCCTTGTTTCTCTTCTCTAATACGCTGGCCGTCTCTTTCACTCTCGAATTCGATCGCTACCCGCAGATCGCAGCGGCCCGGGCAGAGGCCGCCGGTCTAAAGAACCAGCTTCACGACCTGCGCACTAGGTTTGACGACGAGTCTGCCCGACTGCGTGAGGACGTTGAAGTATCCCGAACGCGGTTCACAGCGGCCGCCTCAAAGGTGAGGTTGGCCGGTGGATGTGATACAAAACTTCAACTGGGTCCGCTTCCAAGAAATCGAAAATCCTTCGTTTTTGGGGGCGGTATCTGTCACAATAGTAGGGTGGACCAACCCAGCAATCCATAACGTGTACATCGTTCACTGTCTGATAACCTATTAATGCTGGGATAGGTTGTATTCACAGGCCATCCGTCACGATTGGCACCACACCGTGGAGCGCGTATCATTCGTGCACTTGTGACAAAGTCCCCCCGCTAGCCGCATTCCTGCTTGTACAACATTGACGATACTGCCGAAATCTGGTGTCGACCACACTGGTGACACCGGCAAAGGACGAGGCTGAACGGCGTGTACTGGAAGAGAGCAGGCAAGAAGCAGAGGCAAGGTGTGCTGTCCTGCAGGACACGACCAACCGACTGGAAGGCGACCTCGCTCGACTTACAGCACAGGTGAAGCCCTCTCACTGCAAATGACGACAAGCGGTTTGTTGGTGTGTGCACTCATACAGCGCAAGAATTCGAGACCGCTGCAAAGTTAAAATCGCCAACTCAACGGCCGAGCGCTGAGGAATACATTTGTGTGCACCTATGCCTTCATCGTGGTAACCAGTATTGTGTTTTTACTCGTAGGGAAGAGGCGTGCCTGCGCAGAATTAGCCACAATGGGGCATGAATATCAGGTAAGACTTGTTCAATCCCTCAGTAACAAGCACTTGCTATGTCGCCCCATTATGGTATTGAATGTGACGGCGAGCGAGAAAATTGGGCCAGCTCATGAGAGGGCGTGTTCGTCACAACTTTGGCCATACCTACTCTCACGCTCAGCGCAAACCATCGGAAACCTACTCCAACTTCCGCACTTGGGGTGGCGGGGGTTGTTCCGTTGTGTCTGTCCGTTTTTTTTAAGCAGGTGGCGGCTGGCAGCATGGATCCTGATGCTCCTCGTGGGGGGGATTCACAAGAAATCACGGGGTTGAAGTTCAAGGTTGTTGAGTGCCAGGTAAATCTTGAGATGTATATTGTCAACATAATGCGGAGTATATTTTGTGGATATCGCTTCACTACGGGTCGGCGCGTTGGCTTGTGTTTGTTTCCTTGCGCATTGCAGTACCTACCTCGCTCAGCACACGTGAAGGAAGTTGGATGGCAATGACTACAGGGAATACAGAGTAGCCATCTAGCCGAGGTAGGTAAGAAGAAACGTTGATGTTGCCCGTCGATATCTTTCCCGGACTGCTGTGCAGGGAGAGATTCAGCAACTTTCATCCCGGGTGTCGTCCTTGACGGAGGAGAAGAGCGAATTGGAAGAGCGACAAGAGCAGGAGAAGGTAAGGTATCCACGGGAAACCATCCAACATTCACACGTCAGTTAACAAGTCTTAAAGAATTAACCTGCTGTAGGAATGAGTACTACCGAATGTATTGTCCCTCTGTGCCGTACCGTTGTGTAAAGGTGCTACCGTACCGGTTTTGAGCGCTGCAATGCACGTTCTCAAGGACAACAGGGTTTGGGGTACGGAATGTTCTTTATCCGTTTGCTCCGGGCGTGGTAGGGAGATCCTGGAGTACGCACGTTCGGGGCCCAAGTATCATGATCGGTCCACCCGCTGCAGATCAAGGCAGAGGTTGAGATGTTCGCCTGACCGCCGGATATCCCTCCTTGAATGGTTTCTGTTGCCGACTACCAGCTACGGTATTCGCAGCTCGAAGCCGCCTCAATCCAGTCAAGACAGGGTTACGATCGCGTCAAGGTGATAACCAACGTTTGATGCTTGCTAATGATGCAAATCACTCACGAGCCTCGGCGGAGATTTTGCTGGACCGTCAAAGTACGATGTCGGTACTTACGATTCACATAGATATTCTGTTGACTACGTATCGTACAAGCTTAAACATCTGATGGGGTGTTCATTGGTGTGCATTGCACCAGATGGGATATTGGATACTAACCGAATGAGTCTTAGTCTCATCGCGGTGCTGTTTGGAGCGGGAGCGATCTGGAACTTTGACCGTGGTTACCCTCTGTCCCTGCGTGTGTGAGAAACGTCAGTTCCTTCTGAAGCAGGGGCCCCACAGTCTTACTGCGTTAATTATTTTGGAACAGGAAGAGAATGAAGGAAATAAGAGGTTGGCTAGTGCTGCTCAAGAAGAGGCACAAGAGTGGAAGACGAAGTTTGAAGCCGAGAGGGTCCTCAGGCGAGAACTAAATGCCAAGATCTTGGATATGCAGGTGCGCCGAGAGATGTGCTTGAGGATCGTGGTGCGTTTGCGCCATCCAACCCGTGATGTTATGTGTACTCGTTCTGTTCGCGCCTATCCTCTGTTTGGGTGTGATACGTCAGTGCTATTAGTACGGCGTCCACAAATATAAATTCGGGAGCAAACTCGATATGGGTGCCATGCGAGGCAAATTATGCAATTGTTTGAAACTTTGTATTTTTCGCTCTTTCACCCGTGGCGTGTCATGCTATCATTTCTTGTCATCTCAGGGAAGCATACGGGTGTTGTGCAGGTTGCGGCCCTTGCAAGAGGCAGAGGTGAGCAACTAATGACCCCGATCGGCATAAAGCGAGCGGTCGAGTGCGGTGCCTAGTGGTTGGGTATGTTTCAGTTGTCCCTCCCGCGTCGATTCCGACCTTGGTAGATTTCTGGTGCGATGGGAGCCATCGCTGCTCCACGATGCCCGAGAAGTGCACAAGATATGTCGTTGTACTGTCAAGATGATGTATCCTATGTTACTAGATTTACGGTCTAATACGATGACTTACGCAATACAATGCCTACCTTAAGAAATGTCACGTGCCACCAACCGGTGATACTAGTTGAGGGTTCAAAATACATATCACCGAGTGTGGTATTGGTTCAAAATACATCACCGAGTGTGGTATTCTGTGGGAGTTGGCCTCGCATGTCATCGTGTTACTTGATCAATGCTTCGTTTCCTCTTTGAGTCGGTTGCCCCGGTGATCTAGGTACAAATCTCAACACCATTTTTGTGGCTAGGGTCAGGATTCCGATTCTCGGCGAGGTGTCTGTATTCCACATTGCGGACCTAGCTAGCTGTGAACAGCGTTTGTTCGTGAGTAAACTACCGTAGAAAGCGGAATGTCGGAACCCTTCTCGCGTTATGATTTTTTGCGCACCTAAGCATCTATTCTGTGTGACCTCGAAGCGCTAGAGAAAAGGCCGTAGGGTAGGTAGATGCCGTGAGCGACGTTATTTTGTTACGACATGAACAGCATATGGAGGAAAGTAATCTACGACCCGGCATCGTATAGTTTTATCGTTCTTGCAGCGGGTGTGGTTTTTTACGTCACGTATTGCACAATGTATGACAAGGGGTGATGCATGCTTCTATACGACAAACAGTCGTGTAGCAAAAGACTCGCAATTTGATAAGCTTACGCCAAGCGAGATGCTTGACCCGCCCATTTCACGCTCAAATGCCTCCACCCGCTCGCAATTGGGTTGTCGCACACGTGGTCACGCACGTTCTTCCTGGAAGGTCCTGGTGATCGAACGAGGCAAAGAGTACGAGGACCCGATGGCAAACATTACTTACCCCGACGTCGATCGACTAACTTTCTGGGGGGTGCCATACCAGTTCGACTACGTATTCGGGCCGGGCACGAAGCAAGCACAGGCAAGACTAGCTCAACCAATGCCAACCTATGCCAGACCTAGGGCATGACTGTAGTCGAGACAACAGCAGTACCCTCCACACAAGAATGGGAGGGTCACGGAACAAGAGGGCTTCGCACTGTGCGCATCACTGTGTGGCGGCATTCACTCGTCCCCAAGAAAGCAGCCCTTACGCCTCACCGTTCATGGAAAAGAGACCCGTGTTGGTGCAATTCGCGCTGCCATAGACACGCCTTCGGAGGCTGGCGACTGATTAGTCAGCGAAAACTCGAGAGGGAGTGCTAACGTTTAGAGAATCAAGACTGTTTTGTGTTCCTGTTTGTTTCAAAACATGCTCCTCGTCCAACGGTGCATGTACTACAGGTGTTTGATGAAGTCCAACCTATGGTGGCCTCTGCTTTGGAAGGATACCGAGTCTGCGTCTTTGCGTACGGTCAGACCGGGTCGGGGAAAACTTACACGATGGAGGGACCAAAATCCGACAGGTGAGCAAGAGCGGACCCTGGAAGTGACGAACAAACATGTCCCCTTTGAACCGGCATGCCTTCATATTCCTGTTTATGACCGACCACACCAAGAACGATACGCCGTCCGGTCTCTTTTCTACCTGCTCTCTTTCCCATGAAGGGGTGTCAACTTCCGAGCTCTGGGCGAGCTATTTAGTCTTTCAAACCAAGATCACACAAAGGAGTTCCAATTCCGCGTCAGCATGCTCGAGGTGAATTCCGGAGTACGTGCCGAGATACTGCTAGTACCACGTCATGTGGCATATCTCTGCAATAATTAGAACTTCGAAGTGTCTCGAGAGATAGGCCTGAAGGTGCACAACAGTATATGTATGAGCCCTCACTTCGCTGCCGTCAGGTTGAACTGCGCGTTGGTGCTTGGGAAACCATTTTGTGGACGTTTGGAATTTGGCTCCGCAACTGACCACACCTACTGTGCACATATCCCTCCCCGCGGTGTGGTAGGTGTACAACGAGTCTATCAAGGATTTGTTCGTTGAGCCGGGGCGGCCTGCAGCAGCTGCAAATAAGCACGACGTACGGCTGGATAAGAAGGGCCGGGTGTACGTGGAAGGGCTCGTTGAGTGCGAGGTTCGTACTGACCGGTAGTTTGACACGTGAATCTTGGGTTCAGCAGCGCGCATCCAGCGCGTTGGTGGAGCGTGTCAGGACTCGCAATATGCTGTCTTTTTATAGGTTGTTGCCTACGTCGCAGGCACGTGCCGTTGTTTCTATCGTCCGAAGATGTCGCTTAACTTCATGTAGTGCTGTTACCCACGAGTAGAACCCTGTGGCCCATGACAACAACTCCATATCACCGCCTTGCGAGCTTGCCAACAAGACTAGATCAGTATTTGTGGATACTGCTGTAACCGGGAGCATTGAGGAGAGGGTGAATCCCGTTATGGTGTATTGTCGCTGGCGGTTTATGCTTGCTTTTGAATTCGACAGGTTGAGACGCTCGAAGAGGTTGAGGAGCTTGTCGTTCTAGGTGGGCGAAATCGCACTGTGGGCAACAACAACGTCAACGAGCACTCATCTAGAAGCCATCTAGTGCTCCAGGTGCATATCACGAGTACAGATGTGGCCACGGGATACGTACAACACGGCAAGCTGAACCTCATCGACTTAGCTGGCAGCGAGAGAATAAAGGTGAGGCCGAGCATGTACAACATCCTTATGTTTGTATGCAACATCATCCGTTGGAAGGACGACAGCGACAAGGACAGACGGTGGAAGTGTTAACGAGGAATAATACCCTTCCCCAAAATCGCGAAATGATTCCGCTACACAAATTTTCCGCGCAATGCCCGTACACGGAATATGCTACCCTCTCCTCTCCTGTTCGGTTTGCCTCGACCTTACGAAAACGACACAGTCTACTGCAGCAGAGGGGCAGCAACTCAAGGAAGCCCAAAACATCAACCGATCCCTTAGCGCGCTTGGTGATGTCATCAATTCCCTCGGATCCGGCAGTAAGCACGTCCCGTATAGGAACTCCAAGCTCACGTTCTTGCTACAGGACTCGCTGTCGTCAAATGCCAAGGTACAGTCTCAGATGCAGAGTTTGAGTTGTGTGTGACTCCCTCAAGGTAGACTTCCGTTTCCTCCAAGCTTTGCTGTTACCCATTCGATAAGTTTCCACATCGAAACAAGTGTGTTGTCGTACAGTTACAATTTATCATTAATAATCAAGGTATTTCGTTTGCCGCGCACGCCCACCGGATGCTGACCCGCGTGTGTGAGTCCGGCAAGAGCCCGGGCAAATAATGAAGCGCAGCGTCGGTGGCTCTGGGAGTTCTGGGTTGGATAAACCTCCAGCACAGCCTTCAACAGTATATCTCAACGTCTGATGCCACCCCCCGGGTGTCCTGTGCACATATGTTCGTCGACCAGGTGCTCATGTTTGTCAACATCAACCCGGCCCCACAGAGCCAAGGAGAGTCTTCGTGTAGCCTTAACTTTGCCAAGAGGTGTCGTTCGGTCCAATTGGGGACATCACGTCGTTTAGGGGGTCGGTGATGACGCTCCTACGAGGCTTTTTGACATTGTGGATGGGCATAGACAGTATTCCTGTAGTGAGAGGATTTCTTTCGCACGCACCGTGACCGGTTCATGTGTGGGTGATGGATTGCATCACACAACCACAGAAACCAACGTGTTGTGGTGACGACTAATAATCGGCTGCATCTCGAGCCGACTAGCGTAGCGTTCACTATGTCATTAAAAGTACTTGGGGTTCTTAGGTAAAAGCCATTCGTGGGTGATACAACTATTATTCAATAGAACCCATCGGCGCGCCATCATGATCTGTGCAGGGAGCGCGACTTCGAGCATGATACACTTTGTTGAATCATATCCCTCACTGGCTGACCTCAGTCTAACCTTGAAGGTATATCGTTGAATGACTGCATGAACCGACGCAGTTCGTTACTGAGGATACGAAGCTAACCACCCCCTCCGTGGTGAGACGAGGTTTCACACGAAACGTTTTGCCTCGGGAGACGCAAGGGTTCCCTCCCCCTGTCACCGTTGTCGGGAGTGGGCTTAGACTGACAGAGGGGTTATTGTCGATGAAATTCCTCAGTTCAGTGACACAAGAGTATGCATTTATCCAACTATCTGTGACTGTTGTTGTTGTTGTAGTTGTTGCTCTTGACATTGCATTCCGTTCTGACGTGTTTTACTATACATTAATATCTTTCTAAGTACCCTTCAAGGCAAAACAGCAACATGACATGAATGAACATACCCAGAATTTAACCACACGACGAAAGAACAAGGTCCTAGAGATAACAAGGCCATGCAATATGAAGAGGACACATGGCAGGGTGTGGGGGGAGAACAGGCCCAAAAAACTTCAGTACTACTCCGTAGTATATTTTTTTGTCGAGGGCCCATGCGTGTAACTCAGAGCTGACTGAATCAAAACGGATGTGATCTTGAAGAGGAGCAATATTTGTTTATCCTTGCTAACCACCGAGGTAGAGTTCTTTGTCGGGTTCCCTTCCCGATCAGCCACTCTCTGTAAGGGTACAATGTACTGCTGCAAGGGTACAATGTATTTTTGCAGCAGCAGTATAAGAATAGTCTCTCGCTGTCTATTTAGTGCCGATCGAATGTGGCGGTGCTCGGTATACATGTAGTGCCCCGGTCAAATCTCTGGCCACGTCCACTCCTACACTAAAACCTACATAGATCTCCCTGTTTTCTGTTTTGAATGCTAGTAGTGCAGGTAGGTCCGTTTGTGTTCGGTATTTGCACACCTCGAAGTACATATTATTATTCGTAAACCCTTTGTAGCGATTGTAGTGCTTGATGATTAGATGTTTGTTATCACTCGCACCTGGTTGTTTGTTATACGCACTCACACGAATGTAGTCTAGTCTATACACAAACTAGTGTCTTGGGCACAACCGGCATCACACTGAGAACTGAGAACAGGGACCTCTATCTACTACTGCTGCGTATGTATGTATGTAGACTGTCCTCTTTCCGAGCCCCTTGACTTAAAAGAAGCCCAGTCAGTAAGTCAGCGCTGATTAGATATCTAGAAGTAAATGGTTAGGTTTTGGTTGGATTTATCCCAGGGCCGAACGCTTCGGTGCATTCGCTTTGTTGGTAGGTTGCATGAGATATCACACCCCCGGGACCAATTTTCAAAAAGCTCGATTACTCCACGACGAAGAGGATATCCAAATTGAAGAAGTATACATTTTCGGAAAGCTCTCGACGAGACGGTTCCAACGCCGTCATTTTCGGCACCGTTACGGCTTTTCCTGCCGAGATATCGAGCTTCGAAATCGGTCCACAGGGGGTGATATCTTTGCAACCTACCGTTAATTAGGTGTGGTTTTTGGTTTTTCCTCCTGAGATGCTGGATAAAGCGCAACGTCTCTGCAACGTCTGAACTGATCTAAATTAGTTGAGAGGAAATGCAGCGAATCCACACGGTCGCTGCTGGGTTACCCCACCACAGAATGATGATGCTGCATCTTCAGGGCGTCACGGGGGCGCCGCATGTAGTATGCATGCATGAATGTAAAATGTATCATAAAGAACAAAGAGGTTTGTGTGTTTTCACCCCCCCATGCCCCCCGTATGCATATTTTTTCGTCTCAATTAACCTCCTTCCCTCAGCTTGTGCTTTATTTGCGTACCCCCCGCCTTCGGCGCACGCGTGCCCACCTCGTCCATTCCCTCGCCATCCCCACATCAAACACTTCTTCTTCTCACAGGTGAGACTTAACAAAAGCTTCCCGATCCACGAGTGAAGCATGCAGCATCAGTACATACCGATTATTCTTCGTTGGATCTCTCCCCCTCTAATTCTGCACGCACTACGCGAGCGTTGGACTCAGGAAACGGGCCGTTCATGTCACTTGGGTGAGTCTGTGGCACTCCGGTCTTACGGTTCACAACGCCCACAAGCTAAACGCCCACGAGGTGTTCAGGACGTGCGTCCCCCTAACGCATTGTGTATGCACGGCGTTGTTCATGCGAATGGCTATGATGACCTCCGCTTTTGGCTTCCCTCGTGCCCCTGGGGTACAGTAGTCATCGGTCTCGTCCAGCAATTTTTTGAATTTTCGACCGTTAGGTTTTCACACCAGGTGTCAGGCGACCACACGGAGATGAATGGAACCGATGCCTCATGTCACCAAGCCCCACACGGGCAAAGGCCTTGGCTTTCTCTTCAAGTCACTAGCCGCAAGCATGCTCTAGTGACTTTGCACTCTGCTCGCTTGTCGATCTGCTGTGATGTGTGCCTTTCCGAAAGTAATGAAAATTGCTCGGCGGCGGTACAGGCCGCTTTTTCTTGTGTGCTCCTGCTCGTGCAAGGGAGCTGTGGAGCATGATCGATCGGGGTGATCGCTAACGGTACCCATGAAAACAGGTTTTTCGCCTGTCCTGCCGGCATGACGCTTTCATCAAACGGCATCCTCTCTGGTTTCTTGGCCTGACATAACTTCCTCGGTTACAAACACCCGGTTTTGAATTGCGTCCGTTTGATTTTTAACGCCCAAATGGACTCAAGCCTGGGATGGGCCCTTCGTGTTCAACTACTGTCTGAATGCCTTTTGCATGTACCCTCACCGCCGCGATCATCTTCGGTGTAGCCCATCTGAAGTCTTTGTCTTCCGTTCACGTTCGTAAACGTTTGGGGATGTCGCAGTTCATATCCTCCAAACATGTCCGGAAAAGGAAAGGGCGGACGCGGAAAGAAGAGCACCTCCAAGTGAGTCTGTTCCTGTTTCGTTTCTCGGTGACACCTGCCTGTGTAACTTGGTACTGCTGAAGCCGTCGTCCAGATGCATTCAAAATTAACGTGCTTTTCGCTAAACGTGACCACCAAAAGTCTCGGGACACACTTGCTTACACTAAATGTTGCGGGCAACATGGGGATTGACTGTTGGGTTAGCTAGGGGTACACATACCCGCGTGATCGTGCCTTCATTCACACGTTTTGTTACGCCACAGGTCCTCGAAGGCTGGTCTGCAGTTCCCGGTGGCGCGTATCGGTCGCTACCTCAAGAGGGGAAAGTACGCGACCAGGGTGGGTGCGGGCGCTCCGGTGTACCTGGCCGCTGTGCTGGAATACCTGACCGCCGAGGTGCTTGAGCTGGCGGGCAACGCCGCCCGCGACAACAAGAAGGCCCGCATCATCCCTCGCCACATTCAGCTGGCCGTTCGCAACGACGAGGAGCTCAACAAGCTGCTCGGCGAGGTGACCATCGCTTCTGGCGGCGTGCTCCCCAACATCCACGCGGTGCTCCTGCCGAAAAAGTCCAGTGTCGGCAAGGCCAAGGCGTCGGCATCCGCTTCACAGGACTACTAAGACTCTCATCTACCCCGACGGCATCTCTCCGCGGGCATCGTGAAATAAAAACTCAAAAAAACTGGTGTTTCCTCAACACCACCCTTTCCATCTGAAGGAAAGCGCCGCGCCGGGCACCCCTACGTTGGACAAGAAGGATTCCATCATGTACACAAGGCTCTTGGCCATCGTACCGGACCCTTCCACCATTCCTGCGTGCCGTGTGTGCATGTTTTTTATTTCTAGCATCGACCGAGTAAACCGGCTGACCAATGAACAGACGTCAGTCTCAGTGCGATTGAAAACACTAACACTCTTATCTGCCATGAACTGGGACCCCGCGTCTTTCGTTGTGGGGAAGGTCATCTGGCTCAAACCCTTTGCTCTATACCACTCCTTCATGTTTTCTTAATCCATCATCGTCTTCGTCCTCCTTTCTTCCCTTTCCCCGTCCTTCGTCTCCGTCACTCCCAAAGCCGTGTGTGCATTTGTGTTCGTCCCATCTTTCTGAAGTCAGTCTACACCTTTCCGTGAGAAAAATAAGCATTTTGACACTTAAAATCGCAGTCAGTAAAATCGATGGAACTTGGTAACAAAATACCTACACCACCAAGATACTATGTTGTCACCAATGGCCATCGCTATTTAAAAACACAACAGCTCCAAGGCCAACGTAACAGGGGACAGGACTGTACACCCCATTTACCTGGAAGAAATCCAACGAAATATTTTGTCGCCAACCATGTCTGTCGGAAGACCGCCAGCGAAATCTCTTGCTGTCTACAGCAGGATTTCTGAAAGAAATACCACAAAATCTATCGTACCAACAAAAGTTATCGGAGGTAGCCTGGGATGGATCTGTTGTCCACTGCTTGTGGGCCATATAGCTCAAGCGTTAGCTTGAGGGCAATGAAGCAGCAGTGTCTAATTCCTTCTATGCATTTTTGTCCAGCGTATTAGTAGATCAATAACTCGCACAGCGTATCCGTCGCCTATTTGACGTCAATTGCACCTGAAAAGGATGTAAAGGAAACCCAGCTCGTGTCACTGACTAATGACGAGATTCGAACTCACGTCCAGAGGTCCGGAAGGCTTCTAAAACACACATGGAATACGAAGGAGACAACATTATGAAGACCCACACACGGTCTGTTTTGTAGCGATATGCATGCCGGCAGAAATACACACCGAAAAAGGAGACACAATAATGCAGAACAAAGGTCCAAAACATTTTGGATCGCTGCTATGTTCCCGTAGTGCACGAAACACCTGTCGTGCTGGCACCTTCAAACCAAGGAGTACATGAAAACTTTAGATCTTGAACGCCTTGCAGTCCCGATGTGTGAGTTATTGCACTAGTGAGCAATGCGAGCGGCGAGAACCACTGCAACCAGCTCTGTGCTTGACCCGTTTCCTGCCCAAAACCCATGGGTGTCGAGTCAGTCGCGGTGCTCATCCATGAACTTTCCGTGGGCCTTGGCCATGATCTTCATAGTTTCGTGCATCGTCTCCTCGGCGGGAAGGAACGTGGTGCGGAAGTGCAAGGTGCCCTCCTCCTGACCGAAACCGCTTCCCGGCACAAGCACAATGCCCGACTCATCCAGGATCTGGTCGGCAGCGGCGTTCAGTGCGCGTGGGGCAGGGGGGGGGCGAGGAAGTGCAGCGCCACCGCCCGTAAATACCATAGATACTTTCCCTGTACATGCAAGAACACACATAAAAGTTGCACACCACCTGTTCGGCTAACAACCTTTTTTTGAATAGCCTAACAAGACAGCAGCCGGGTCCTTACCTTGAGGCAGTAGTACTCGTCAGCAGCCACCCCCTTGGCCTCGGCCACCTGCTTGGCCTTGTTCGACAAGCGGATGCGCGGGAAAGCATACAAGGCGCCATCCGCCTCGTTGCACGTGATTCCCTCAAGATCGTTTAGCGCCTTGTGTACCATAATGCTGCGCCTCTCCAGGGAAGATAGGATGTCGTCGCGTTCCTGCAACGTACCAGCGAAATCCACGTGTCAAGCGGCATCTTTTGTATCTTGGGTGCGTGTTCGTAGCAAGTACCATCATTCTCCACGACAAATAACCGCAAGACCGCTTTCTATAACACACACTCTACGGCTAAATGTTTTGCTGGAACCATGGGTGTGAATTTTGCATGCGTGCGGATTGCTTGTTTGCGCCAAGCCGAAATGATACATGACACTTTTATGTATACATACATCTGTTCGAAAGTTTCGCACGGCCGGTTTAACGTGTGTGCGAAAAGAAACGTCAGTCCGCTTTTCGTACCTCCAAATGCTTGACGTCAAAATCACGCTGCCCTACAAAATCATCGGTTGTGTACATCATCGGTCGACTCTTCCCGAAACTCTTCATAATTATCATTCCTTTGCGACAGCTTACTTGGGGATTAAATAGCCCAGTGTCGGGGTGATTTGCACGATATGTTGAACGCGTTTCATACCGACTTTTGTTCATAAACCTGGGACCCTCAGCAGCGGTACCGACCGGAGAACATGTATAGTCTCTTCATGTATGAATGCAATGTCAGTGCTTGTCATCCTGCTGAGCTACGCACGTTCACGAGGCATTAGGGTTATTATTGTGAAAAAATAATTTGAGTTGTGTCCATCGGGGACCGTACCACACCTCTCGCACGGTGGTTAGGCAACGAGTGTTTCATTTGCAAGTGATTAAGCTGAAACCATCTACGTGAGAGCCCCTCGATGTTTCGCTTTCAACCAGTCATTTCACTCCTTGCTTGCCTTTTGGAAAGTTTCGAACGACGGATCCCCCGCCTTGGGAGGGTTGATCATGATGCCGGTGGCGAGTTGTCCGATCGTGTTGGAGCACAGGGACAACGAAGACAGCTTGTACAGTTCTGCTCGTACCTGAGATATGGTAGTGAGAGTACAACGCACAAGGTTTAGGAGACGATACATGGGAGAAAAAGCCATGCTGACAGCTGTGGCACGACAATCCCATCGAGTGAGACAAAAGACCTTTGCGAGTTCATTCCAACATAATACGTAACAAGCAAGTCCATTGCACCGTAGCTACAAAGAGTCTCCTAAATAGTATCACCTCTGCGCCAATGCCGTGCACCTCCATGTAACCTCCACGCAACCCGCACTCGCCGAAGTAACCCTGCACCGAAAGCGATTATTGACGACCATGAAATGCATACATGTAGATCAGACCAATCTCATCATGCCATTTACAATATTACCAGAGGGTAGCGAAGCAGCCGAGGTTGCAAACTACCGTTTCAAGCATTCGGTGTCTGCTTCTACACATTTTCAGGCTACTGAATTTCGTAGGGAATTAATCACGGTGGGGTCGCCCGCATAGGAGCATGTGAGTTTCGAAGGACATCAAACGCTACGCACGGAAGCATGCACACTGGACAAGGACGAGCAAGCGTACGGATGCATCATGGCACACCGTTCTACATGGCATCACCCAATATAGCAGCAAAACCAGCAAAACTCTGTACTTGACTTGTCACCTTTGACGTCGAATGGAAGGAGACCAGCTGCAACCGCTCGTCGCCATCCTTGCCAGTGTAGCCCATATCGCACGCCACCTGTTTCACCACGTGCCCGTGATAATCATCACGGGACCAGGACAGAAACATTTACCATGCCACACAAAAGAGAGAAAGATGCCAAGTCTGGTTGCGATGTAGGCCTTGGCGCCGGGTGCGGTCAGCAGGCCAGATGCCATCGCTTGCCGGTGGCACATTGTCGCTGGTGAAAGTCTAACTAAACAACTACGATCCATGGCACATCTCCACACTGCGCACCTTCTTGAACGACGAGAACGAAGCGCCTTTCTTCCAGATGTTCGCTTGGTACACCTCGTCGGCCAGAATCACCAACTTTTCGTCCACGGCCATCTAGTTAGAATAATTGATGGAGAGATGCACATTCCGACAAACCCGATACAACGGAAAACGGGGTCAAGGTATCGCCGTGTCAAAAGCTTGGCGCGTGCGGAATGCAAATACGACGAAGACAGTCTCATGGACTCCCGTCACCACAGAGGGCCTATTTATCATACACGTGCCGACGGCAATGCGTGTGAAACACTCACTGGACGAAATCGATTTCGGTCACTTTTGTTGTAGTTTCGCCGGTGCTAGGTTTTCTTCTTGGCACATGTGTGTGTGGTTTTGTGTTTTCTCACCTGTTGCGGTTCATCCCTTGTAGTGTTTCGCGTCTGCAGGTTCACAAAGCGCAGCTGTCTTTCTGTACGTGATAGCGATGACCAACTGCATCGCCGTAGTAAGAGTTCACATCACGTCGTGGTCTATTAGCCGAAAGAACCGCTACCGTGCTTCTTCATATTGGGTACTGACCAATAAACAATGGTGGCATTGGTGGTGTTACAGCAGTAGGTGTATTCACCTTGATGATGTCCTTTATTTGCTCCTCGGCCAAGATATTTCCGGTAGGGTTGCCCGGGTTGATGATAGCGATACCTCGGACCTCGGTGCCATCAGCGCGGGCGGTCGCGAGGGTGCTGCGCAGGTTGTCCATCTGGTTTCATGGTTGGTTTGATGCAATGATTGGAACATAGTTTGAAGTCTTGAAATCAGTACCAGGTAATTTGCAGTGTCGGCCATAGTGCTCTGTAGCACTGCGCAGTAAACAGGAACAACAGCATGCATCAGTTCCACCACCCGCGTGTGACAAAGAGAGTAATTCAAATCAAACGACGCCGGCAGCAGTGCCGACGCGGGGTCGTGCAAAGAGGTAGAAAAAGCAAGCGTAAAATGTCGTTTAGGGAACGAATACAATTCAACAACACTACACTGGAGAAGTACCTGGGTAAAGTTAAGAAGAGCAAACAATTGACCTTACCTCAACTCCCCAGCTCGAGCCTTCGTTGAGGTGGTATGGAACCAAAGCCCCTCCCAGCAGCGTTAAGGACGCCGAGTAGAGAGGGTACTGCGGGATAGGCGTCAACAGTCCGTCTTGTACCCCTCCAGATCTCAGAAGGCACGTCAGCAGTATCCGTACACCTGTTGCAAGGGGGGCAGCCAAGGAAAAATCACGTTGCAACAAAACTACCATGGGGATACGTGGATGGTGGAACAAACAGCAGTAGTGTCCTTTGCCGTGCTCCTCCTGCACGCTCAACATGGTCAACAACAGGCCCAGTCTCGAGGTATATACTCTTTCCAACAGAGACAAAGCCTATGGTGGCGATGGGAGCTACAATCTTCGCAGCACTTCCTTCCCCCTATGGGGCGCAAAACCGCAGGTTATAAGGAACCTAGTCCCGGCACGTCCTCCGTACGCGAACAAGCTCGCAAGAAAACGGTTGTCTTAATGTGCAGCCAGAGGCAGTACGTCATATTGTAGTAGTCGTTGCTGCCTAGGCCCGGCTGAAGGTGTACAAGACACACGCAGAGAGTCAAAGCGGGCGTCAAATGAAAGTGTTTCATCGAAAAAACACGACATGGACCCCAGGACCCGGGTCCCCCGGCGCCTAGATACTCAATCCGTGGCTGACAGAAACACCGTACCTCTCGCCCGGACAATACAGATACCGTTACATGTAATTCGTGGTTTTGTGGCACATATGCACACACGAATTCTTGTGCGTATCCTACGAAGTTCGACGAAGAGCAGTGAAAGGCAGGAGGGGTGGAACTGCGTGACGGGCCCTGCTACCACTAAACTGAACAAGACGGGGTAGAACCACCATGGGTAGGGGCTTTCACAAAAGCAAAAGTGGCTAAAAGCCGTTCGTACCTTCTGACGCCCCGTTGGTGAGGTAAATGCGGTCCGCGTGTGCCGGGTGCCCGTCCCTTTCGGCAATAAAAGCTGCGATCTCCTGCTCGACACTCAAACACAGCAGTCCAACCACACAACATTCCACCAGAGCGGATAGAACGCTAGTCACGGTCGGACATGGTAGGCACAATCAAGGAGAATCGATGAGGCAACAAGCTTGCGGTAGTTCGCTCCTTGGAACAGGGCAGTCAGAGATGTCTAGATATTGATTGCAGCACCATTTTGAGCGACTTGACACACTTGATGGACATCGAGATAAGGGTCCGAGTTGGCACATTCAAGAAAAAGTGTTCAATACTACAACAATCTGCGGCAGCGAACAGTTGTCCACAATGGCCAAGACTCGAGAGAGCACGTGCAAGCAGGAAGTGTCCAAAGTACTTCACGTGCTGGAACGGAAGATCGCAGCACTTGTAAAATATGGTCTGATCTTTGGGTTAAATTGTCTCTCTTTGTACATGCTTGTCACAATACTTTCGCGGATGAAATCAAGCGTAGTCGCCCGTCACGGTCATTTCATGTACATGAATAGGTCGCTGTACGACCCTGGAATGGGACCTTGTGTTGTGCGTATACGAGTATGCACTACGTCACGCTGGGAAAATGCTTTAAACCTTTTCGTTCAGTAATGATACCGACTTGGCTTGGCGTGGGTACCGTGCCTCGAGACCGAAGCGTTAGCAGCAGGACCAGCAGAAACAATGGCAACAACGAAGAGAGCTCCTGCCGTGTAGGCATGAATGTGCGTGATGTGTTTTGAGAAGCAATGACAGACCGACACAAGAGAGCGAAAGATTGCGCACCGTCAGGGGCGTCTAGAACCAGAACAGTATCATTAACTGTCACGGAATGGCGAAAGTGGCTGAAGGGTCGCTGGGGGGGTCCCCGAGAGTTGAGCGTGTTGTTGAGTACACCAGAAATTCAACTGTCAGAAATATGTGTAATAAAACCTGCACACATGCGTTGCTCTTCTCAGCTCACCAACCAGCACAACATTGAACTGTTCATACTGTGAACATTGCTTTGCTCTTGTGATGCCTTCCTTGAGTCCTTCGGCCCTATACTCAATCTCCAACAAATCCAGCCGGGTAACCAAGCAAACAACAGAGTTCCAACACGTGTATATTGACTTGATCGACAGCACGAGCCTCAGGACGTTTCCCATTCCAATATGGTTCGAAGGATGGCGATTCGCAAATGTGGAGTGACCCTTGGGCATGCTTGTGAAACCGTAAAGACCAAAATTAAGTTACCGGGGAGTGAGTGGGTTTCGGTGTTTTACAAGCCACCAGCTTGATCCACATGACGATGTGTCGAGACATGTAGATGACTAGCGAGCACTCGGTTCTCTTGCCACCCGACGTGGGGAGTAGTTGTATCGGGCGAGAACGCGAGTTGAGCATACAGCATTATATTTTAGGGACAGCGCAGCATGCAAGGTGAGTCCAAGCGATGCTTTGCATTCTGTCCGAAAACACGCAAGAGTTGGGGCCAGCCGTTTAGCGGTGCCGACAGGCGAGGCCGGACAAGCTCGTGGGGTTCCGCCATGAAGATATCGCACGAAACCGTGACGGAAGTATCACTTGAGGTAATGATCGCGAAAAATTGCTTCATGAAGACACAACATGAAAAAAAAGGATGCTTAACTGTTGCAGTCGGAAACCGGTCTCGGAATCGATGTATCTACGAGAGGAACGACAGGCAGTATGTTGCAAAGCGAGACAGCGCCACTGGCAACCAGGCCGTTGAGGCGCAAAATTATCCCAAACAACCAGGCCCTTGGGGCACCTCTGTGAGGTCTATGGAGTGGTTGGAGCAAAGTTCCGATCGGAATATCGAGCCGAGTTCTGCATGTAGCTATATACGAATTCTCAAACACTGAGTTCAGCAGCCTCGCTTTCGGTTGTCCAGAGTTTCTCACCACGACTCGATACAATAACTAAAGTAACGAACTCCCGAAACGAATAAAACGCCATTGCAAAGGAAAGGCGCTATTGAACGGTCGCAATGATACCACCGCAGTTGTCAACCCTTACGTGACCGGGATAATTTGATTTTTTTCGTTTTTTCCCCACAACTAGCTCTCTGCGGTCAAAGATCTTCCAAGCATGCGTGTACACCCTTAAATCACGGCGGCAAGGATGGTGCAGCAGTGGGTCCTTGTGTGGGGCTCACAGGGATGGGGACGTGGTATATGTAAGGGTGACGAACAGGAGTACAGTAGTACACTGCTGTACAGCAGTAGCACTTATGCGGAGAGAAATAGACTGTACAGCAGCAGTTGTTGCTGAGCAGGTGTGCATGCCTGTCTCCGACAGCAACCGTCCGCACAGAGGATGTACCTGTGCAAGCAATACCTGGTGGCACATCTTCTCCACCTCATCCTTGGACAGAGCATACGGCAAGCTCATATGCTAGCGGCGCTAGATGCGAAGACGCTGACGGGAAACCGCCTCACAGAAGCGCCAGATCGACGAAAAAAACGGCCCGCTCATCAGAGAATCGAGACCATCAACCACTATCGCACAAACTGCATAAAAATCGTGACAATTTTTACTATTATGTACTACAAATAGAGAGCTGTGATCAGAGCTGTAGTCCCGAAAACCCTTGCCTTTGAGCGAAATTTTGCCCACAGCAGACGAACCACCCTGCACTCCCAATACTGGGAACCACACGCACCGCAACCACAACATCAAGCACCGAGGCAGTACGCTAGCATCGGCTCCGGTGTGCGCTTTCTCTGCTCTCCCCCGCGGATGCGGCACCGGGTTGATCACATGTTCAGGGTGCTGTATGTACCCTCCGGTGGTATTTTGCGTTTGAATCAGTAGCAGTAGGCAGTAGATTGGATCTGGAAAGGATATCTGTGCCCCCACGTCAGAGGGATTAGGCATGGGTGAATAGTATTGTACTATGTGAGTCCTGTGCGCATTTGCTGATAAGCGTGCTTTTGGGGTGGGCTGCCTGTGTCTCCTTGCTGGTCTCTATATATGTTTTTTGCTCTTAGCCGAGGCACAACGACGATCTTTCGGCACGCAAAGTGATCGGAGCTGAGAACGGAGCTGCATCGGCCTGTTGTAGTCACGTAAGGGTTAAGTGTTGATGTCGTCGTCGTTCATGCTCACGACATACCTCGCGGACGGCGGGGATCCCCTGACTGTTGGTGTAGGCGCCAACGCCACCAGTGAGGCCAGCAGCATAGTGCTTCGCTCGCTCCACCACGTCCTTCTTGAAAATTTGCGGGTGGTCGCTGGCTAGGTTAGGGCTGTTCAACGGAAGGGACCGCACGCAGCACACGGTGTGTACGGATCAGCCACAGTTGCGAAGAGGAAATACTGAATGGACGTCGAACGCAACCTATTAATACGCACGACAAAGATAGTAACGATAGCATCCAACTGCAACCGACCGCACAGCGATGCTGAAAATTAACCAAAAATATCCCACAGGGTGTGCAGCGTGCAGCTATCACGCTGTTCGTTCACCTGATGCACAGGGACAAAACCTCTCTGTGGAAGCTCAGTGGGACTTGAAGACAGGCGTGAGGGTTGCCGATATTGCACGGCACGATCTGCGCGTGGCAGTCATGGCATGCGGGGAGGAACAGAATGATCGAACGGCGAGAATCAAAACGGCTATTAATAGAATGCAAACTTCCACTGGCGAAACTCGTCAAAGCGGTCCCATTTTTTTTGCGCACGGTGCAAGTGCAACGTCTGGTATGCATCATTTTCAGAAGTACATGTCTACCCCGGCTACTGCAAAACGCAGTACAAGAGGACAACGCAAAACAAAGTGATACATAAACATCGGATAATGGAATGTCATTGCAGCAATTCGGGAAGTCGCGCTCGCCAGAATGCTCACAGTGTATGCGAACAGACACGTCCATGTTCATGACGCCAACGAGTATCGGCAAGGCAATTGAACGCGTTCGTCTCCCTTTGGCTCCCCGCTATCAAATGCATACAATCTTTCTGCTACGTCAACCACTGCATGCGATATCAAGGGGTTTGCGGTATGCATTCCCACGAGGTCTTGACAAACGCAAAATGTGCCACATCGGTGAGCTCTCGGTGGTGAACGCCAAGATGATGGTCCTGGCCAGGTACATGTATTCACACTTGCAGTCCAACACCTGGAAACAAACGTCAACTTAGGTCCGTTGTGACGTTGTGACAGCAATGAGTAATTCGATCAAAATTCATGAGACACGCTTAGCGCTCACACGAGGAGGATGATTGCTGCAATCTCACCGTGTCAAAGGGGAGCTTTTCCCCGGCTGCCATCTTGCGTTGGAGCTCCATTGAGCGTTCCAGCACAGCACCTCGGACAGCATACTGTGGTGGGTCGAAAAGGCACGAAAGGCGATGTAGGGGATATAACCTTACATACAGGTAGTGGTTCAATTGACCTTCAGACATACAGGTTATCGTGCACGTTGCACACTGAGCACCGTACCTTGGCCTGTGTGACACTCTGGTTCATGGTAGCACCATTCAGCGGGAGGCCTGCGCGGGAGGCCGCGGAGAAGGCCCGAGGGAGCGTACGACGAAGCATGCTTGTTTGGGGGTATTTCGTTTGTGTTGCGTCTACCAAAGGTAGGGTGTTGTCAGCAGCCTCAAGTAGAGTATTGCTGTTGTCGTGTGGCTTCACTTTTAGACGTAAGGTGACGTGGAAGCTACTACCTCCGGGAAAGGCTGACGAGAAATGCTGATCGAACCACGGATACACTCAGCAGTATGATGTGTGCATTTGCGGCTCGGAAATACGTAGATCGAGGGGGGGGCGGCGGGATTTCACTCGGTTCTGCCAAAAAAAAAAAAGAGCTCGTATCTCACAAAAAAATAAATAAAACAGTTATCGAAAATCAGTTATCGAACGATCATGCGAAGGATGAAGGATTCAAGTTTGCAACATAGGCAAGACAAAGGATCCAGAGAGGGGAGACGATGGGTCGCCGGCAGGGGTCTCAACAGGGAGATCGAGGGGTCTTGTGGCAGTTGGGAACAGTTATTTGCTGCGCAGTTCTCTCTTCTGCTTCCAGGGGCAGCCCCGTCCAACTCCATTCTGCACATCCGCACGCCGTTGAACGGGCAGAGGTATGCACGTTCTGTAGTAGTCTCTTTACCGGTGGTTGAATCCTCGTTCCGTGTATCGATGCAGCCGCGAGAGGGAAAGGCCGTAAGCTGTACGTGTCTCCCTTGATCCAACAATAAACGTCGTTGACGATGGATCAGTGCCCCTTTTCACATGCTTGCTCTTCGCGCATGCTTGCAGTTCGCGGTTCGTGAGCTCCAAGGACTTTCGGATACGGGTATCTTTCGAACCCTGTCGCTCAAGAGCATCTCTGCTGCCGCAACGCAGGTGTGTGCAGTACAGCAGTAGTGTACACAAATGAGTATTCACGCGGAAACCGCCGGACATGATAACAAACAAGCAGCAGTTACGGTCGTTCTGAAACTATCATTTATCCTAATACCACGCATATATATATACCGTAAGGATGCCGGTCTTGGCACGGGTCGGCTACATGGCACAGGCCGGGGTCTACGGTATCGTTCACTTCGCGCAGGGGTGTGCGGAGACCCCGATAGCTTCGACCCCGATACCTTCGGCGAGGTTGGGTGAAACCATGGTACCCAGCTGTTTTTGTCGCGGGCCACTAGTGTACCCAAGGTACATATATAGCTTGTATCATGGGCTCCACCGCTGTACTTTGGCATTGTAACGTTGCTCATGTGCAAGTGATGTTGTTCAACATTGTCGTTTTTTTGTCGGCATCGGCAAACGGTTTCTACTCAATCAACCAAGAACGCGTAAAAAAAAACGAGACCAAACGACCACAATCAACGACGGTACTACGAAAATTACAAGTAGGACCGGGAAACAATATAATTACGTGGCCAAGGACTGGCAGGCAAAATGGTACATCCCCCGTTGGCCACTGCTGCTGTGTCCTTCTTCGTTCATGGCACCGAACCAAACCTCTCCTCCACTGGCCAATACCCCGCTGCAATTAAAACGTTCTAGCGCCAACCCGCTACCAACTGGTCCACATCAAATCTCAACCGGCAAACACGAAGCATGATAGTTCACAGCTCGGGCCCATCTCCAAAAATGATACGATGCATGTCTACTTCTAGACTAGCAGCAGATTCTTGATCTTTACACAACACGGGAGCTACAGAAGCTGTAATTAGGAAGGGAACCAGCATGATGAGGCTCAAGAAACAATAAGGATGGGATCTCGCGGTCCAAGCTGCACCCTCCAGCTTTCTCTAGAACTTTTGATTGGCCTCTCTTTGCACACGATTTTAAAAAGTTCTTGATTTTTTTTTTCGTCTTCACTTCAAATCAGGGCTCACAGCACAAGTGCCGTTTACTCCAACCCGTGGTCACACACGAGCCCCTCTCTACCCTCCCCTCCTGCGGTACTTTGCCTTTGAATTGTATTGCGAGAAGAGTTCAGCACTTTCTTCCCTCTGTGTACACGAACTAGCGCCATCCACTAGGCCAGGAGCTGAAGCGAGAGAATGACTCACTTTGCAGTAAAAGCTCGCTTACGCCGGGATTCGAACCCCTGACCTGACCTTTAGAAGGTTTCGAGGATACCATCTTGTTGCTCCACGTGGAACAAATTGTGGAAACAATTGTCGCAGCAGTGCACTTATCGTGAACGCTCGGCAACATGCATGCATACAATCACGGCAGCAGCACCCGCTCTTTCCCCACGGAAATGCGTGGACTGCATGGCTGGCCGCCTCTTTCTCTTTACAACACAGGAGCTACAGAAGCTGCAATTACGAAGGGAACCAGCACGAGGCTCAAGAAACAACAAGGGTGCTCGCGGTCCAAGCCGCACCCTCCGGCTTGCTCCAGAACTTTTGATTGGCCTCTCTTTGCACACGATTAAGATTATATCTTGTTTCTCCACGTGGAACAAATTGTGGAAAAAACGCTTGGCACATGCATGCATAGAATCACGGCAGCAGCACCCGCTCTTTCCCCACGGAAATGCGTGGACTGCATTGCTAGCCGTCGTGCAAGACACTGTCGGTGCAAGCCGAACATGGAGGTCCGCTCGATTGGGGTTGTGATATTCAATTTTGATACAATGCCATTGCAAAAATCAGCCCTTCCGGAGGTTGTCTTCTTCTTCGATGAAGGATAAACATGATGCTCAAGGTATAATATGGAGTTATTCCCGCCGCAGGGAGGGACATTTGGGCTCCTGTTGTCATGTCGTGATGGAGGAAACCGCGACCACGGTCACGGTTTATGGTTTCCGCTTTGTGAAATAGGAACTGCCACCCACGGTTGTTGTAGACTCCCGTTTTGGCGGAGTGGGATTCACACATGTGTTATGTCGGTGAGATGGGGATAGGACCGGGGGCTCAGACCACTGGTTGATGGGATGGGACGGGATCGGAGGGAATGAAAACGACGAGCAAACACGCAGTAGGGGGGATGGGCAATTACTATCTTGCTGAATGGGAGGAAAACGGAAATGGCACAACAGGAGCCAACTTGGAACCCAACGGCGAGACAAGATATTGGCATATAATGGGGCATGATATCGGGACCAGGAGGAAAGCAAGCCCCTTGGAATGCTCATGTGTGTTTGCGAGGGTGGCAAAGGTGGGGAAACTAAAAATATCCGCACCAAACGAATTTTTGAAAGGCCTCAACTCCTTTTCCTCCCTCTGAGGATCCTTAACTGCTTGTTTTCAACCCTGGCTTTTGTCAGTCGAAAGCTTCCATACGTTTTTGTGTCATCCCTTGTTTAGAAGTTCATTTTATATCTGTCGGTATTGTTGACGCACAAAGCCGGGGTCAGAGGAACCCTAGATGAGATGTGTTTTTCGCCACCTACTTGCATTCTGAGGTAGGTGCTTGCCATTGTTATTGTCGCGAGAAAGATTCAGCCGTTCCTACCCGTCGTCGACTGTGGAAGTCAAATTCGTGTACTCACGAACTTGATCGTCATCCCCATTTGTGTAGTCTTACAGAAAGAAATCAAGTTCGCGTGATTGCGCCGAGATTCGCACCCATGTGTCCAAACGTCAAATTGTTGTGAGGTTTCTAGCTATACAACTGGGGCAACCTCTTTCAAAATCTATGTCTGTCGTTGACAGATGGCGTGAACTCAGTCAACCATTATGTTCTAAATGCATGAGCTCTGCTCTTTGTCCGAGCCCATGTACCCGAGCATGGTCACGCTTTGAACCTGCATCTTAATTGGCTGACTTGGCTCCGCCTGAGATGGATAATCGAGATTATTAGCGACATCCAGATCCGCCTTTGGGGTGTGTGCGCCGTGTGTGTGGGGTCTAGGCGAATGTAACGCATGCATTGTTCTTTCGGACCAAAACAAACAGCGAGGGGGATGTGGGCTGAATGGAGGAATGTGGGTTGAATAGGAGGGAGAAAGTGGAAAGATGGGAACCAAATGAGAAAAGGTGCTACAGGGATGGAAGCAAGTGCGAACTTCGTGGGCATCGGATGGGAGCAACGGCCAACAAGGTGGGACGGAAAAGAATGGGGAGAATTTTCGCTTTGGTCGAACGGGAGCAAGTGGGAGAAGGACACATGTCCCATCCGGTATACGACGTAGGACTTACCGTCCCATTGTGTCCCTTTTTGTTTCTCGTTTTTTTTTCTCTTCACACAAAAGTCAGTTCCAGCCTCATCGACATACCTAGTTAATGGTGTAAGCACATCTTGGTTATGAAACAAACACATTCTTGGTGCAGTTGACACCCGAGACAAACTCTCTTGCAATATCAGACTATTAAAACATGGACTAAGTGTGAGGACGAGGGGGGGGAGAGAGGCAGGAAAGATGGCGGGATCTACTTACGTGTACAGGCGGCACTTTCCCGAGCACTCAGTGCCACGGAATATGCTAGCGTCTGGATCCCAGCAGGGCAAACCACCGCGGCGATAAGTCGAATCCACCGCATCACGTTGGTGAAGGGTTACATCGTGGACAGGACACGAAGCATCGCCACCGGATGATGAAAAACTTCAACTTTGAATGACCAAAACTTGAGTTTTGTTGAAAGACCTATAGTAGAGTCCTTTTCGTGTCGGTGACCGAGTCCCTACCACGCAAATGAATACGTGCACGAAACATACTCGCGGGGTTCTTGTTTTCGCCGATGTTATGGATGGTCGGTGTGGACCTACTGGAACACATACTACTTTGAAGTAGCTTAGCGATATGTTTTTGTCGCCACTACAAGAACTTGGCGTGGATCGTCGCATCCAAGCGCTCGAAATAACGGTCGGTCTCAGGTCAATGCTGCAGATCTGGTTGTGAGAGTAATTTTCTTTACCTCAGCAACCACGCCAAGATGGTGAGTGACGCAATTGGTGCTCGAGGCCATTGTGGAGTGGGGAAGAGAGCATCGCTGGCTCTCACTCTCTCTCGAAACGGACTCCCGGCAGCAAAACTGACTAGGAGAGGAGCCAGAGAGAGTTGCTGAAAAGCACAGCCATGCACTGCTGCGGATAGAGTTCTCGATTGGTGGTCTCCTTATGAGAAGTCGTAGAGACGTGGTCTACCACCAAGACACACATGCAAACTCAGCGGATCGATCGGTAGGTGGTAACCCAAGCACGCAACGAAAACACACCGGACGCGAGGGTCGGCACGAATTTAGTGTTCGAGCCATGCTTTGGCGACATGCGCGTGTCGGAGGGGTGAAAACTGCTGTAAAGAGCGGGGAGAAGACTAGTTCTGACGATTAAGGTAGATTGGGAGGGAGAGACTCAACTAACACTTCGAAGTTATGCCGGGAAGTTGTGCCTCGGTTCCGCAATCTTTTTGTTGCGAGAAAGAAAGGCCGAGGCGGGTCCGAACGCGGCCTCCAGAAAGATGCCCGGACGTACACGAGAGAACGGATGAAACATTGCTACTCCGAGATGAGAAGAATGACACGAAACGTGACTTGAAATACACGGCGATAGAGAAATACACGCATGGTTTCACAATCGGCCTGTCTAGGCAAACAAAAGCAAAACGATCAAGACGGGCTACGATGTAGTTTGTGGACAACGGGCCCACGAAGGGTTCTGTCGCATGTTGAGAGATGAAGAGATAAATTCGCGTCCCTTATAGCACTTCGACAAATTGCTTATATCGACAGAAACCAACATTGACTTATTTCAACATTGCTTTGCAGCGGTTCAAGGCAGCGTATGCGATCTCCCTTCGAACCAACCCTATTTTGTTCTTCCCAACATTCCGACACAACCTCTGAATATTTACTCCCATCGCAGGACGGGGTGTTCCACTATAACACTCTGCTTACTCTGGACTTGGCCAGCCCTTACTTCTCGAGCGGGCGGCAGGAAGAGCGGTTTGAAGTGGTCGTCATGGAGCACAAGGAAGACGGTCATATCAGGTTAGGCGATCGCAGGTTGTACTCGAAACTCGGCATAACTGCTGTGGGCGACAATTGTTTTTTAACTCTAAAGGCTTTCGCTCGCTGACGGCATGAGCTCGAGGCATCATGGCAATGCGGCTGATTTACGTTTGGCACTGCCTTGTTGACCTAGCTGGAACCTATTCAGCACACAGGGAAGCGATCGACCTCCAAGGTTATTTTCCGAAACATGTGGCTTGGGGACCTGCTGAGACCTAACAGGTTCGGTAGAGCTGGTGTTGGCTCGTATGCCGTTTTCGAAGAGTGTCACATAGAGGTATGGTGCCACCGCAGGTTGAACCGGGACTCTGGATTTATTTTTGTTTGAAACGAGAGTGTGAAGCTGTTGCCTTGGAGTGTCCATGCTCCTGTCGAAAAGGTGGTGATCACGCCGTGAGCTAGTTGTAGCACACGTTTCACTACCTCAGCAAAAACGACTGATGTCACAAAGGTTGGTACAGCTCAATCGCCAAGGCGAACGCCAAAGTTGTAGTCATTAAAAGCGCCTTTCTCTCAGGTGTGTTGATGGAGGTGGAAACGTTCCCGATGGTGCCAAAGAAAACTAACCCTCTGGAGGAAAAAGCTCTGTTGCGCTCCCGTTTTTTGTTTATATTCGATGTGGGGGGGGTGAGGACGGTGGTAAATTACGCGCATTCCAGCGATTTTGGACAATAGAACGGGAGATTACAAAGAGAACTGGGACACAAACACCCTGTTGTTTATAGACTGCTTGATCTTTGCAAGTCTGAGCCGAGGGCATTTTGTCTTCTATTCATTGTTTCTACTGAATTAATGTTCCTTGTCTCCATGTTTTGAAGAAGCATAATGAGCGGATTTGATGCACACGCTGTCACATTTATCCGAATCGACGAACGCATTCAAAAAGCTATGACAGGTCAAGTAGAAATCCTAGGACAACCCCTGGCAACATGAAGTTTCCGTCCCTCGAAACACAAGCGGGGTTTGCAAACAAGCGTGCCGAGAGAGCGGCGTGCCGAGATCAAATACCTTCCCGGCAACGCTCTCGACTCTGTTTTAATCACGAACGTGACCCGCTTTCCGTTTCAATACAAAAATAGCACCACACTACCGAATCCATCATGAATTGCTGTCACCCCACGGTCCTGTCAAGTCAGTTTCATAGACATCTGATGTCCCGCGACTGTTTTCGGCGTAAGCTCTCGACATGCTAAGGTTGACAAGCTACCACCACGTGCGTGAATATCTGTTCAATCTGACATCACATGCAACTCGTGTTTTTGGAAGGTGCTTTTAGATTTACGCAACGACATTCGCCCACTGGCACACGCTAGTCCCGAAGCCCTGGATTTCCGTTGGTGACTTTGGTACCCTCGAACGTGAATTCCAATCCCGGCCAAGCGAGCATTCTCGCAATCCGCATCAAGCAGAGCTTTGGCGGCTAACCCCTCCAAGCTCAGAAAGGAAGCCCAAGCATGTTATGAATATTCCGGCCGTGCGAGGCGTTTTTAGCGCATAGAACGTGGGGCATGGTACACGTTTGTGTGCTAGGATGGATGTTCGCCTACGATTGGGAGTGGCGATGTGCCATCCATCTTGTATGATTCTGTCGGTGCAACAAGAGGAAAGCGTCATCCTGCAACGTTCACGTTCCAGGGCATGGGCAGAACGGACCTTGCCTGTATTTCGTCGTGGTGCACTTGCTCAACACTCAATCGGAAACACTGATGTATTGTTCGGTCGATGATTTTCACCCTCACGACGAGATGGTCTACCAAAATGACCGATGCCGAGAACAAGGCAAGACCCCATAATTAGTAGATTCAACTGGGAATGATCCGCTCGAAACGAAAGAACGACGAGTAAAAACAAAATTAAAAATATGTTCCAATGATGGTTGTTTGGCCTACCCTAATATTCCTGACACGATATCCCCTTGTTGTTGACCGGGCCCTTCGAGGTCAACTGAGAAGTGAGGTAAGACAGACACCGAGGTGCGCAAGCGGGTAACCTCAACGGTGACTGAAAGAGGCACCCACTGGGAATCAAACCTCATTCATCACCGGATATTTGGGATGAGGCAAGACCGTGCACTCCGGGTATTGTTTCTTGGGGATCTTGAGGAAGCTACCTGTCTTTTGGGACAACTAATACCACACCTCACTCCTACTTATTGGGTCAGTCAAACCCTATAACCGTACCTGCTGTTGCTGCGCGTGAAGAAGAAATGATTGTTACGGATTCCTCGTCTTTCCACCCCATATTTCTAATCTCTCGATGCCGATGTTGTCGTGTTTTGACGACGTCTCTGCAGCTTCTCCATCGACTCTTTCCCAGACATGGACCCGGTGGCACTGGAACATTTTTACATTCAGAAGGTAGGTCTCTGTTCCAGTATGACTCGAGTATTGTGATCACCTGAAAGAACGTGTAGACACGTTGAAATCTACAGGGCCTAGGACCAGAAACATCCCCTTTCCGTGGATGATCTAGAAGTAATATTTACGTCCTTGATGATGAGCGTAATTTTTTTATACGCGGGCTCTTTTCTCTCTCTCCCTGGCCAACATTTTTTCTATCCAGACAGTTAAAATCCCTTACGTTGCCATCAATATGCAGATATCCAACGGCGGTCCCCGCCAAGAACTGCATTTCCCCAGGTACCCTAGATCCACAAATAGATGGGACAAAATACATGAAAAAATGCCGACATCTGTACATCTCCTGTCTCTTCTTCAGTTTGGAAGTCGTGCAAAAAAGGCTTGAAAAGGATAGCAGAAGCTATTAACAACGGCGCAAGCAAATACTGAGTTGATTCCGGATGCATGGTTATCCGACAAAGTTTGGAGCGCGTTGTTGCCGTGGACCAAATTCGAACACCCCCGGACCAAATATCGATTCACCCTGCTCGCGGTGCCAGACAATGGGCAGTCGTTCAGCTGGCGAACAGGGAATGTTTTAGAGAGTGTGGTGTAACAGTATTCAGTGTTCTACATAGATTTCAACATGTCGATGAGACTCCAGAGTTCGAAAAATTTACCATGTTCGGTTTGAAGGTCAGACTGTGATCAGGGCTGTGTTGCCCATTCCTTGCCCACATCATGCCAAGGTCGATCAGCATCGGCAAAGCCGAGATATGTTTTTTTCGAAGATCGACCGTGAGACCGACGAGATGGCGAACCCGGAAACATCAGATCCCGCTAAATTGGCGGTCGCCGTGATGGATTACGATCCCCATGAGTTGCTCGTTCTCCTCAACACAAGTGAGAGTCCAAGAAGAGTCCACACACCAGCTGCTAACTTGGGATTATGCGTTGATCATTGTCGGACTATCTTTCCATTGAGCAACTAGGATACCTCGGAAACATAAATCTAGAGCAGTTGGACCGAGAACGCATCTTGTACAGCCTAGCCTAGACGTACACGAGCATGATGCGTGAAAGCGGAGGAAAGGTGGGAGACGTAGCTCGAGCACTTGGCGGGATTATGGTCACACCTCCAGTACACCCATTGATATCAGACGAACTAATGACAATCGTTTCGAAGGGAGTGGCGGTGACTGGGGGCAGAAACATAATTTAATATCTTGCCTTTGATTGCAAGAGAGGATGTTTGGACCCGCGCGATTTCAAGAGAAACTGGGTGTCACACTCAAAGGTTTGTGTTGGCTCTCCTACAATAGGTTCGGAGGTTCATTCATTGAGTCAATGCCGCCTCTGATGAAGTCGAGTCATCATTACGTAGCCGCAAATGTGAGGCCTGTAGAGCATTGCGACATTTGTCCACTTTGATATTGATTTGTTGACACATGTTCGCACGCTTGGGTATTATTGCGTAGTTTAAGTGGGCTGGCTTTGGCACATGTGCGAGATACAGCAGTGTGTTGTCCTTGTTTGATACGAATGGTTGTTGTTAGCGCAGCCATTTCACGGTTTGCCATTGTTACCTGTCAACACTTTCTGTGTAACGCACGCACAATAACATTCAAATATTCAGAGCAGAAGTATTTGGAAGAATGGTAAGATGTGACGCCTCGACAAGGCGTAGCTTTCCAAGCGAAGACGCAACTAACAATATCGATCCCACAACGCACCTCAGGTGAATCTCTCGAAGATCCGAGAAGGCAAGCCGTGGGTATTGAAGTCACCCGTCGATTGGAACGACAGAGAACGTAATTATGATGACCCAGTCAGCCAAAACTCTTCGGCGAAGGGCCTCTTCGTTGAAGCGCACCTTAATGAGTTCGTGGATCTTGTCTTATCGAGTTCTTGGGAGTGGTGCAGCGGGAAGTACTTAAGTTACCTGTATTACACACCAGAACCGATACGTTTTTTTAATGCTGTTATAAATAGTTGCATGCCTCCAAGGTTGCGAGATGACATCGGGAATTGTTTAGTTGTTGATTCTCCTAGCAGACAATGAGAGGGAGCTCAATTTTCGTTACTTGTGATTGGTCAATATATTATTACAAAGTATCCATCGATTTTTGAATGATGGAAAGCTCTGTGGCGACTCGTGTTGCCGTTCGTGGAATTTTTGTTGTCCAGGTACGATGGCTCACTGAACTTTTTGTACGTGGTGAGGATTGAATTTTTCTTTATGCTTGGCACGAACACCGTCGAGTACCTACTTTTCGTGTATTTCAAACATCTCATGAAGGTGTTTGACACCCCGAGACGTCTGTCTATCACTACAGTCGACGGTCCTCAATAGCGGTGCCCTCAATAGCGAGATGACCTCTATAACGGCAACAAAATCGCTTGGCACGAATGCATCCCTCAATAGCGGTACGGGTGCCACCATTGAGGAATTAATCCTTTATAGTGGCATTGTGCCGCTATATATGCCGCTAGAGCAAAATATGCATATAATGCAAGAAAAAGGCAAGGGGACCATCAAAGGTCATTCAAGGGTGGCGGGGCTCACGGCTGCACTCAATGCGCTCAGTACGGGCGTGAAGGAGATAGCGGTGGGGGGAGGTGGTGAACAAGACTCAGAGATGTGCGAGGTACTCTCATACCTCGGCATCGTCCCGGGTAAGCCCGCCACCCCGGCAGCCATCGAGGAGGTCGAGTCTTGGGTGCAGCTAGAGGAGCAGGATGAGGTGGTCAAGGCTCTCGCCGCGGACGCGAAGGCGGCGCTCAATGAGAAGATAAATGACAACTTTACAGAGGACTCCGATTCCGATGAGGAGGAGCTGAACGACACGGGGGAGGTTGAGAGTGCAGGGGGTAGGAAATTGATGGCGCCGCCGACGTACTCGGATCTGTCGGAATTTTTCGGTCCACTACAGCAAGCAGTACGCACAGTCGGGTGGAAATGACGAGGCTGAACATCTTCTCTTCGCAAGGCCAAGATGTCGTTCCTCGCAGCCCACGCCGCTAAACCAGTCTAACAGTCAGACATGAGACTGTTGCTTGAATCATAGGCGCGTCGGTCAAGCTCAGCAGCAGTAGCAGTGCCTGTTCTTTGTTTTTGCTCCAGTTGTCCAGTTTAACATTTTTTGTGTACGCTGTTTGGGCTCTGTTTGCACCTGTGGTTCATTGATTTTACGTTGTGCTCATTTTCTGTTTTCTGTACGGTTCGTTGCTCTGCTATGATACGACTAATGGGGGCGTAGTGTTGCAGAGTACAGTCTACACGATGATGATGATTTCTGATTGAGCCAACTCAATATTGCACAGCTGTAGTTCTCCACATATTCTCTTCAATAACAGGATCGCCTATTTCGAGGCCGGGATTGGCCTGCCAACGAGAGCTTTGGGGCACACCTCTGCCACTTGCCCCACCGAGGCTTATCATTCCACCGGGTTTCTACGGTTACATTTGTTTTTCTGGTGCATATATGCGTGCACGCGCATATTTCGTTTTTTGTCGTTGACAATATTTGAACGGCTTTATATCGATTCTCTACTTTTCTCTCGGTGTACCAACACGAACCGAGCGATTCCTTTGCTTTCAAATGGGATCCGCGGTTGTCCCCGTGGTACTGTTATTTTGGAGTGGCATCACAGTAGCAGTAATGTGCGTTGTGTGACTGACGTCCAAATGCGTTGAGGACTCGTTTTTCGGAACAATCATCATCGAAGATGCGTGTGGCGACGCATACTTTGGTTGCCTGCGAATCTTCATTTCGTCTGTGCTCTCCATACATCAGATTCAGTTTGTCCGTTTGTCTTTGGGTTCAAAACTATTGTCGTTGCGCATCGTCCCACATCATAACAACGATGCCACCATATAGAAAACAGGTTCCCGAGATCTGTGAGAGGTTGCATATCATAACAACGTCGCCACCATATAGAAAACAGGTTCCCGAGATCCAACCTAACCCCAATCCTTACCCTAACCCTCACCCACGGCCAACATACGGCCTAGCAGCCGCGAACTGGGCGAAAATACGGCGGTGCCTCGTTGTCGGAATGCGGAATAGACAGAAGGCGCTGGGCAGGACTCAACCGCTTGAAGCAACGCTCGACCAATCAGAGGGCGTCAAGACCCGTACATGGGAAGAGTCACTATAATAATAGACCGTGAAGTACTGAATAATGAACACTGAATACACGTGGCATCTTCAATCATCACTCCTGTGCTGTCTGTACCGCGCCTGCACCTCTACCACTACTTGCCCGCTGACCTACCTCTCTATCGGGAGGGGAATGTTGGCTATGTATGAGCAGCAGAGCCTATGCGCTATGGACTGGAGCGTCATAGGCTCTCAGCTGATGCCCCAAAGGTGCGGCCGCCCCACGGTGTGAGGGGAGTGGCCGAGCCGATAAGCCCCCACAGAGAGGGTAGAAGAAAATACATAGTGTTTGGGAGAAGAGAACCCCCGCCGATGCGACAACAAGCGGGTACCATCATCATCTCCACAATCTACGATCCAAGCCCCCAGCAGAGCCAGACGTGTGCCTGGTCTGCTACTGTTTCCTGGCTTATGGACGACAAGGCTGTACTGTACGCCCCCAGCTGATCTCGCAGGTGCGGCCTCTCCGAGGCCTATATCAGGAGAGGCTTGAGGACACGCTTGAAATCAGGCAGGGTCTAGGACCAGAATCCTCCCCCCGTGGCCTCGGGTGGCTGGTCGATTCACCTCCTTGGCGATGGTAAAACAGAGTATGTTAATTCACACGAGTGTCTCTCTCTCCATCTATCTCTCTCTCCTGCCAACATTCCAACCAGACGGATAGAAACCCTCTTCTACCATTTATCTTAGACATGCAGATATCCAAAGGATGGTTTCCCACCATAAACTACTGCTACCCAGGTGCGATGCATCCACAATGACCCCAAGGCCTATTACTATCGGAAATAGACAATAATCAGATCTCAGATGTAGACACCTGGTTATACTCAAGAAAAACGACAGCGCTGATCGTGAAAGATGAACACCTTTTTACACGGCGATATCATTCCGGACTAATGCCACTCCATTTTGTTAGTCAGCGCATGTGTTCAACCTCCCATACAAAGCGTAGAATGCCCGCATTCAACGGTGAAATGCACGTTGCCGTCACGAGAGTTTGTTTTTACTCTGACTGACTGACCCTGGTCGGTCAGCCTGATTTATCGATACCTGTAGACACGCCTGATATCAGGCAGGGCCTAGGACCAGCATCACCCCCCGTGCCCTCGAGGGGTTGGTCGATTCACCTCCTTGGCGATGGTAAACAGAGTGTATTATTTCAGACAAATCTCTCTCTCTCCATCTCTTTCTCTTTCTCTCATGCCAACATGCCAACCAGAGAGATAGAAACACTAATCTACCATATCTTAGACATACAGATATCCAAAGGGCGGCTTCTCACATGGAACTACTGCTACCCAGGTGCGCTGCGTCAGGCCGTGGCACCAAAAGCCCCCGTAGAAATCGGGGACCAGACACGTCCCTTCGTGGCCTCCGGGGGCTGGTTGAGTCAAACACTTGGCGATAGTAAAAATGGAAAAATCTCTCTCTCTCCTTTTCTCAATAAATCATCCCCCGTTCCCTTAGATTCCAACCAGACAGGTAGAAACTCTATGCTACCATAACTTAAACAGACAGAATCCAGAGACGGCGTCCCCACTATACCCAGGTGCGCAGTGCACACCTGCCCGCTGTAGACCTGGGCTATGCTATGGGCTTTGTGGACAGTTTTTTTTTGGTGGGGGCTTGGACTTGACGATGTTGATGGTACCCCCTTGTTGTTCCATCCGGGGGGCTTCTGTTGACTTCCGAACATAATATACTCCTCTCTTGTCTTCCCTTCTACCCCCCTCTATGGGGGGCCTAGCCTCCCTCCCCCCTCACACCCTGGGGAGGCTGCCCTTGGGGGATCAACTGAGGGCGTATTGACTCTCTTGACCATAGGTTGGATCGTACCATCTGGAGATGAAGATGGTACCTCCCTCTTGTTCCAGCTAGGTGGGGGGCCTTTAATCCTCTCTA